ATTTCTTGAGCAATATCCGAGATTGAGAAACGTCCCATAGCTAGTCGTCTGTACTTGTACAACCAAAAGGGGTAGCAATGGTAACAATTCGGAACTGAAATAGTCAAGTTCAAACGTGTAATACTGAATCGAGATATCCAACTTTGGGAAGGAATGCATAGTTCTTGCGTCGAGCTAAGATATCCGCAGTGCGAGGAATTGGGTAAACACTTGGTTTGATTGCCTTGTTGAGACACGGAAATCAGAGATCCACCTGACTCTACCGTCCTTCTTCGAATGATGAAAGCCCAGCAATCCACTCGGAACGACTGCCTTCTTCAAGAACGCCAAGGGAAACCAAACCGATCCAATTCTTTCTTGAAGATAGTTTGTTGGTGATGAGGAACAGTGTAGTGTCGGCTTCGATGAGCCGGAACTGTAGGATCAATCTCCAAACTAATCTGTCCGCCAGTGTATTTGCCAAGTTCAGGACTGAACAAGGTATCATACTTCTCAAGGACACCACGAAGGTCATTCTGTTGTTCTTGAGAGAGATGAGTACAGGACCGAACCACGGCGGTAATATCAGCCCCTTCATACTTAGATTCGAGGATGTTCTTGGTGTTCTTGTAACCCAAGTCTGCTGCCCTTTCTTCTTCTTCACGAGTTGCGAAACATGAAGACTCTTTTTCGGATTCGGGGAGCATGTCGTCCAAATCGTCATCCAAGTCGTCTTCAAAACAATCGTAGAAGCTGCTGTAGGCAGGTATCGTCATCCTCGAGATCTGCTTCGAGGAGGTCAAGGAACATCGAGGTAGCAGGAGGAGTCTTCTTGTCAACAGAAGACGTAGGAAAGGGTCTCATGTCAATGCTGACCTCTTCCCATGTCATTTTGTGTCCCTTGAAATCAATCTTCAATCCCATCTCAAGGAGGATGTCGCGTCCAATGATATTCATACCGAACTTGCTCGCAGAAAAGACGCGAGCATGAGCGACATCAATGAAACGGGACTTGTAGAACTCTGGAAAACACACCGGTCTAAGGTAACAACACGGTCGATTGACGTTGCCAGCCAATGTGTGGTAGACACAACATCACCAATACGAGGGACTGTTCCCTTAGGCAACGCCTTGTCACTAATCCAGTTCCACTAGAACCAGAGTCCATCAGGACTAATAACGTCTATCAGACGGTTTATTCTGTATACTATGTAGGACGCAAAGAGCCATCGGCACCAAGTCCTTGTCAACATTGATTCCTTCAGCCGCCGCTGCATAATTCTCAAAGACCCGTTTCGAAGGTCAGTAATCGCCACCGTATCCATAGGACTCGTCATAATCATCGTAACCCCCTGTCATGAATCAAAGTAATGGGGCCTTCCTGATAATACATCTCTCTGTTTCTTCAGGAGGCGGCAATGAGCAACCGCAGGAACCTCTGGATTGTTCTTCGACGTGTAACAGCGTCTTCGCGAACATCACCGTCAGCCACAAAATTATCACGGCGAGGACTGTAACCACGTCCACGTCCACGACCACGAGGTGAAGAGGCATAGCCACCACGTCCGAAACGTCCCGCAAAGTTGCGCACCGGAGTAGTGTTGTTGCGTGCTGTTCTCTGTTGTCCACGTTGGTATTCTCGAGGAGACTACGGTTGTACGTCCAGTAGGAGCACGACTCCATCCTCCACGACGGAAAAGCTGGGAAGGCGGATAGTAACCAGCCGAGGTCCATCGTCTTGTCCATATGTACGACGATAGCCAGAAGAGCGTCCACTCCGTCCATGTCCGCGGCCTGAACACCACGTGAAAACCCGCGACCACCACGGCCACGAGAGCTTGTTGGCGAGCGTTGTATTCTTTTCTTGACGGGCAAAGAAGCGAACCATTTGCACTGAGCCAATTACCGTAATGTCATGAGCGGAATCGGCAAACTTGTCTTTCACTGGGGAAGCATCATGTTGTAAAACATCATCTTGAGAGCAGGAGCATCAAAGGGTTCGCATTGTTTGCACCAGGAAACTTCGCCATCAAGGTGTTGATGTACTCCAACCGAGACCCCAAGGTCTTGCAATCGAGTTGAAGGGCTTTGTCGCAGTCTGCAGGTATCGAGTCTGATCAGCGAGATCCGTGTCTTAACGAACTTGCAATGAACGAATTAATACAGGCATCGAAGTCAGCAACAGCTGACCAGGACGCGCTGCTCGAATCACGTTCCACTTGTCCGAGCAGAGCCTTGAAGACACTTGACAAAGAAGTTAGCCCTCAATGTACCCGTGTCCAAATTCAAGGCTGAGTTGCCGGTCACTTGATCGAACTCCTTGATGACCCGAAGGACGTGTTCGGTTCTTGTTCGTCTGCCAGTACAATCATGTCATGCTTACGCTTGACGTTGTTACCAGCATGTTGCCAAGAACGGAACAACTCGGTAGTAGCGACCTCGCCAGCATTTACTCAGAACCAAGGGAATGACCGGATCTTGCCCGACTGACCAAGCGTCGTCATGGTGAGATAATAAACCTAAAGGTAAATAACAAACAACAGTACTTGCGGCTTTGTGGTTAGTAAGAGTCGCAAGTAATGATAATGAAAGAAAAAGGAGTAACTTCGTTTTGAGTTACACCCTTGAGTTACCGTTGTTAATAGAAATCGAGTGAATTTTCGAAATTGTTTGACAATGGCCAAACGCCTAGTATACGGCTGCGTAGAATGTACGCAGGAAGTTTCTTTTGCTTGATGTGCAAATTCCAACCGAACTTGCTTCTGAATTCAGAGTGAACTACGATCGGAATATTGTGAGATTAGACTTAAAACTAGCGTTAAAGCGCCACGTCATAGACGTGCGTATGTCAATACATTGTTTGGCGCTGGTCACGTCGCATGCCAGCATTCTGGGATTTGTCCGTTTTGTTGTCCACCCACCACTGTTTCAAGTGCTAAGTATGACTGGTTATCGACACGAAAGTATTTGTACCGAGCTGAAAATTTTCGTCTGATAAGATCCACACGTGATCTGCCAAACTTCCACGCTACGGAACCCACGCTCCATTCACAAAGATGGATGGCAGCCTCGTACGGTATTCACTTGCTGACCGGGCTTTTGCAGGTCGAGTACAGAAGCCCCAACAGAAATCTGATAGGTTCAGAAGAAAGGCGGTGGCTATTACTAGTAAGTTGTTGTGTGTTGTTAGTTAGGCGGAGTGGCCTCACTTTTTGTCGAGAAGTTCAACTCACAGCCAAGCACGACAAGGAGTCAACACATTGGCTAGAGCTCTTGCACAACCCAAATCCGAGCAAAAATGTACTCCCACGACTTTTCTTTCTTGCGTGTCACGACTGACCGATTGAATTAGACGCAACTCCGAGATTGCGAGGAGGCAGCAGTCAATTCCACCAAGGCATCATTCATTTTCGTGAATAGGAAGAAGGCACCATGGCGTTCATTTTGCCGTCTTGATGGTTGCTCTCTTCCATGTCATCTTTTCTTGGCCCTCTCGTTCCCTGAATTGTTACCGCATGGAAGAGCTCATGATGGGCTTGCAACAAAACCAGTTTTTTACCATGGCGGGAGTGGTACATGAAGCCCAAACGATATCCAATAGACAATGGCTACTAGTTTGTATGCAGAAGTTGTTGTGTATAAATGCTGGGTTGTGCCCGAGTTTCTTTGGTCGGCCAACTCAAAAGCTGACCACGGCACATCAACACGCCTGTGGCATTGTTGGCAACATCAGACCAAACCAGGATTCTCAATCATGACAAGGAATTATTTGACATCAGGAATGACTTTTCCCGGATTCATGAGATTGTGCGGATCGACGGCTTGTTTGATGGCGCGCATCATATCGACGGCACCGGTGCCATATTGTTGTGCAAGATAGTGGGACTTGCCATAGCCGACGCCGTGTTCTCCGGTACACGTTCCTCCGACGGCCAGAGTCCGTTGAATGAGTCGATCATTGACGGCATGAACGCGTTCGAGGTAGTCGGGATTCTCGTCTTGTACGAAAATGGGAAGAATGGTATGAAAGTTACCATCTCCGGCATGCCCAAAAATGGGTCCGACCACGTTCTGTTCTTGGACATCGCGGGCCGTGGCTTCCAAAATGGAGGCAAACTCCGAAAGTGGCACACAGGCATCGGTCAAGACGGCGCTCATGTTGTCGCTGGTAGAAGTAGTAGCGGCCTGTCGCAAATGAATACTGGCATAGTAGAGTTCGTGCCGTGCGGCCCACAAGGCGGCTCGTTCATCCGGATCGGAACAGTGTTGGAATTGATATCCATTGTTTTCGTCACAACAGATTTGTCGTATCCGTGTCAATTCGGCTTCCAAGGACGCCTCGTCGTTGCCTTGGACTTCCAAAAAGAGGGTGGGTTGTTCGCTCATGGTGGGGACAACAGATGAAGAAGAATTGTTGTTGTGGTTGTACTGATTAAAGGCGGCCACGGCACTTGCATCGAGCAATTCGCAGCGTGTCATTGCCGTGACTGATTGAAATTTGAGACTGGCCACGGCTTGAGCGGCTTGTCGCAGCGTATCAAAGACACAAACGGCCGCCATGACATGATCGGGAATGGGATGCAATTTGACCGTGACTTCGGTAATGACACCGAGCGTGCCTTCGGAACCACAAAACAATCCCAACAAATCGTATCCGGCACTGTTCTTGAGAGCCCGAGTGCCACACTGAACTCGTTCGCCATTCGGCAAGACGGCTTGCAAAGCTAACAAGTTTTCGCGCATGGTCCCGTACCGAACCGCCGTGGTCCCACTGGCGCCACACGCCGTCATGCCACCGAGTGTGGCATCCGCTCCAGGATCCACCACAAATTGAAGACCGGAATGACGAAGGGCCGTATTGAGGGTCTTGCGCGTCACACCCGCTCCCACGGTCGCCATGGGATCGGGCCAATCATCGCTAGCAGTGTCAAAATCTGGTAATTGCAGGTCCTGCAGTAGACGTGTATCGATACTGACCGTGCCGTCGTGGAGGGCACAGACGTGTCCTTCCACCGAAGTGCCGACGCCAAAGGGAATCATGGGAATGCGGCGGGCATGGCAGAGTTGGACAATTTGAACGACATCGTCCGCATTGGTCGGATAGCAAATGGCACTGGGAGGACGCGATGGATGATGCGATTCCCCACGTCCATGACGTTCCAGTTCGTACCGATTCGTATCAATCTGAATGCGAGGGTCCAATTCGTGTTGTAATAACACGGGAATGTCGGAACTTGGTACTTTTCGAAGTAGTGATGTCGTGCTGTAGCTTCTGCTTCGTTGGGTTTCGGCTGTGTTTCTGTTGGTACAATTCCTCTGGAGAAGTGATGACAAGCGCCGAATACTCCTCATACTGAAATGTCGTTGGCCTTGGTGGATCAGCATCCGCTTCATCATCTTGGTCTTCCTTTGTTTGCTTTGTTGGGTGGGGGTGTTGCGTTAGATGATGTAGAAGATCCAAAGTCCATCTCCAGATACGGTAAGGTCAGGGTTCACTGGCATCCGTAAGCGAAAAGTTGCCTCCCTTCGTCCACTATCAACACCACACACTGTCAGCTGCTTGGTTCCATTCTCTCACTTTGCCGCTTCTTGCTGAACACAGCCTACTAGCTAGCTGGCAGTAAAAGCCACCTCGACCAGCCAGTTATCGAACCGCAACAACGATGGACAATGTTAACGAACGAGCCGCTCGCGAAATTCCCGCAGAACCACAGAGACATATACCGATAGACCCAGATGGACAAGAACCTGTCGACCATCACCTGCATGTGGAACCAGCACCGCAAGCAAGTGTGCTAAGCCCCGATGCAAGTCGCATGACCTTGTCCGACACGGAACGCCAATGGGCCATGGCGATCAAAGAAGCCGTGTTACAAGATCCCGAGTTGGAACCTATCTCCGATTTTGATATTGTCCAAGTTGCCTTGATGGATAGAGTCAACATCGAGGGGGCTCTGGAAAGAATTTGCAAACTGCAAGCCTTCAAGCAGGAATATTGTGTCACTGACACTGTGGAGCAAGGACAACAAGCAATGCAACGATGCGTAGATTTGTTTCCGGGATTAATGCTTCACATTTCGTATCAGGATTCCATGGAGAGTCACTTCTTTGCGGGTGATGTGACCAAGTTATACAAGAATGTTGTGGAGTCCCAAAGGGACACAACAGCAGTCGTTATGGTTCCTTTCTATTATCTGTTTCATGCCACAAATCCAGACTTTGAATCCATGCGACAAGGCTTGGTGTTTTTATGTGAGTGCGGAGGCTTCAGCTGGAAAGATAATTTCAAATTGGGGTATTTCCAAAAGTTTTGGTTGGAGCTTGGTGGTGTCTATCCCATCAAATTCAAGAAAATGATGCATTACCACACAAGCTTGTTCTTCAATCTACTTCATTCCATGGGAAGGCCATTTCTGCCAAATGATGTCAAGGAGGTATTTGAGATTGGGCTTTTTTCCGTGTTGGGAAGACTGGACATAGTGTATCTTTCTCCAAGTTTGGAAGCTTCCAATGCCAGATTCAAGACAAGGATTGTGGAATCCCTTCAAACCAGACATCAGAATGCAAGTAATTTTAGGCTCTGATTCTAACCTTATAGGCGAGCAATACTGTATGTACTTATGATGTGGCAAAGTAGAATTTGCTAGTCTCTAGATTTTGCGATTTGGTTGAGTGACGAAAGAGCCCAAAGCAGTTGTCTCACGAGTGAGTCCATGGAGCCAAGGCTTGGCCAAGATTATTTGCGGCTGGCTGCTCTATAGATATTGCACTGCCATTCCCAGTTTGACACCCGCAACGCCACTCAGTCAGCAGACTGAGTCAGTACCGGTACGATGTACCGTACTGGTAGGGAGATGCATCCATGGCGACTTCCAAGACCATGGTGAGCCATTCCTGTCAGTAGGAAAAAACATGTCGAGGACCTGTTCTCGATATCCAATGTTGACATACAAGCCCGATCGTTTCGCAACGTCATTTGCCACAAGCCCCCGGTTCGTCGGTTAGTGTGATTGATCTCCCCCTCTTGCTAGTAGCAAGTATAGCGCCGAGCCAGGGCCGTGTTTGGCAAAGCCAACCTCCTTCTCGCCCTAAATACTCCGAGTTGCGAAACGAATGATCATCCAATGGAGTTGCGGGGAATGGACTTTTCGAGCACTTCATTCGGGTCAAACTGCAGTTTGGGAATGGTGGCACTGCTGCAATACTCTAGCTAGAGCAGCTGCAAATAAATAATCTTGGCCAGCCTTGGCTCCATGACTCGACTCACTCGTGAGGCAAATGCTTTGGGCTCTTTCGTCACTCAACCAAATTGCAAAAAATCTAGAGACTTGCTGATTCTACTTTGCCACATCAAAAGTACATACAGTATTGCTCGTATCTATCCAATGATTCAATCAGAGCCTAAAATTACTGGCATTATGATGTCTGGTTTGAAGGGATTCCACAATCCTTGTCTTGAATCTGGCATTGGCAGTTTGAACACTTGGAGAGAGATACACTATGTCCAGTCTTCCCAACGCGGAAAAAAGCCCAATCTCAAATACCTCCTTGACATCATTTGGCAGAAATGGCCTTCCCATGGAATGAAGTAGATTGAAGAACAAGCTTGTGTGGTAATGCATCATTTTCTTTAATTTGATGGGATAGACACCACCAAGCTCCAACCAAAACTTTTGAAAATATTCCAACTTGAAATTATCCGTCCAGCTGAAGCCTCCGCACTCACATAAAATCACCAAGCCTTGTCGCATGGATTCAAAGTCTGGATTTGTGGCATGAAACAGATAATAGAGAGGAACCAAAATGGCAGCTGATGTATCCTTCTGAGACTCCACAACGCTCTTGTATAACTTGGTCACATCACCTGCATGGACATGACATCCCAGAGAAGGCTGATACGAAATGTGAAGCATTAACCCAGGAAACAAATCCAAGCATCGTTGCGTCGTGATTTGTCCTTGCTCCACAGTGTCCGTGACACGATATTCCTGCTGGAAGGCTTGCAGTTTGCAAATTCTTTCCATCGCCCCCTCTATGTTGTCTCTATCCAACAAGGCGACTTGGACAATATCAAAATCCGAGAGAGGATCCAACTCGAGATCTTGTAACACGGCTTCTTTGATCGCCATGGCCCATTGGCGTTCCGTGTCGGACAAGGTCATGCGAGTTGCATCGGGGCTTAGCACACTTGCTTGCGATGCTGGTTCCATGATGTGTGGATGATGGTCGACAGGTTCTTGTCCATCTGGGTCTATTGGTATACGTCTCTGTGGTTCTGGGGGAATCTCGAGAGCGGCTCGTTCGTTAACGTTGTCCATCGTTGTTGCGGTTCGATAAACTGGCCCTTTTTTGTACCGGCTAGTAGTAGGCTTCGTTCAGCAATCAGGCAGCTCACAGTTGTTTGCTGTTGTAACGTTTGCAGTCCCCAAATAAATGTTCTCCTTTGGCTCCAAAGGAGGGTCATTGTCGACATCATTGATGTCTCGAAACTCGAAGTGCTATTGATCGAGCGGGTACCATGGGTTATCCATGCTGTGACGTCACCAGAGGGACGCTTCAACCCCTGTCACGAACACGATTAAAATTTACTTAAGTAGATTTACAACGCTGGCCCAACTTTTCAAATGTCCCGCTAGCTGCTGTCAAATCACTTCCCCCACATCCCAGATCAAGATTTCTGCCCCAGCGTCGCACCCCCTTAAGTCTCTGTCTTCACTTCTCCACCCCCCCAAGTCCTGCGTGACCACAAAAACAAGACAAAAATAGTCGCAAAAAAGTGGCCATCTTGGGGGAGATTCAATGCACGGCGGTGCACAGCCCTCAGCTTGTCGACTTTTATGGCATATCGCCTCACCCAAAAATGGCCATCCATTTCCCAAGAAACTGCTATGATCGTGGCTGCTGTGGCAGCTGTTCACGGCACAAAAATGGCAGTAGCCAAAGGGGCATGGCTTCCCTCGAAAATTGTGAGATAATGCCAGTCCACAGATCTCGATGATTGCCCTTCTGTTTTTTTGGCGAAAAAAGCCGGTACCGCGCAGCAACCACCACCTGAGTCACATTATCCCAAAAACGTCACCTAATTAATTTCACTACACAGGGTAACAGTAGATTTTTTAGTACATTCGTGACTACACTAAGGCGCCACAAATAACAGTTCTTACAACGTCAACAAACTGCCAAAAACCGGCCAAACGAAGTTGGTAGTTGTTTCATCTCGCCCTAAATGACCGACTACTAAAATGCTACCGGACGCTGTCACATAGGGCGGTATCAGATACATGACAAAAGAACAGGGCGTAAAAACAGTTACTAGTGCGTAGCTATCTTATTAGACCACCGTAAGATAGAGACTGGCCACACCAAAGCACAACGACAAAACGACAAAACCATTCAAATGATTGCATACTGATTGCCCCCTTCATCAAAGAAAATCGAACGGTCAATGGCTCCACCGGCCATGAGCTCACTGATTACCTCGTAGGCGATCGTTTCCGTCATGCGTTCCACGTCCTCGTCACTCGTGCCGTCGTTGCCATTGCTCTCACCTTCGTCGTCAGTGTCTGGAGTGAAGGTCTCATCTCCGAAATCACCCCATGGGTTGTCGCCAGCGCTGTCCTCTTCCTCGTCTAGCCTAGCATCAATCAGGGGGCAGTAATCTTCGTCGTCATCCTCACACGTGTGCTCTCGCTCCTGCAATATCTCCTGGAGCTCTCGTCTTGTCATCCTAACTCGTGCCAGTCCCTGCCACATTGCCTCCCACTGCCGTCCAATGTTCTTCCTGCGCCACATGTACTCGAACAAATAGTCCTGCAGGTCTGCCCCTTCTCTGCACTGTACGGGGATAGCTTTCTTGAGTGGAGTCCAGTTGCCCTCCACTGTCTGTGTGTGTGTTCCATCCTCAGCGACAAACTCATACTTGTGACAGAGAGTCTTGTGTGTGTAGCCAAGTCTTTCCAGTCCCAAGTATCCCTTCCACATGTCAGTGTGAATGGTAGATCCAGGATGCACGAATGTCTTGATCGAATGCTCAAGTGTCTTCATATCTCGTGAGTCCACCACCACAAGCACCATCTTCCTCTCAGCTGTTCGTTCCACCATTCCGAGCACCCAGCTTCCCTTCACTCGTCTTCCGCGATTGTATTTCCTTCTTGCCATCTTCGACTCGTCGATCTCCACGATGATGTTGTGCCCACCAATCATATTGTTCACATGTGGTTGGGTGACTATCATTTCAGTCACAAGCTGGCGGCAGTATTTCAGCCAGCGACCCGCTGTCTCGGAATTCCATCCCAGTTGCTGGCACACCTGAGTGTTTGTCGCCTTGTTCAACCAGAGATAGATGAGGTGGACCACCTCATTCTTCGGCAGATGACACTTTTCGAGGACACTGTTACGGAAGAAAGAACGCACATATATCTTCCCAGGGCTCCACTCCCAGCCACAGTCGTCAGCAGTGCACTTGACTCCATTGTCGCCTAGCCGTGTTGTTGTTCCTTGAAGATCCTTGCACGAGCACAATTCGCACTTCTTTGGGACACTGTACATGCATGCCGTCTTCTGGCACCTGACCTGATGCCGTGTCCAATCCTGAACCACATCACAGTTGCAGCGCTCGCAGCAAGTTGGTATGACGAGCACACCCTTCTTCTGTAGGAACCTGATGGATGCGTTCTCATCATAGAGGACATCCTTCAACTCGAACAGGGTGGGCAGTCCCTCTATTTCCTGCTCCAGATCTCGAAGCTTTTTCTGTCTGCTCTTGAATCGATCGGCATGTTTGTATCGCTTTCTTGTCGGACGTTGTTCTCCACCTGCTGCACTTGCGTTTGCCGACTCACTCCTTTGTGGTCTCAGCTGTCTCAACAGGCTTCGAGCAAAAGCCCTTGCCGATCTCACCCTCGCCTGGTGGCCTCTTGGCATCCTCAATGTCAAAAAAGAAAACAACAACAATCAACAACAAACAAAAAAGAAAAGAACCAAAAAACCCAAACTAGAAATTTTGTGAGCCACAACAAGTCAGAGGAACGGAGCTGCCCCCTACAGAAACAAGCACTCACAGCTTTTTCCGTCTCCCGCGCTTACTGTTTCTTCCACAGAAAACTGGACGCTCGAAATCGCCCCGCATCCTCTCACAGCAAAACAACTCCCGAGCCCAGTCCATCGTTGCCGCCAAACTCAAAACCAATCTACATAGGAAACAACTGAAAAGGCAGGATCGTCAACCGAAAGGGCTGGATTGTGCGGTCTCTATTTGTTTGCTGTTGCACGATGTCACTTAGCCGATCGAAAAGGAAGAAAGATACAGACTAGTTGGCTCTGCAATGCCGAAAAGATCCGAGACCATGCCTAAGCATTGCTTCGATAGTTAAAGAAACATAGAACTATTCATTTACAGTAATACCCATTGTGCCGCCGTACCTCGATCCGTCACCAGAGCTGATCCTGTGTGTCATACTTAGACGTTTTGAAATGTTCTTGGTGCAGCTGAGTCCGCTCTCAACCCGATTTCTTGCTTCTGTTTTCCCTCGCTCTGCTTGAATCCTCACTTCTCTCGCACACACCAGAACTCTCACAAAATTGTTGTTTCTGCACTCAGCAACAGCGAAAAGTCAGAAGCCGCTCAAATGAACAACAACTTGGAGAAGGCAGGAGATGATGGTGTCCACGGCGACAAAAAGGAGACTGCGCGGACATCCAACGAAGAGGGTGTCAACCCGGACCGCCCCAATCACAATGAGACGGCCAACCATGCCAACAATGACGAACAGCCACCAGAGTCAACGAACAACGAGTCGAACGCCCGTGAACCAAGCCCTGCCAAAGATCCGAACTACGACGGTTCAAGGCAGCGTATCCCAGGGCTTTCCAGAGAAGGCTTGCTTGAAGGAGAACAGGACGAGAGTGAAGCGGAAGGGCTGAATTACTACGACGACAGTGTGCGTGCGGACTTAAACCACTTTTCTGGGCTGCTTCCAGAGAACACCTCACTCAAGACTTCCGCGGGCAACAAGTAAGTTTCTAACAAATTCAGTTTGTCCAGTCTACACATAGCCGGACTGACACAAGTTGCTCTTCACGCAGATGCGCGTGGACCCTCAGACGCAGTTGAACGAGCAGAACAGCTTCCGCCCTGTCAACGATGGTGGCATCTCCAACAAACAGTCGGCGAGTGCCCCTGCCGAGGACAATGCAGACCAGCCACGTACCGAAGACAACTCGCAGGAGAAGCAGCCTTCTGTCCCATCACCAGCGAAGAAGGCCAGTGAAGCAGAAGCACCTCCCAGTTTGTCGAAGCTTCCAAACGGTTATATGTGGAAGCAAGCTGCTCAGTTGGTTGACTATGACGAGATAGTCAACATCGACGAAAGCCAACCTGGACACCTGGACCGGGTCATTGAGTTTCTACTCTCCAAGAACCCTGCCGATATCACCGACAATGAGAACCATCTGTTGAACCTTTACATTGGCACAAAAGGGCCAGGTGGTGTCACGCCGAACACATGGGTGGCAGTGCCAAAAGAAGGTGGAACTCCAACAAAGTCCCCCCCAAAGAAGAGGCGTGACACAAGGAAGACACCTGAATTCTGTCGCTCCAGCAACGGTAATCGTCAGGGGGTGGAGAACCCCCACAACAAAGAAGCACCAGTCGGGAGGACCAATCAGGAGGCCATCGAGGTTGACTCTGACACAGAGTCAGACAGTGGCTTATGTAACGAGGAACTCAACAAGAAGACCAAAGTGCGTTTCAGTGCCGGGTCCACAGCAGATGATGCTATTGAAGTTGACGACGACTCAGAAGGCACAGACGACACAGAAGAGGGCGACAAGAAACCACCTGCACTCAAGGGAACTGCCCAGATGCCCAAAGCGAACGAAAGCAACAGGAGGAAACCCACACCCTTTGTGCCCCGTAAGAAGCCCCCTCCAGTTGCATCAATCCCTCTCCCCGACAGCAGCTCTGACTCCGACTCTGATCCATCAGATGACAGCACAGACGAAGAAGAATCCTACCATAGGCTCAGCAAGAAAACTGTCCAGCGCAAGAGGAGGACCAGCAAGAAGACACAGAAAAAGGGAACGGCGAAGGGCACGAAGAACACAAAAGGGAAGAAGAAGAAGAAAAGAAGATACCCGGACAAGTGGAAAGCCAGGAAAGCAAGAGCAAAAGTTCGTCACGAAGAAAGGAAGGAAGAGAGAAAGAAGAAGCGTGCAGAGGAGAAAGGCGACGAAGAAGTCAACGACCCCATCACTCCCCCGCAATCTGATGCCAAGCCTAAGTATTGGCGTAACTCAGCCGAGTGGGCTCACGATGCTATGCTACGTAATTGGAAGTCTGCTGCAACTACGTACTCCAGGATGCAAGGCTTCCCAGGAGCGAAAGCCATCCAAACAGTGCTGGAAACCACAGCAGACGAGAATGGCAAGTCCCAGCTCCGTGGCTACAGAGTGCCATCACCAACACTCGCTCCAGCTGACAAAGCCTCGAGGGACGCAATTGTGAAAGCTGCAACGACAGTCATTTTGAAACTAGCCAAAGCATCCATCATTCGCATGTTTAGAGATGACCCATCTCTCATCTACTACTTTGTTGATGTCAGTGCTGGTGTTGCTCGAAACACTGACCGTCCTCCATCCCCAGTCCACAATGCGATTGCAGCCACCATGGGAGCTATCATGGACATGTTCGATCCAGACCAGGAGAAGAAGGAGGGAGACGAAAAGAGTGATGGCAGAGGAGGGAAAAAGAAGTGACTGTGTGGATGGTTGTTTAGGTGCGTGTAATGATGTGATACCCCAAGGAGTTTTTGGGAAAAAAAACAGAAAGAACAAGACGTAACTGTAGGATAATATGTACTAGGCCTACTTATAAGACCCAAACTCATGGTCGCGTCTGACTAAAACATGGGGAGTGACAAGCCCTTAAGTAAATTAGCTCTGGGTGATAGGGGACGTTGTTTGAGAGCACCAAGGGGATTTTTGAAAAAGCGGGCCAGCGTTGCCTAGTCCCGTAGGGTGGTTTGGGTACCTCATGCCACGTCACAGCGGCTAACGCCGCTGTGAACCGATCGAGCTTCTTCGTAAACCGGTCAGGAACTGGATTTGGAAACGGTACCAGGGTTAGGGTTCACTAGCATCATCTCTTTGGCCTCTGCCAACCACCCTCTGGTTCCTGGCTAGCTAGCTAGCTAGCTAGAGGTGCTGGATACTGGTACTACAATAAGACGACACAACTACTGGAGCCATGTACAGTTGAGGTTCTGATAGCTAGCTAGCTAGTCGCTGAAGATGATTGATTCAACTCGCAATCCTCAGTAACGTGTTCGGCACGTGCAGCTCAAGCACACGCATTTTGCGTGCAACTTCACCAAAGAATACAAAAGGTGTGACAAGGATCTTATTTTATTACTTTCAGGCCGTTCTGACGGCATTCTATCTAGCTAGCGGACCTTCAAAACGTTTTGGTCGTCACCAGTTTGCTAGTCCACAACTTCCATGACTTGTTGGCTCGGACCATTGCTGTTGTTGTTCCACTCGTCCAGGCTGGGTCCTCGTAGTAGAGTCTCTGGATCTACTCCATACTCCGCCAAGAGCTGTTTGCGAATGATTTCTTTGTGCAATGGATGAGTTGCGTGCAAAAACTTGTACATGGTGCTGACACACTGTGGATCCTGCGGTGCTTGGGACCGCAGGCATCCAAACGCGGCCTTTATATCGGGAATTCCCAGTTGCACTCCCATATCATGCTTTCCCTCGGGCAGTACAATCACATAATCAAATCCGGGATTTTTCTGGAGAAGCTCGTTTTGTTTTGCCAATGCGGGGCTCGTGACGTCTCGCGTCTCTGCTGCCGCCGCACCTATTTTTTTGTCATTCTGTTTCTTGCTTTTGCTTTTGTTGCATACTTTTTTGTGTCCGGCTTTCCAATCGGCCACTTGGCATTCTCTCGAACAATATCCGACACATTTGCATTGATCACACCGTTTGGTGGTTTTCTTGCGGCAGCCGCCATTGCCACATACATAGACGGCGCGGGGAGCGGAGGGTGATGATGAGCTTCTAACTGTAGTGTCGCTGTCACAAGATCCGAGTCGTTGTAGCAAATGCAACACTACCATTGGATCCAACTGGTCTCGTACACGAAGCACTGCCTGTTCAAAAACGTCTCGCTGGGGTGCACTGCCGAGAATGGAGGGAGCCATATCTCTGCCTGCCACGGTTCCCACCAGTTCCCACTGTACCAGAATGGCATTGGCCACCATTTGTGGTTTTGGATTATTACCGTGGGAGGACAAGAGGGTAGCCAAGTCGTCACGTAATTCGAGAAATCCATCATTAAACGACTCATGCCGGTAGACATGTCTCTGAATCATCTTTTTGGCCTTGGAGTTGGACAGAATCCCCAAGGCATCACTGAGACTGTTGAGGATTCCAAGCGCACTGGTAATGAGAGAAGCGGAACACGTCGTGTTGTGTGGTGCAATGACGGTGCGACAAAACGAGAGTATCTTGGCATGACAGAGTATCCGTCTGGCAATCTCTGTAATTTCAAAGTCTTGTTGATTCTGGCACTGCAACAAGCCCGTCTTGTCTTTGCGGGCACAGAGCACCATGAATGGAAACTCTAAAAAGTACAGTAATGGAATGGCTTGATCTTCTTCCTCTGACATATTCAATAATCGATCGAGAACAGGATCGTTCTGCAATAATGCCACGTAGAGACGCTGCAGTGTGCGTAAATGATCATTGGTAGCATCGGCCGGATAGGGCAACCCTAACATCCACACGGCTTCATCGGGTTCGACCGATCGGCTAATCTTGCGCTCGGAAGCAACCAACAGGCGTCCCAATAGATCCTCCAAAGACTCGACCATCTCGTATCCGAGTTCATTCTTCATCTTGGTTGTTGTTGTTGTTGTTGTCGTTGTCGTCATGGTATACTATCTATGATTGATGTTACAACATCGGCAAGTGCTCTATCACAAAAAAGTTTGTGTTCTCCTGAAGAAAGGGCGAAAAGATCCAAAAGATCCATCACAAACTAGGTACGGTAGGGTCAGGGTTTGACAGCCTTTCCGCATGCTCGGATCGATGCAACATGCAGCAACACGGCATAACATTGTCGACGGCGTCAACTGAGACTGGTAGCTAGCTTGAGAGGCTATGGCACAAGCGTTGCAGGTAGGAAGATGACCAGTTCCTGTCCGACGGATGAGTTTGGTCCGGGTGCGACGCTGTATGCCCAACCTTTGTATCCTGTGGAATTGGTACAGTACAACAGTTTGTCTCGTATCTTCCAAATTCAGAACGACAGACGGTGTTGGATGTGGCGGCAGCATCGGGTCAACTGAGTGTCTTGTTGGCACAAGAGTTTGACCATGTTGTGATCGCCATGGACAAGTCGGAACGACAATTGGCACATGCCAAAAAGAATATTCGCTATCAGGTGGGAAATGCTACCCAATTGCCAAATTCCGAACAGGGTGAATTCTATGATGCCATTACCGTGGCCCAAGCCTATCATTGGTTCCTGAAGGATACTACGGACCAATTGTTTCTCCAAGAAGCACGTCGTGTCTTGCATCCTTCGCATGGCATTGTGGGGATCTTTGGATATGGAATATGTGCCATTACCAACAACGATGCACTCCATACCGTATTCCAACACGAGTTTTATCACCAACGCCTCAAGAGTCACTGTGCGCCAAAAGACTCCTTTTGGAATGTCGATCGACGATTGGTCGATCATGCCTTTGCCGAATTGCCCACATACAACAGTATGGAAATTATTGTCCAACGACACTACCACAAACAAACCGAATCTTGGACGCGACACCAATTCCTCGATTATGTGCGAACGTTTAGTGGACTCGTCAATTTACGACAACACTGTGCCCAACAACAACAACAAGATCCCATGGAATGGTTGCACCAGCAATTTACATCTGATACAACAGAAGAAGAAGAAGAGTCATTGTTGTTGGAGGTGGAATTCCCATTCTTTCTCATTGTACTCAAACCAGTCCACAAGAAACCAGAAACAAAATGATTGCCACACTAGTCCGCTCTGCTCATCAGTACTTTTATGACTATGTATTGACTGGCGTTACTCTTTTCCGTCTCTTGGGGATGCACGGGCATCACGCAGAATAACCAGCCCAACACTGAATGCTTCTCATTCCTGTTTGGGTGATGAAGCGCAGAACGTCGCAAAAGAAGATACACAAGAGATCATGCTCTACCTTGGTTGTTCGGTAGTCGACAGCCGACCACAACAACAACCTTATTTCAACCATATACAACGACGAAAAGTCAGGACGAGCTTCATCAGACGGAATCATTGTTTGCGCTCGAAAAAAGGCAAGACCATCGTCGCCTGGCTTCATTGACACCGCCGACACGACAGACAGCAGCAATCCACAAAAAAGGAAAAAGACATTTCCGACAGGCGTCTTGGGGATTTCTGCTCTTCAAGATTATTCTGGGGAGTGGACACCGTGTCGCCTGCAGAGGAAGCGTCGTCCTTCCTGTTGAAGAACTGAGTTGCTCTCACCCATCGGCCGTGAAGCGATGGCAGGTGGTACATTCATGGCAAACCGGAGATACGCGCAAGCTGGACAGTCTCGGTCTTGAATTCGTCATTGGTTTGGCTATGCTGGATGCCAACATGGTCTTTGTTCCGTTCAAGAGAGGTTCCGCGGTTCTGGGCGTGAGGATTCGATTCAATTCTGGGCTCGGTACAGGCATGCATGTACTACAAGTGTACTGTACCTGGTATGGCATATTATCGGAAAGGACCCATAAAAGGAAGTTTCATTTCAGGTTTTCAGGTGAACACGCACGCCTGAGACCGTCACGCCCAGCGAGTCACGCAGCGGCTGGCTACTATGCATACGGTATGGCCATACATCGTACCGGTACGGTAGCTGGCCAGGTGAGTGTGTACCGGTACCCGCTTAGAGCGTATCCTACTAGCTAGTAGACAATACACCTTTCCAAGAGAACCGCCAATGTTAGGCCACGAGAAAGATGCCAGCCAATTCATTGGATCAATACAGCTAAACATGCAGCCGATCATGGACGTTTCGCGCACCGGTGGTTCTTCGTCTTCCAATCACATTGGCACCTTGCGGGCAGCCTGGGACCACGGGACCAAATGACAAACCAGGTTCCTTCCCCCATAATTTCATTTAGATCCCCGGCAAATTCGAGTAGGCCACAAGAAAATGACATCTACGCCAATGATGAATGAAGCTTCAACCCCCCACATCCAAACCTTTCGCTATTCGAGCGCTCTTGCTTGGAAACATGAGTGTTGGAAAGAGCACTACATTGAATGCGATGTTTCGGGGGACTTACAGCCCGGTTAGCTTTAACCGTGAGACTTCGAAAGTTTACGCCTTTCGTCTAACCAAGGAAGGATGCGACGTCGAAGAGTCTGCTGTATACGAAGAACTCAAACAACAAAACAAGTAGGGCGAACACTTTGAAAAGCTAGAGTCAACCATCATCGATGTTCCTTTCAAAAACTTTGGAGGGAAGATTCGTGATGACACAGACTTGTTCGTGTGCGATGTTCCTGGGCTTGACGAAAGCTCCAAGGTGGAAGCTTATGTCCGCGAGCATTGGGCATCATACGATCTTGTCATCTCTGTTTTGGACGTGACTGTTCCCGCTGAAAAGCCCGAGAATCGAAAGCTCTTGGAGTTGATCAAAGAGCTTTCCAATGAGAAGGGAGACATTCCTGAGAAGGAAGACATTCCTGTGAAGCGAGACATTCCTCACTTTAGCCTGCTCAACAAAGTCGATGAGCCCAAAAACAGGGGAACGCAAGAGAGCGTAGAGAGGTACCGTGCACTGTTCAAGGAAGTCTATGGCGCGAAACCAGTGTAGCTACTGGTTCCGAAGCTTCCAACGAGGAGGTCCAAAAGAAGTTGTTTCTCATCCCCGTGTCGTCTCAGTTGGCCCACATGTTCTACGCAACACGCAATAAGGATATCAAAGAATTCGAAAACTGCCCAATGGACTTGATTGACCAGGTGCGTGCATCGAAGGTGTCTGTTTGTGCTTCGTGTGGACTCGAATGATAGATTTCCCGTAGCAGTGATGTCGCCTTCCTCACTCCTGTTGCTGCAACTCAATTCTCACAGGTGGGCCAAGACCCCTGCATGGGCAGGCGGGAGTGGAGAAATCAATCGACGGAACAAAAGTACAAGAAAGTGTACGACCACTTTACTATCGCTGACGTGACGACAGCGGAAGAGCGCCTCAAAGAGACCAACTTTGAGACATTCCTCGAATCGTTCAAACAGGTTGTGTTTGGGGTTGACAATCAACGGCAACTGATCCAAACGAAACTTGAGTTCAACCTTAGGCACCTTGGAGACGAGTCCAAGGGCCTGGGTGGTCTCATCGAGAATCACCAGAAACTCTATGAACAGCTCCAAGCACTCGGAGTGCCCACTGATTCTCTCCCTGATGCAGTTTGGAAATCATATGATAGTGCGAAAGAGTCAACCTTTGCAAAAATCTCTGGGCCGCTGGATGTCCATCATCTCAAGAGCCTCCTTGACCACCGAAAAGGACTATGTTCACTTCGCAACCAAAGTTGGTTGGACATCGGAGAAGGAAAAAGCCGTCGAAAAGCTCAACGAGTTGATCCGCCACCAGATAAATCTGGTTGTGGAAAAGGCAAGTGGGCAGGTCAAGAAATTTGGGGGCTCGAGCAGTCAAGCTGCACAAATTGCCCACATAGACGAAGCCCCCGTGGACTTCAAGAATATGACTTGGCTCGAATGGGACCTGGTGCTTCAGGACCTGGGCATGGCCCTTGCAGATCTGAAGAGCGAGTTTTGTCGCGAACTCCAGTGTATTGACCGCCTTCGCAGCAGCGTCAAGGACCAAATGTTCAATGATCCCTCTGTGCATGCAGCCACGGCAGTGCAAGTGTCCTCGAAGGGTGTGCTCGAGCCCATTGACCAAACTGCATACGATAAGTTCAGCCGGTTGCCTGTGACAACAAGCTTGGAGGATCCACAGAGCTGGGCGTATTTGGTTTGTGAGTACTGCAGATTTCTCAAGGAGTGTAGCAAGTGTGATGGACCGGATGCTCCCATGCAGGATGCTACCAACATGGAGATGGTGACTGACAACCCAACATTGGATCGCTCGGTTGAAGATCCAGCCACCTTGGCTCCTTCTGACGCTGATTGCGACGGTGAAAGGCCCGTAAGCAAGAAGCAGAAAGTAGCCCACGAAGAACACGACAACGACAACATTTCAGTCGAGGGAGTGACCACAAAGGAGTGTGTTGGGACGACGGTGGCCCCAAAGATTGATGTGAATGCTTCGGCTCTCTACGATGATAAGGCTCGTGCTGAGACAAGCCCCACGTCTGTCCTTGATGACAAGACCTGACCGCAGCTTAGTCGGTCTATGTGTTTGCCCCAGCTCCTGTGTGGTATCGTGGTATCGATTAATAGTTATTAGGCATTTTAAAGGAAGGCATCTTGTCTCCGTAATAATAGGAAACAGTAGAGTTTCATCCTTTTTTATTCTTCCAAAAGAAAGCTAACGAAACCTGACAAAGCGGAGAAAAGGCACGCAACACGCAACTCCACCCTGTAAGCCCTACTAGCTAGCCAGAATTTTTAATCCAACCATGCAGCCACCATTGATGGAAGCTGTGACAGTACCGTACGGTACAACTGGGCTATCCAGACCCCCGGTACCATATCGGGCCATAATCTGCTGTTTACAAGGCTACAACCCGTGAACGTAACAGGAACAACCTTGATGATTCGCTTGCTGGCTGTACCCATACGTACGGTAGAGCATTGTGAGGAAACTAAAGGAATAATGGTAAACGTTTTGAACAATGACTGAAATATTTCCCTCCGCTCCCTGCGTATTTCAAGCCCCAACCCCAAGATCAAAATATCCGTTTCTAAAGCTTTCCTCGAAGCGGCCTCCAACTTCGAACGTTCCTCCACTCCTTGTTCCTCCTTCAAAAAGTCTCTCGCTTCTCCCTCGTACGTCGAAGAGAGAAGTTTCCTTGATTGCAGCGAAACCTTCAAGTCGACTCTTTCTCTTCCCAAGCGCCAGGAAAGGGCGTCTCCCATCGTGTTGTCGATCCTTCCTTCTCGAGGCTCATTCTGTTCATTGTCACAATCCGCCAACGGCGCGCGCTCGAGTCTCAAGACCATGCACTATTTCTATGTTCCAATCGTTGACGGAGACCCCGAAGCGACGGCTGTAGAGCGGAACTACCAGCGATCCGAGCTGTACAGAGTGGTAAACGTCCCGCGACAAGATGATCTCGAAGCGGTGAAGACGGCGTGTGAGAAAGACCCCACCAGTTGCAACGACTTCGCAATCAACGACGCTTTCCGCCAAGGTGCCAGCGTAGAAGTTCTCCTATTCTTGACCAACAAGGCAAAAGAACAACCGAGATACGGCGTTCACTACCCAATCTGTCCCATGATTCCAATCGAGTTCCGTGAAGCCGGAATCAGCTTCCCTATGCTCGACAACGAACAGCAAGTCCAGACTCTCAAGAGGCTCAAAGATTGGTTCGATTCTTTCCCTCAAGCAAAGTTCTGCAATACAGAATATCCAAAATGCAGTCCATTCAATGTAGTCCTCTTTTCCACGGTCCTCCCACCAGAGTTGCTCGACTATATGGTTGAGACACATCCCGAAGGAACCGGGTATCTCGATTTGTCCGACACTGAACACGATAGAACTACCTTTCCAGTGGAAAACTACACCAGAATTTTGGACGAGCGACGTATGGCAGCTGTTGATGCAATGATGGGCAAGGTTCATGGCTTCGATTCTGGAGATCACGAGAGGAGTGGGCAGGAATGGGCCAGACTTCTCTCCAATCTTGTTCGGGGGGACTCAGGACCACGGGAGGTTGTTCTTCAAATCGGAGATTTTGAATCTACTGTCCCCTACGAAGAATGGATCGCCCCGGTAAAGCAACAATTGAAAGACCGAGGATCGGCCATCACAGAGTTCTGCTTTCAACCGACATCGGATGACGTCTCACTCAATCTATCAATCTTCAGCCTTTTTCCTCATATGAAGTGTCTCAAACGTTTGTTTTTGGAGGATCTTTCCGACGTCAATGCAATCAGATCTGTGTGTGAATTGGTAGAAGTTGGATATTTGGAGGACCTTGTTGTGAACGCCCCATATGATGAAAAGCTACTGCTCCTTCCATTACTGGATGCCATCAATAAGAGCGCCGTATTCAGCAACTTGCGAATCAGGGGGTGCCACGACACAGAAGCCGAAGCTTACCAAGAAAAACTGTTGGAGATGTTGCAGTCAAACACACGCCTGGAACTGGCGCTCGTGACAAAGCTCCCATTCGACAAAAAGGATCAAACTGACTTCAATGCCATGCATGATTGTAGAGAATTCATGACAGATTACAACAACTGTTGGGATTTTCTGGGTGACGACGGCAACGATCTTCTCCAGAAGAAATTGACGTACTGGACACTCCTCAACATCTGCGGCCGCACTGCTGCAACGGAGACCTCTCTCGAGGGTTTTGTTGACGTTGTCTCAATGGAGGAGATTGCAGACAAAGTTGCGTTTCTAAAATATTCTTGGGACACGGAGGAGGAGGAGCTCCTTGCTGACGAGTACGGGCAGCTCATTGTTACAAATATGCAGTTTGGACTCTTGCGAGAAGCGCCTAGTCTGTGGTCGTTGCCAAAAGAGCAATCAACCGGAGGACGTAGTGGAAAACGAACAAATCTCGCAATGGAATCCACGAGCACCAAAAAGAGCAAGCATGAGTAGTTCTCTTGCACGGTTGTATGGCGGTGGGAAACGATGAACCCGAGAGCGCTCCAGTGGACCGAGGAGACCCTTCTTGTCGGACGAGTTGGAGACCATCCGGCGGCACCAAAGTGATTTCTTGCCGAATAGTCCTGACAATAGATAGATGTTGTAGTTTTGTGAGCAATCCGCATTCCTTATGTTTCCGTGTTCCTTTAGTTAGTTTCTTTCTTGCGCCGTCTCTTGGAGGATTCTTGGTTAGGAGACCTGCGTTTGTGCTCGCTGTTAGCTAGCTTCGGAAGCATCATCTGAATCATGGTCTTCGTCCTGCTGCTGTACATATTTAGCATCTTTTTCTTTCGTACTACTTTTCGTCTTCTCAGTAGTAGTTCTGTTTTCTCTTTCGTGGATTGTTGTTTGGGGGTACTATTGTTGCTGGTAGTATTACATCGTCTTGAGCTGATGCAGCTGCCTTATCATGGCTTAGTTTTTAAAGAAATTCAGTGCAGTGCACTGGGGGGGGGGGGCATCACTCTTGACGATCTCGGCACTACCGGTACGGTAATTGTGGAAGATACTCCTTGTCCTGATAATTGCCACTAGCGAGATGATCCTTCTTCTTGATGGACCCCATCATTTATCACACTGGTATCGTCGCTCTCAGATTTCATGGTTCGTTGGCTGACCCCTCTCTACCTGCTCCAGCCATGCTCCCTCGTCTTATAAGCCCAGCCTTGGCTGCTGCAATAGTATTGGCTTGTGCAATAGAATACTACATGTACTAGTCTTTCCCACCAAGAGTCCTTTGGGAGCGGATTGTTTGCCCACGGAACTGTACCGGTACTTGAGGACGTTTTGGAAAGAAGCACTGGGATTTAGCGGGAATGGTAGGCATGGAAGGAAGTAAATTACGCAACAATGGCCTCCTTGTGGATTCCCTTGTGGCTACAACATCCCTGCATTTGGCTTTAGTTGATAGAATTTTCTTGTACTCGCCGCCACCGCTGGAGGGTGTTGTAGTCCTTGTCGCCAAGGCAATGGCATCCGCCATGGTCTGTTCGCCGAGCACACGAGGGCACTCTTATTGGCATTGGAACCTGTGCTCCTCCTCCTCGTGGGGCTACATCAAGACTGTTACCTGCCCGTCTTTCGAAGGGAGGGATGGCATGCCTAGTAGTGGTACAAAACCGGTACCAGTACGGCAGAAACAAACATCATCGTGTTGCGAGTTGGTTGTGGTTGTTGATGGGCTGTTGTTGGTTGTGGTTTCGTGTTGAATGCTTCTATTCGATTGATTCGATTCAATTGAAGCTTCGATTCGATTCGACTTGGTTCAATCGAATCACGCGTCATCGAGTCGAGTCATGAGTCAAATGCTGGTATCCCTGCCCTCAGGATTAAGAAGCTTGAGAATGTTGCTGGCAAGAGATGGAGGTACTAAAGCTAGCTAGCTACAGCTGTAGCTAGTACCGGTACCAGGTACTAGCTAGTATCCAAAAACGGTCATTTCGTCAAGCCCCACGCACTTCACTCCTTCGTTTTCAGCAGCTCACAACTACACGCATCCATCAATCAAGATATCAAGATGAGCGCTGCACTTGCCGATGATCTCCTGTCGACTTTGTCGGACTCTCAGAAGCAGTTGGTCCAACAACTGAACTCGGAAGAATGCGGTCAATCGCACCTGTTTGCCGATTGGCCGGGCATGTCACCACAAGACCGTACTGCCGTGGCTACACAATTGGAAGCCTTGGACGGCGCCTACGGTAATGGAGGATTAGCGGGATACGTCAAAAATGCCGTAAAGTTATTGGAAAACAGCCGCAAAGGTGTCAACCCTCTAGACGGATGGGAGCCTCAAGTCCCCGAAGGAGCGGCTTTTGAAATTGGAACCGACAAGTATAAAGCCACGGAAGCAAAGGGATTGGAAGAGTTGGGATCCATTGGATTTGTATTGGTGGCAGGTACGTGATGGGTAGCTTTGGGTGTTTGAAGGGGTTGCTTCCAGTTTCTGAATCTTATCTTTTCGTCTCTCTTTTTAATTGTTTTTTAGGTGGACTGGGTGAACGACTTGGGTACAATGGTATCAAGCTGGAACTACCAACAGAGCTGGCCACGGAAACATGCTACCTGAACTACTATATTCACTACATTCTTTCCATTCAAAAGAAATATGGAAAAGATGGGTGCAAATTGCCTCTCTGTATCATGGTTTCCAACGATACACGCGCCGGAACTGAAGCTCTGTTAAAAGCAAACAATAACTTTGGGATGGAAGAGGGACAAATATCCATTGTCCAACAAGGATCCGGTGTTCCGGCGTTGCTCGACAATGCCGCGAAATTTTCCATGGACGAGACGACCAAAATGGTGATAACAAAACCTCATGGTCACGGAGATATTCACGAGCTGCTGTATACCAGTGGTGTAGCCAAGACTTGGTACAGTGAAAAAGGAATCAAATGGCTCTGCTTCTTTCAGGTACGTGCGTTTGTACACTCCCCTGCTCGTTCGTTCAATCAACCATGACAATTACTAATTCATGCCTCCTTCCTCCTTGCAGGATACAAACGGTCTGGCCTTTCACACGCTGCCCCTCATGCTGGGAGTCTCCAAAGAACTTGACCTTGTCATGAATTCCCTGGCTGTACCCCGAAAAGCCAAGCAAGCCATTGGAGGCATTGCCAAGCTCACAAAGCAAGGATCCGATGAAGTCAAGTAAGTCAAAATGCAATTGTTTGTTCCCACGGAACATTGCAAAACAATTCATGCCGCGATGAGGACCACACCGTTTCACCACATCACTTATGAGATTCAAAGTCGATGAAGATCACTTTTGTCTGAGCTGGCCGAATTGAATTGTTGCACTACTTGTTTCGTTGTTCCAATTCACGAGGAGGAACTTATTTCTCACCAGTACCCGCTTGCTTACTCTCATTGCTTTACTACTAGGACTGTCAACGTCGAATACAATCAACTGGATCCCTTACTTCGAGGATCGGGATTTCCAGACGGTGATGTCAATGACAAGGAAACAGGGTTCTCTCCCTTTCCGGGGAACATCAACCAGCTACTCTTTCAGCTCAAGGCATACTCCGATGTGCTAGAAAGAACCAAAGGTATCATGCCCGAGTTTGTCAACCCCAAATACAAGGACGAAGCTAAAACAATCTTTAAAAAGCCAGCGCGTCTCGAATGTATGATGCAAGACTTTCCGACAGTCCTCTCGGGCGACGATGCCAAAAAGGTTGGCTTTACCAGCATTTCATCGGACATGTGCTTTTCACCCGTCAAGAATGCCACGTCGGATGGTGTAGGCCTGCAACAAAAGGGAACAGCACCGGGCGTGGCAGCCACTGGAGAGGCCGATCAGTACGGAGCGTTTAAAGCAATCATGCGATCCATTGGCTGTCAGGTCGAAGACGCCGCGGAGGAAACTCATGAAGGCATCAAGGCAGTTCTCAGTCCTCAAGTAGTACTGAAGCCAGACTTTGTGACTTGCCCTGCCGAGTATTCCGAAGTGTTCCCCAGTCCGGACAAGGTCAAGATTAGTTCCAAGTCCTCCCTGGTAGTCAGTGGTCCTGGTAGTGTAGTGATTGAGAGCCTGGATCTGGACGGTGCCTTGGTGATTGAGTGTCCCGAAGGGGAGACTGTGACTGTTAAGGATTTGACCGTGAAGAATGATGGCTGGGTGCGTGAAGCAGCTGATGCCGGCAGCCCCGAATACATTCGAATGCGAGGATACAGGTTCGTCAAGAAGGAAACAGCAAAGTTTGGCCCAGGTGGATTGACATAGCTATTGGCATAATCCCTCCAACTTCAATCCACGAGGATTGACCGAGGTGTTGACCATTTCGCATTCAATATTGTAGAGTTCTCGTACAGCAGCCTTTTAAAAATTTGTCGCTTGTAGGATATTTGATGTCTACGATGAAGACTAGAGTGTTGTAATCGTCAATCAGTTTTCATGGCGGATTCGGTGGTCAAGGGGTACTTGATGATGGATTGCTTGTCCGTGAGCGCATTCTTTTGAGAAAAGTGGGGTTTAGAGGAGGGAAGCTATCGGCGGAGGCTCAGGGAAAGATGAGGCGGTGCTGTTACGATCGAATTTGGCTTTCGCGCGTCGCAACCCATGTCACCTCTTTGACAGGAGCAGAAGATGCTTTCGATCCCGATGAGGGCGCGTAGGGACAATAATTGCAACGAGAATCTCGCCAAGACTTTGTGTATGTGATCCAAGCCGACTCGACTCAGTCCGCTAGGCCAGAAACAACAACCATCAGTTGATTGACTTGACTCTTCACAGAGTTGCCAGCCCTGTGAATTCTGTTCCCGTCGGAAGCAGTGTTGAGGCAGCACTGGCACTTCATCACTTCGACACTCCTCAAATCCATGTTGCAGCCAATCCAGCTGGGCACACCTTTTATGCGTTACGCCGACCCCATCCGTCATTCGATACCGAGCAGACGTTGTGCTCATCATACCATTCAACATGGCCAAAAGAGTCTTCCTACTGAAATCATGGATACAGTTTCTTGATGTCTGTCGAGCATAGTGTTCCCTTATTTTACTTCTCAAATTGCATCATACACTTGTATTAAAACGAGGACCATTCCTGGTTTCACATCTTGTTCCAACATGTGAGGGAGGACAGTTTGCATACGCATCCAACATTTGTGATCGCTGACGTCCCACCGTTTGCGCCGTAGCCACTACATGTACTATTGCTATTTGCCTGGTATCGACATGCGTGGAACTGGTCGTCCGCATAGCTCAGTAGAGACCATTTCTATTCCTGGCATCTTGAGTATCCTCCAGGTACGCTTCGTCGTTATCTCACAACGCTCACCAATGCAGCAGCACGACAAGTGCAGAAAGCTCTGGTGGAGCTGATCTGACATTCTGAGCCCGGGGACAGGCTGTTGCACCAGTCTTCAATGCACTCACACGTGGAGTAGTCATTAGTATCCTTCACATTCCATTCCCTTTTCGTCAAGCACGCGAATCAAGTCATCCTCATTCTCCTCGCCAACCATCAGATTCTCTTCATCGTCTGTTGCGGGGAAGACTCTACATGTATTGGCAACTTTTGTGCCACGACGATTGGGATGTCCGAAAAAGTAATGAAGTATTCTCCGTCCAGAGAACGACACCAATATTTTCTGCATCTACCGATTCCAAGTCATGGGTATCAATTGGCCAATCTGAGAGACGGTCCTGGCGAGCTCGTTTGTCATTTACTGAAGAACTCAGCCGCTCCCAAGACGACACGGGTGCGGTAGAGAGCGTCGTCATCCTACTTTAGCTGCAATTGATTGAGGCACTTATTGTCACTGCCTAGGCATCATTCGCTCCTTCTTCGTTCTTTCACCTCCCCAATCAAACACAAAAGGAATATGCACTGATCAGCGCAAACACATCATTCAGTCTTCCGAGGGTAACAAAACGAATACGAAGAAGCTGCCGGATTGTTCTGTGATGAAGAACACGGCTTGGTAGAGAATGGTGCCATCATCATGTTGGCAGCAACAAGAGCTTGCTTGCTAGCTAGCCAACTACCGGTACGGTACGCATGCAATGGGGAGTGTCGCTAATGAGCAAAAAGTGAGGTGCTTGCGTGCTTGCCAAAGTCTTTTTGCCCCTGGAAGTCGATGTTTATTCTTCTTCAACAGAAAGCAAGTGTTCTGTCGAAGGGCTGGGGCTATTCAAAAATATTACGACTTCTCCAAGGCGTTCGTCCACCGGTCATGGGTATGGGTCATTGGGTGTCAGGTTTCCCAGCAGGTCACACGAAGATACATGGGCCAAGAGTTTGGTTTGAACAAACCAACTTTCCTCACAATTTCTTTTGGATCCCAATCCCAATCCAATCTTTTAGGAAGCAAAACCAAAACCAAAGCCAACCCACCAAAATGAAGACTATCTTTTCTTGCGCTACCTTGCTCTTGCTTGCCGCCAAAAGCAGCGCCACATTCGTGGTGTCTCCTGTCGGTGACCGTCCCAAGACAGCATTGTCTCAGTCTTTTCATCCCGGCTATGGTATCAAGGACTGGCAGAACAACCGCGTCCCTGCCTCTGTGTACACAGAACCAGTGACCAAGTCCAAGATTATGGACGAGATCAACGCGAAGAGAAAGGCAGGGGAACCTAAAGTTGAGAGTATCCTTGACCCCAGCTTCGCTCTGACCTATGTTGTCGCCATGGTTGGACCTTATGTTTCAACCCTTCACCCAGGTAGGATTAAACCCCGCATCTCGTTTTGCCTGATTAAGCATGCTGCTCAACTAACTCTTTTTCGAATGCATCGTATCCGTCCATGCCTGATGCATCATCCCAGGTGGACCTGCCTCCCTCTTGGCAACAGGTGGCAACTGTTTCCATCTCTTGTTGGCGGCACTGCTTTGGGTTCAGACTTGCCGCGTGCGCTGCGTCTTTGAGAGTGATGGAATTGAGTTTTACAACCTCAAGGGTGCTGGATTGAATTTGAAGAAAGGGGCCCGACTGGAACGTAAGCCCGGCAACTTCGTGGTTGGCACCGACAACCGCTGGAAGTATGACAATATCACCGGCTACCAGTTCTTCCCCTCGATCTCCCTCCCCGTAATTTGCGTTTTGAAAGAGAAGCAAACTGGAGAAGGCAAGCAGTACTATGGGGAGCAGCCCCACTTCTTCCCAGCATTGTTTGACGCCCAGATGTTCAAGGCTGAGATGGACCAACGTGGAGTCAAATATGGCTTGTAGATTGATGGCAGTCGAATTAGCAGGAGACCTGCCAGTTTCAATAAACTAAAAACTTTATATGCATTTATGAAAAACTAAACATGTGCCTTGCCTGCCGTACAGCCGACTCTTGATAGCTATCTGTAGTTGCATGGGCTACGGTACTAGTACCGTTATGCTTGGTCTTTCTCACAAGCGAAGATAAGGATAGTTTGGAGATACTCCGCAAACTTCAAAGCTATGACATAACAGGGAACAAACCAAAGGAGGATGTACTTTTACGGTACCGCTGTGAGGTTTGGGCTTCAAGAGCTCTTCAAGCGGTCAGAGAAAACGGTTGATGGTGGAACAGGTGCAGTACGGTACAGTAAAGTATCCACGTATGAAAGATTTAAGCTGAATCATGACATCATGGGGTACGACCGTAGTACATCATGACACCCGGTGACCACAAACCCCAGTGGGACGTCAGCCATTCAGCCAAGCCCAAACGCTTTTGGGCTTTGAGCTTCCTAGCTAGCTAGCTTCGCTTTGAACGTCAGAGACAAGAGTTCTACCCATGCAATTCTACGAGAGTTCAGCATTTCATTCTCTCAGCAATCAAACATGAGGGTGCACGTCATGGGCGCCCCCTGGAAGCTTGTTGCCGTCCTGGCTGCTTGTGCTGCGCCAAGCATGGCGTTCCAGGCGTCGCGGGGACTATGCTCAACTACTTCAGCTCATTTCCTTGAAGGGCAAAAGACCCAGCTTTCGGCGGTACCCTCCTTGCCTCAGCTCTTCCTCGCCGATGCCTCTGATTCCATTACTATGGATACATTCAATGCTTTGAATGGGATTGTGATCGAAGACTCCACTGTTGGCGGTGCTGGCTCCACGGACGGTCTGATTCTAGTGGCTTCAGGTGTTGCAGTGATTGCCTTACTGGGTTTGGTGGGGCTTCAGTTCATACAAATGGGAGATGAGAAAAAGCCACAATCAGAAACGACCGTTGCGCCAATCAGCACAACTTCTACTCCGACTTTTACAGCGGAAGCCAAGTCGGTGTCAGTGGCCCAGGAGGCTTTGGATTCTACCCCTGAAATAGATGTTAAGACTACCCCTGCTGAAGTTGAGACTATTGAGCAATCCGATGACGTGGAAGAAGCCAATCCCAAAAACGCTCTGAGGCCAGACAGCTCTCCGTTTTTTGCGTCCCCAGACAAGTATGGTATAACTCAAAGGGTGGATGTTGCCTTGACTGCTCTGAATGATGACGATCGTCCTAGATTGCTGGCTGCACTGGGTCGTCTGATTGGCCTATTGCGAGCAGCACGCGTGGAACTAAAACGGGAAACCCAACTACGACAAGATGCCGAAAGGAAGGTTGCGATATTGGCTGAAGAATCCAGAGACTTGGAGGACAAATTTGAATTGGAACAAACCAAGGTAGCTTCCACTTCCAGGAAATTGGTACAAGCTCAGTCTTCCTTGGGCCAAACTGAATCAAGACTTAGGACGACAACAGCCCATTTGGAAGAGCTCCAAGAGGAACGACAATCATTGCGCAAATTGGGTGGGGCCGCCTGGAGGTTGACGAAAGATCGAGTACGAAACCGAGTCGGAAGGCTTGGTAGAAAGAAGGAGGAAAGCTGAATATGCTTCTTTGTTTTTGTTGTTTTTGTATGTACATGTATGTCATGTGAGGAGGAAAAGTGTTGAGTAGCTGTGGTTTAATTAATTCGACGTGCGTAGTGTAGTTCCTCAGGCACAACAAGTTTCTACTTCTAGCTAGTGTTCGTCCAACGACACTGCGACTGAAACTCATCGTCCGGCCAATTGCTGCTTGACTCGAGACAAAGCTATGGACTGTCTCACTGGCGCAATAGAAGTAGTCCCAACGCTAAGGAGGACTAGTAGGCATATCAGAGTCATCCCATTCGGCAGAACAGTCCTCCAAGACCCTGCTCCGCTACCAGTATTCTCTCCATTGTCATACACGACCTCGCCGGATTCACCACCGGTGCTGTTGCCGCCGCTATTCGATGCATTGCCCCCAACCCCAGGCATCCCGGCGCTGATTGATCCACTTCCTTCACCTCCTGGTAAAGCTTCTCCGACGAGACTTCCACCCTGGCCATGCCCATAAACTACCAGACGCCATGAGAGCAGTTCATTGATGTCTGAAGTTGGCATGCCACCCCCACAAACACAGCAGGCATCCAGTCCGGTGCGACCGTCTTCCTCCTGAAAGAGACGAACGCCTTCCTCGTTGAATGCGACGCCATCAACGCAGAATTCGGAAGCCCCGATGGTTCCACAATCCACAATACCAAGACTATCGTCATCATCACTACCGACGTAAACGGCAAAGTTTGGAAGATCCACGCAGTCGGCCTTGTTTCCAGGAGACTTGTCAGTGAGAGTCAACGACCACTGCCCCGTGGGATTTTCCCCATAGAACGCCACCGAGAGCAATTTCCACCGTTCTTCCTCGGGCAGATGCTGATTTTCGGGGCGGAAGGGAGGGTGTAGCACGGACAGAGTACCCGAAGGAGACGTCAGGACGATTTCCAGGTCTCCTCGGCTGGCATGTGCCAGTTGGAGATACACCGACACTGATTCGGTAATGAGATTGTTCCCATCGTCGACAGTTACAAACGTCTTGGCAGGGATGGAGGCATCATCATAAATGGGTAGTTTGATAGTGCCAGACTGGATCACCAACTGTCTTTCTGGTCCAACGTTCTCCCAAATCTTGGCGGCTTCCACAGCCGCCAAAGTATCGAAGAGACCAAACCCATAGTAATTGCTGTGGCGCAACCCAGCACCGTTGATTCCCCAGCTGGGATGTTCTTCGTCCACCAATTTGGCGGTGGTTGCTATTATCGCCTGAACATCACGCCAACCAAGGTTAGGATTTGTTGACAGCACCAACGCAATGGCCCCTGCCACCGATGGTGTTGCAAAGGAAGTCCCCACTGTACCATCGGTGCAGCCACCTCCAGGAGTAGCAACGATGTTGTTGTGTATGCTTTCATGATCACCTCCTGGGCCACTTATAAAGACGGCAGCACCAGTAGTTGAGTACGAAGCGTGAAGGCCATCCTTGCCAACAGCTCCAACGACAATTGTGAATCTGGTGTTGAGCCATCCTTCCATGTTGACATCTTCAAATTCGTCGTGTTCATTCCCTGCAGCAAAGACATAGATGATTCCTTTTCCATCTCTTCCTTCTTCAATGCCTCTTGTAATGGCATTTTGTCCCACCTCTGACAAAACATTGTATCCGCTGGGATTTGCAGGGAAAACCGATATGTGAGGGGCATGCTGCCATCATGATGGCCTTCTCAGACGCAATTGCCCACCACTTACCAGGTGATGAACAAATCAAGGAATTCAGCACTGTCAGTGATGATCGTCGGTTGGATTATTACAAGCAAGGGAGGATAGGCCGTCATGACAAGCAACAGAGGACTCAGACCTGAACAACGGATGCGCAAATAAAGATGACCAGTGCAACACGCCATCTGCTTACCATCCCGAGTACTCCTCTTCGTAATACGCAGTGCAATATTTCACAATGACATCCTCACAATCCTCATCTAGAGAAGTACAGATCTGGCAGGGAGATTCAACGGAATCACTGACGAAGGGACAAGTATCCAACCGGCGCATTCCACGCCTAAGAGTGTCATCATCACTAAAGCCAGCTCCTGGTAACCGTGAACAGGCATCAAAACCCCCTTTCAGTTTTTACACAATGCAAAAGAAGATCAGGTTAGCCCAAAGGATTTGGTTTGGTATCAGACATACGACAGATTGCTCTTGAGACTGCGTCTTACAGGAGTTGACCGAAATGTGGGTGGTCTCCAGTCCGTCCAGAAAGAACCTAGCAGGACTCTCATCTGATATTGCAGTTGGCCCGACACATGCACTCAGAGAGGCCTCAGGTGCCACGCCTACAGCACACTTGCCGTTGTTTCTGCTTCCCAACGCCAGGGTCGCAACACCAGTGCCGTGTACGTTTTGATTGTCGTAGGTCCAATAGTTCCCTTTACAACTCGCAGCTTCATCAAACCGATCGGCTAGTTCCGGATGGGTAACATCTACACCATCAGGATCGTTGACCCTTATCATGACACCACGGCCAAGAATGCCTTGTTTCCACACCGGCTCCACGTTCAGCAAATCAAAGGCCCACTTTTGGGCCTGATACAGTGGATCTGAAAAGATCTGGTTCTCATCATCACAAGTAGATAGCCAATCGGCTTGGCTTGTGCAGGTGGATTGCTTTGCAAATGAAAACTGCGCCATCCAATTGGAGGTCCAATAATCCATACCCAATGGTTGCGAGAGGCAAAGTGCATCGGATGGACACCATACACACCCGGCATTTGTGCAGGCTTCACACCCTATAAAATTAAACTCTTGACACGGGTCACAATCGAAGCAATCACTGTTCTCAGGACAAACCCCATCAACCCCAGCATCACAGACTCCTTCCTGTGGATACCCACACGGATCATTGTAGTAGTCACAGCTCTGAGCTCTTATTGTGTACCCTGACAGCAGGAGGAGGGAAACCAGGATGATACCGTAGACACGTGTCCATATTTGTATCATTCTGCGACGGAGGTACCTTAACCAGGAGCCTGCCTCAATCCGAAAGGGTATTGGTATGGGGCCTGAACTGGTACAGTTCTATTCTGCACCAGTGGCACCGATGCCACAACCGACCTTCTAGGTGAAGAAGGATACGGCTCGAAGGCTGGCTAGGTAGCTTATTTGTAGGGCTAGTTAGATGAGGACCTAGCTAGCTGGGAGGGCGAAGCTGTTGCCCTTTCTACAGTATGGCGGCTCCACGCTTCCAGTAGCCTTCCGTCCAAGACAATGCGCCATGGTCTCGGAGCGAGGAGAAGAGGAGGAGGAATAAGCTGTTGGCGGCAACTTGCTGCAGTAGGGTTAGAGAAAAGCAAAGGGTTAAATATTAGGGCTACTTGACTCGAGACTCGACTGAGTCGAGTCACTCACGCTCCGCAAGAGCGAAAACTGGATTGATGTACATCCAGGATGAACGGAACCACTCGTTCGGTAGATCTAGCTAGGTCTAAGCTTTTGCTTTTTGGATCGGACAAAGCCGTCAAGGCTATGCTCGTCCCGTCTATCGTTTGTAGGCCTTTATTTGGCAGAGATATTCCCTTCGTAGTATTTGAAATGCTGCATCATCGGTTGCGTTCTCATACTGCCTGCCCAGTACCCTTGCTAGCCTGTCCGTTGATCGCAGACCAGGGAGCTTCGGACCGGGATGACTATACCTTGATACGCGCATTGTTAGAGCGACAGATTTTGTTCAGTCTGTCGCAACTTCGTGTAAATTGGGTCGTCTTCGTGGCAGACCTGCATGCCATCGTGCTACTCCCTTCCTCCGGTGGCTGAAGGGCGACAACTTTCGCTTAAAAACAAACAAGCTACACAGATTATTGGCTCTATCTACTACGGATGCAACTGCACTGTTATGAATCTCGCTGGTTGCATCGCAGGCGGCCTGAATTGACAGAGGGATTCAACCTTCAGTTCCCGTTTCTTCCAGCTTCAGTCCAACTCAACCACTGGACACCCCAACCAGCTTGGAAAGTTGGGCATCGTCTACTCGCCAAAGGCTTCCTGCAGTTTCGCCTCTGTCAGTACGTGCTCGAGTTCCTTTTCAATGAACAGCCTGCAACCACCATCAGCCTGGGGCAACATAATGGATGGTCCAGCTTGTGTCGTCAATGACAAGGCTTGTCCCATGTCGCCGCCAAAGTTTGGCAATGGAAACATGCTATTGTTTATCATGATTCTGCCATCGCATTCATCTTCGGCCTCCAATCCCTTGTGCACAAAGGGCAAGAATGCCCAGTGACGTTTTTCAAATACAGTTGTAGTGAGACGCCAGAACCTAAGGGCTTTCTTGTCATTGTGCATATCCAGCAACCCTTTTCGAATTATCACGGCTAGCTCCGAAGCGGACTTGTCAGCGGGGTTGTCAATCGTAATGGGCCAGTTTAGGACTCCTAGACCATAGGTGTGGTTGGGCATGATCCCCACATATGGCCGGGCATCACGAAAGAGGACCACTCGGAGCTTCTTCTTGCGGTATCTGCCGGTATCTTGCAAATGTTCCACCAATTTCTGCACCAACATGGCCACTATCGTATCCTGAGAGGCAATCCAGTCTCCAGATTCTTTGGGTGGCGCTAGTTGTTGTTTCAAGTCCTTGATCTTGCGAGCCGAGATGCTGACAGCATTTCGACGTTGATCCGGGTGCCAACCCCAGAGATAGATTAAATCATCAAAGAAACGAAGAAATGGCAATAGAAATTCAATCAATAACCACCCTAGGCACTGCTGAAAGATCGTGCCATCCAGGGTGGGGCCGTCATCAACCACCTTGCCAAAGAACTCCATCTGAGCGGCACGATAGTCTTCCATCTTCGTGAAAGGCCCAGGAATGGCATCTCGGTTGACGGGAGGAACGTGCGCCAAGGGTTGATGGTGAGGCACCCAAGCCGTGGGATCTTGTTTGGCTTCACCCTCTGGAGGATCCATCTCAAAGAGCTTGCGTGACTCTTCGGCCCAAACCTGTTCAAAGTTGGCAATGCTGACTCCGTCCATGACTGCATGAGAGACGGTGATGCTGAGGGTGGCACTTTTGTCGGGGAACAGGTAGAGGCAAATGGTGCAGATGGGAGCCTTGCCGTTCATGACTTGCTGGGGATCTTCATACACAGTGTAGGTAGCGGTATCCATGGGAGTCAAAGGTTTGTCAAGGGGGCACTTGTCCGTGGCGTTCTCGTCCTCGAGATGGTAGACACGGAAAGGAACTCCGTACTTGATAGCTTCAACGTCGCTTTCACTGCCGAGAGTCTTAGAACAAACACTGCTAGTCTCTTCCTCTCCTGTGATCAAACAATCCACTGGCAAAACGACTGAACAGTTCCTGCGGCCCATTCCAGGTCGGCAACGTCCCGCAATTACAGGGTACAACCCAAGGGCACGGCTGAGTGCAACCTTCAGTGTGTCAATATCCGCAGTTGTGCACTGCTGAAGGCGATAGACACGGCTGTAGTAACTCGAAAGACTCAAGTGCATTGTGCCGTAGACCGATTCGTGGGGAAGGATTTTGACACTGATCTCATCTCCATTGGCACTGCGTGGATATTCACCTTTGGGTAGATTGTCAAGTTTCTGAAAGGGCAGGATCCAATCGACTTCCTCTGCTTTCGCTTTGTTGGGGGCCTTTTGAATACGAAAGGATTCGTCCTGAGAGTTGCTGGACGATCTCTTTCGGCTCCAGCGAGTGGCCAATCGGCACAGAGGAAGCAGCAGCAAGCCTGGTAGAATCAAGATGACGATCCAACGGAGGGTGTCCACATCAACACCCGATTCAAAAATAATATCCATCTTTCTTTGGGGATGCGTTGCCTTGAATTGTGTTCCTTAGAGACGCAGAGCGAAGGTGAAGACTTTTTTTGCTTGGACTCTGCTTCGGTGCAGATTGTGAGCACGAGTTGCGAATGAAGAAAATGAAGTCGAGGGTATCTGGCCATCCTCTCGTACCGGTACTAACTAGCTACCGGCACGTAGCGCCACCGCTCCAGCTACCTACTGAGCAACGTAATGTACAAAAACTACAAGAAGAGTAGTTAGCCAGCCCGCAATTGGTCGGACTCACACGATTACGCGTATCTTTTTCGTAGAGGTTAGAGGGTCTGAGAAAAGAATCTTTGGTACTGGGATTGGAGAGGGGATTGCATTGGCCGGACTGGCCTCTCATTTATGCCTTTTGTGGGACATATTTCGCATGCTGGACTGCTCTGGAATGGCTTGGAGGGGAACCGTATTCCTAAGAACTTTAAATAATTGGTTCCGAGCTGCTTTTCGAGAGTTAGCAAGAGGACTGTATCGTGGTCATCACGCCAGTCGACAAGTCGACAAAATTCAAGTGTTCACTTGGATGCAGTCCAGCCAATCGCCTTCGTACACCAAAAGTGTAGGAAATGAGCATCACGGGAAACATCCTTTCCGCAGGGTCCTCCATCCATGATGCCCCATCCATCTGAACCCAGACCAGGAAGGATTTGACCAGCTCGCCAATTCTAAGCTGTCCAGTGCCCTGATTTCCCGCGTTCGGGAGCAACGGATCGTCACTTCACATGCTAGGTGTAGGAAGAAACCAGCCAACCATCATTTATCTGCTGTTGCAACAGGGATACAGGGATGCAAACTGTCACTGTCTTCCCCGTCCGACTATTTTGTGCTGACTACAGGTATACGAGGATACTGGGTGGTGCAGTCAAGCAGGCTGTAGCTGTGGCAAGATACCGGTACATTCAAGACTCGTCAACGTATTCTAGTACTTCGATCCTGTCATTTCTTTTGCCTTGTCCTCAAGTACAGCGGACCTTACTGCCTCATTCCAGCTGATGATACACCTCCTTGCCAGGAGCGGTACGTTCAAAGGATGATCGGGCAGATTTGGGACCCACAGGCCCTGCTAAGGTAGGTCTCTATCGCCAAACTTCCCAAACCGGTCGAGACTTTGTTCAGTCCACTGGCTAGCTAGATAGCCACCTACTTCACAGGAAACGGGTTCCGAAATCGAGAATCAGCGTTCACCTACGATTCCTTTGTAATCAAGGACCGCCAATAGCAACCCGCCATCTTGACGAATAGACAAATTGAACCGAAACAGTGGAAAGGCAAGAAAAGTGGTATTCTTGACAGCACAGATAGATGCGAACAAAACGGAGGATGAAAATGTTGAGACTTGAAGAAGAACCACAACAATCTGGCCGTCCAATGACACATAACCAATTGCAAATGGGCAAGTTTCTCTCGGAATACTCAACAACCGTTCTTGCGGTCCACCTTTTGGTGTTGGATCGCAGCAAAACCTTCATCCACAATAGCAATGTGTACTTCCTGCTTGCGTTCATCTTCCTCTGGATCTCTGGTGTAAGATCTTTCTCTCAACATCTCCACGATCATGGGACCCTCTCATCCACGTGGGTCTTTTGTATGAGATTGCTCGAATCAGCAGCTTCATTGTGAGAAAGGGGCGTTTTTTACATTCACTTCAAGCACCCACCAGGCCTGCCTCGGGCGAGAAGGGTCGCCAAGGCATCCAAAGGACCTCTTGTGTGCGTCTTTCAGTTGTCAACCGGAAGGCGAAGGTAAAATAGAACATTCTGTAAACTAGGCAACAACGTAGAAAGTTATTGGAAGACAGAATCTCCACCACCGTGTTCAGTAACAGACAACTTTGACTGCGTCACTCGGCTCGCCTGAACTGTTCCGTGGCAAATGATGGTAGATGCAGCAGCAAATGTAGAGAGGCTTTGGGGTTGGTTGTTGCAACATGTGGCTCCCCATGACGTGCCCTGCCCGGGGATTGGCCCAGGTGGATGGCGGCATTTGCCATTGTTCCAAAACGAAGCTTGCCAGCCAGATTGACTAGCTAGCTATACCAGCTACAGTGTAGCCAGTAGAGCAACACAAATTCCATGCCATGCACGTCCTGTGCAAGGAAGCCCAAAAGTTTTTGGAAACGCGTTTTTACAGCTCTCTTTTTACAGGGTTCAAACAATGACATTCTTCGAATGAATAAATCCGCGGACTGCAGAAAAGCTCATCCCAAGTGCGCGGACTTCAGCCGGGACAGTCCTGCGTCCTAGCCGTCATCTTGCTACTACATGTACTGAACCGGCACCGGTAGCTACATGTAGCTAGCAAGTTGTTAGTCTATTAGCTTTAGCTAGCTAGATAGAGCCAGGTAGAGATTCGATTGAATCATTCGGCACCGTATCGGCCAGCCATGATAGTTCGGAATTTCGCATCTCAGCGTGCGGTTGGCGAAGGCCCTGCTACGGCAGGAGCTGGGACCGGTAGCCAGGAACAGAGATTGTTTGTGTAAACGTCAAAGGTTCGCTAAGTTAGTGTAATTTAAAAAAAAGATATGTAACAAGTAAGTCTAGTGGTTGGCTTCGCTGACAGAGCAGGTACATGTACAATGAAAGGGATTATGGCTGGCGGTTTGCTGGATGTCAGTCTCTTTTTTGACACGACTTTGCTTGTTTGGATCGGCATCAAAGCAAGGAGCTTCCAGCCCTCGCGCCAGTCTCTCGAGTTCACTGACGAGCCTCCTGAGTGCATGGGCGGGTTGGTTGGAAGGGAGCGGTTCTCCTGGTGGGAGGAGCTTGAATGGCCAAGGCTTCGTCAAGGATATCCAGAAGAGGACGGTCGGTCTGAACACCCAGCATTTCAAAGCTCTCTCGCAACGGAAAGGTTACCCCACTCGGACGATGATGCTGGTGAACCCCCGAACCGCGAATCAGGGAATGCAGACTTGGATGATTCGTCGTTTGCATATCTTGAGGCGCGACCGAAGCAGGGGCTGAAGCTCTTGCGGTTCCATTGGTTGCAAAGGGAGAAGGAGCTTGATTCTTGCTGGATGTCATTGTGGGGTGTATGTTTCTAGGGGTGTACGGTACGCAGGCGAAGTTGGTAATCTGTTGCAATGCAAACTGAACCAGGAGCAGAATTGTGAGCTACATGTACGTTGCCTTTCGTTTCTTTTCACTCCTTTGCTCGGGCGCGTGATGTTGGTTGGCAGAGGCAATTGCTTGATGACTTCGTCAACCACCAGTATGTCATGGTGTGTGCAGATCCATTCGCCAGTTGTCGGTTCCAACGTTCCAACGTTCCAACAACTGAGTGTGGCTGGGTTCCGATACCGATAGTGAAATCTCTCCAAGCTTCTCCTTGGAGTGGAATTAGAGTCTTAACGCTTGCACGTATGCTAGAGCCAAAAAGCTTCCTGACCGAACTTGCGAAAGAATATGTCTTACCGGCACGCAAACCCGTGTTTCTGCAAAGAAGAAAGTAACAATCAAAATACTTATTGGTGTATTGAGCTTTCCAACTCAATGGTCAAGTTCAGAAGCTTGCTGCAACAACAGAGCTGGGAACTGAGGGCCAATGACACTCAAGCAGGATTTAGTCACAGTTTCAAAGGATTTTAGGATTCAAAGAGTCCAAGACACACAACATTCTACCAAAGTCCTACACAGTCTTAATGGTGAATAGTTTCGATTCAGCTTAGGAGCTGTTGAAGCAGCTTCAGCATTTGCATTGGCGAATCCGTTCCCTTAAGACTCTTTTGATCGAAGAAGAAGGCGATTTCGTAGTCTTAAAACCTTTAATCCTCTCAACATTTACTCTTCCTTTACTTTGAGTAAGTCTTTACTCTAGGTACCATTAGAAAGCTTTAATGAGCTACGAAAGCTGCAAAAGCTCATGCTCCCTTTTCCAATTTCAGTTTCCAACAGAATGATTCAATCGTACTCGAGTACTCGAGCACTGTACGACTACCAGTACTGTACGTGATTAAATTTTTGTATTTTCTTTGTACTTCCGTAGCGCTTCGGTGGTTGGAGTTCTTCTCGGAGTTTTCAAAATTTAGAGTATCATACATGTAGTGAGAGTACTAGTACTGTAGTGAGTCTAGCGGCTAGAGTAGCGGACTTGAGTTGCCACTGTGGCCTGTTGCCTCGGCACTGCTCGGCAGCTTCTTTGCTGAAGAGCTAGCATGCGGGTTGCACTGCAGGAACAAAGGTACAGTACTCTTGATTTTGTTTTGAAGCTTTGAAGTAGTTTGTGCTAGGTTGCTGCTCCCGCCATCGCAGCCTGTACGATACCCTTCCTTGTGGCTTGTGTTCCACTGCATAATAACTCCATAACTCCAGCCCATCTGTTTTCATTTCTGCCCTCCATTATTGTTCACACTTGAGCGAGGTGGAGCGCGGTGGAGCGTGGATGGTATGAACAAACGGAAGCTACGGCACTGGCATCTGTCGTTTGTTGTTGAAGTCCGCTTCAATTTCTTCCGGCTCAACAGAGGAAGTAGACTACGTGAAGTTCAGCAAAAGGTAATCGTAATTGCAATGGGATCATTGGGAAATGGCAAATATTGGCTGAAGACATAATGAAATAGGGTACCGTTTCGAGTCAGTCAGCAGCTTTGATCCAGTACATGTAATGCAATAATTCCTTCATGGCATGCAAGCCGCCAAATTGATCCAATTAATGATGAAGCTGCCTTGCTTTGAGGCCTGGTTCAATCTTGTCTTGGGCTCTCAAAATCAGTGAAGCTTGGCCATGTTTCGAGATAGCAGAGGCACCGGTGCCGCACTCAGGATATGGTGGATGCTCCTACTGCCATCGATGGGTACCGTATGCTATCAATACCGGTATCAGGATACTCATCAAAGGCATCTGTGAGATTGACATTTGGAGTCGCCACAGCAAATCCCCCACCAAGCTTGGATTTGCTTGGTTTTGCTTGGTGCCTTGACTGGCTGGAACCTTCCTCGCAGTCTACAGCGGCACATACAGCAAGCACATACAGCTAGCTTTGTGCAACTCGTCCCATCTGACTTGATTACAGCGAATAGTCAGCAGCTTTGAATCAATACTATCCCATGCAAGCTGCCAAATTGATGGTGCAGGTGCCTTTCTTTGAAGCCTGCTTCAATAATCTTGTCTGGGGCTTGCAAGATCTTGGATGGGCGGCCATGTATAAGGATATCAGAGGCACCACACTGAGGATACGGTGGGTGTTCCTATCAGCCGAATCACTGGTGTCTGTATGAATGTTGAGTATACCTACACACCACGGAAGTTTCAATCTGTTCTCTCAGTTTGAAGATTCAGAGCACCAAAACCCAGCAAGGACTATGTGGGCGTACGGAGGGCGGCAGTTCTAGTACAGTACTCGTCTATTGCATTACATCTAATATATACTCTTTCTCTGCTGTAGAAGCGGCCATGTATTCCGTCTTCTGGCTGGCCGCCCTGTGCCGTGGGAATCATTTCTTTCTTTTGGTTGTCACTACTTTGGCTGCGACCTGCTTGTCCTTGGCTAGCTAGGAGGCGAAGAACCCCGTGGAGATGATGAACAAGCAAACAATGTGGGCTGATGCGTACAGCCAGGTTCTACTGGCATATGATGCAGAAGAGGAGGGGAAAGAGTCTGCTCCAGACCACCAGTCGCCATCCGTGTTGCCCTCCGTGTTGCCAACTTGATCATCTCCAAAAAGAGAATCAGCGTTTGACCACCAAGGAGTTTTGTCGTCATTGCTGCTTTCATCCTCGGAGTCCTCGCTCCAGTGGTAGTTTCCATTGGTAGAAAACTCACCACATCCACACGGCTCGTAACTGAGCATCCAGCCAGTGCAAAGCAATAGACAAATGAAAAGGTTAGTGGCAAGTAAGTCCAGACTGAGCCATCATGGTCGATTTCTCGTTTGCAAACTCACGCAAAGTATTGCAGCGGATCACACAAGTGATCTGGAATCAATCCCTGCTGTCCAACCTTCCAGTACTGAGCGCAGCTCCCACTACCTATATACAGCATTGTCAGCACTAAAAGCAAAAAAGGAAGCAGACCAGAAAGTGAGTTCAGTGCTCTGTTTTGCTTGCGCACATAATTCAATGCAAACTACAACACACGAATCTTACCCATGCTTGTAGTGGATGGATAATCTCCGTCACGACAAACGTTGCATTTTTCGTAGGGTCCAACTTGTTGGATGCTGTCAATATCAGGATACTCATCAAAGACATCAGTGATATCTACATCAATCGGCTGTTTATCACCACAACATATCTCCCGCCAAGCTTGGATTTGTTTGGTACATTGACTGGAACCTTCCTCATAGTCTACGGCAACAGATACAGCTAGCTTTGTGCAGCTTGTCCCATCTGACTTGATTACAGCAAATGGATACTTCAAGCCATCCACGCCGTCTTCACACAATAGGCAGACAGCTCCAACTTGACGAGGACAAAGAACTGCCGCCAACACAAAAAGGGCTTGGGAGTTGATGATTAATTGTCGGAACATTTTCTTTGTTTCTTTCGTTTTGGGTTTACCAGAGTCGAGATTGTGACTTCCTGGGAGGAAGGGCGCATCATGGTCTCTCCCTGTCGGCTCAACTAACTAACACAGTACCGGTACGGTCTCTCTTGATGATGTTCCGCCTGCCCAATACCGGCTTAATTCGTACCGCAAGAACCGTGATCTGTGAAACGGCCAAGATACTGCCAACGGATGACCCACCTTGCTTGCACCTAACAGCCAGCCGATGATTGGCAAAAAAGGAGATAGAGCAGCGCCGTCACAACTTCACAACGAGCAAAAAAATCACAAGCTCATCAGCACAGAATAGTTGCAAGGGCGAGCCAAGACAACATTCGGTCTTGATCATCCACCCGAGACATTGGCGGTACTGGTGTATCATACTTTTACGGTCTTCTACGGTATGGGGCTCCCTCCGCAGTCATGCCTTCAGAGCCATGCTTCTTGTGGCAAAAAATAGACAAACTCCCGCATGGCAGATAGAAGCAGGGGTGTGGTCTGAAGTGTTCCTCTCCTTGCAGTAGCTACCGGTACGACTGCACGACTGTACGACAGCAGACCGTGATGGTTCGTCCCGCAACAACCGTATGCTACCGGTACAGTAGCTAGTGGGGCCCCCTCAATCCTCCGTACGACCTGAGTCGAGTCGCCGAGAACACGCATCATGCTAGCTATCGAGGAGTAGTGCCAGCCACATGCAGCCATGTATGTATAGCTTATCAAGCACCAACTAGAAAGTACACGCGATGTAGCGGAGCGTTTCAATGGAAGCAAGCAACACCGTTGCTGATGACTTCCTGTCTACAAGCAGTACCTACCTTCTTGACTGGCTGTCGTTTTCCGACAATGATTGAATAAAGCATTGTGGGAGAGCTCCAGCGTCCATTCATCGTGCTCCTCCATTGATTCTGTTGACGACGACATGGAAGGCCAACAGCAGCCTCCAGATCTGCCTCTGCAATAGACCCATGACGGATCTTGATGCCGAGGAGGACACCCGAACAACGACCCCGCAAGTCCGTCGCGACTCGACTTCGAAAGAGTGACACGAGCACAAAAAGCAAAGAGCTTGGGGAAGTGGTTCTCATGCATGCATTACTACTAGTATCCGTATACTTATGCTCCTAATGTACCGTATCGTTTAAAGATTCTGTTCCAGGGTTTAGTTCATATCTCCTGGAGTGGCGTGGTATCCAAGGTATGAATAGGTACGCAAGTCTGCGTCGGCGCTGATGTATTGGAGGTATTCGTCTGTAAGGTATTCGTCCGTGGGTTGAACTCCTTCAATAGTTCCTTGATCGGCGAGGAACTCTGCGATAATATCGTAGACAGTGTCAATTGTAGACTTGCCACCGTTGGTAAAGTCACGGCTCATGAGGGAGCAGAGGTGATCCAAGTTGAAGGTTGGACGGGTGAGGAAGTCACGTTCGATATCTTGGTCGCTGGGCTCCTTTCCAACATAGTCGTAGAAGGCTCTGGCATACGTGAGGACTTCGGATCGAACGGCCTTGTTTTGCATGGTAGTAACACCTCGCAAGTAAACGGCCAAGGCCCTGGCAGCTAGGTCGGGGTTTTCCTCTGCCCACTCGTCACGGACCATCAAACCACCGGGAATTGTCACACCCACATCAATACCGTTGCACAAGGCCACAGCATCTTGATTGTCCTCGAGATAAATGTACGAGTTGGGAGCCCACAAGGCGCCGTAAGAACTGTTTCCAGATTCCAAAGCTCCAATTACGTCTCCCTGTCCTCCAAAAAAGAAGTTGCTTTCGTCGGTTTCGATACCAAGGACAAACAGACATTCACGCATCAAGAGATCTCCGGTGGATCCTGGTGTTTCCGCGAACATTCCCTCGCTGAGCTCGTCACCGGCAGATGGCAGACTGGTCACTCCTGGTCCTCCAACAACGACATTTGCGGTGGACTCGTCGTTACTGATGCCAACTGTGGAAATTCCCAATGGCCCGGCAATAATATTGGGATTGCATCCAGCGACTCCAAAGTCCCAGGCATCATTTTCAGCGGCAGCCCTGACCTGAGGACCGCCAGAGTCCCACTGTCCGTCAGAAAATTAAATGTTCAGGGAGAAAGTCGGATTTGAAAAGTACAAAGGAAGCGTTAGAGTTTGGGAAAACACACACAAAAGAAACTCGAATAAGTCCCCACCATTCTCTCTTTTGCACACCAATCCCTCAAGTGTCGGACTTACCACGGAGATGTTGACATCCAATCCAAGTTCCTCGTACCATCCCATTTGAATGCCCAAAAAGACAGGGATTCCATGGTATGCAGGCTGGATACTAATGTTGATTGGTGTCAGAGGCTCAGATGATTCTGCCGGTCCATCTTCTTCTTCGCTTTCCGCGAATGGTTCGTTCATGGCTGCCAGCTCTTCTTCGGCAGAATCAAACCTCATACCCATGTTGCCTTGGAGCTTCCTGGTCTTCTTGGCGGCATGCTGGCCTCGGACTCCGCTGAGCCCGTTGAGGTTAGCATTGGAGAGAGGAAGGGATACCACCAAGGTGGCGATGGTCGATGCAAGAAGCTTCATGGTTATGATTGATTTCCTCAAGATATGGTACCCAACAACAAAACAATCGATGCCTTCGTCGCTTTGTGTCCGAATGGAGAAGATGACATCTTTCGCACAAACCTTTTAGAGTCTTCGTACTTCCGTCAGTACTCAAACTCCCTAGGATCTCAAGCAAACCATAATATCTTTGGAGACTCATTTTTTGCCCGCCAAAATAACCTCCCAGCGCTCTAATTACCTTCAACGATAACGTCCATCCATAAGCTTACTATCAAGTCCCGATAATACCGTTAATTACGCTATTGGCCAATGGTGTCTAATTATTATGTTTCTATTGATTATCTGTGCAGTACTTTGGCGCAGCAAGGAACATAGGAATTAGGGGTTCAAACCTGGGGGATGAGCAAACTTACCCATGGCTCTGTGTTGAATTTGTTAGAGCGTTTTTGTAAAAATTGTGTACGATAAGCCAATCTTTTACTTTGGCTGTTTTTCTCTATTGGATTACATGTAGATTAGATTGCATTGGATTAGATTGGATTGCATTGAATTACAGTTTACTATAAAAATAACAGTACTATTTGGAATCCAATTCAATCCAATTCAATGCAATCCAATCCAATGCAATCCAATTAAATTTATCTTCCGGCCAAAATACGAATTTCGTCTTTTTAACTGATTTTGGCGAGTCACACTCCATTACAATACAGGGCTATTGCAAGATTTGCCCATCCCCCTGGCTCTTGGTGATTAAGTTGTTTGTCGACGGTTCCACCGGTACATGTGACCAACCTTTTGCCAAAGATTGCAGGGAAAACTTGGACCGGTCCGGTGGGCTGGAGCTTTCGAGGAGCAAAATAGAGAGCGAAGGGCTGTGGCTTTGAAGTTGCTGGTGGCCGACTGCGTCTCGCAATTTCAAGATATTGGTCTTATTTTATCCCTCTTCTAGTAGAGTCTGACAATACTGCACCGCCTGGTCGGGGTTTGGCGGATCATGCTTGGAGAGTTTTAGTGTAGTCTGGTGCTGATTGCAGAGTATGAGGTATTCGCGATCTTCCATCGAACTAACGTACAGTTTGTCGTAAGAGGCAGAGATTGCTTCGTGCTGTGCTTGCTTGTGTAACTAATCCTCGGCATGTCCAGCCAGCGAAATCTGGAGTCTACTAATCTATACTCAAGTAGATAGTTCAGTCCAGAAACAGCATTGCCTTGGGTACTTACTACGTGCCAAGCCAGGTACGGATCTCTCTGCTTCAACTAACTAACTTCATGAGGATAGACTCCACTCGACTCTCTAGCTAGCTAGCCAGCTGGCCACGGGCTTTGGTCGGCTACTAGCTAGCTACCGGTACGGTGGCTACCGATGACTTACCGGTAGCTTTGAGCTCTGGCTAGCTAGAATACGTGTGCGTGGTGTCGGTGTAGGATTGCAATTGTTTAGGTTAAGGCTACGCCGCGTCCGAAGGCAAACCAAACGTCACAAGGAAGCAAAAATTTTGATTTTGATCTTTCTACTTCAACGAGAAATCAAAAGCCCGACGCAGTTTTTCAAAAGTCAGGGTACCAAACCTACTCGTAGAGCTCTCGGAGCTACCGGTAGCTAGTTTGATTTTAAAATCAGCGCCCAATATCAAAGCACCCAATAGTTTGCGAGGAAGAAACCAAGTTCGAAATCAAATTTGATGTTTGATTTTGAAACTGAAGAAACCACAGAAGGCAGCATTGTTTCTGACGAGTGTTTCATCGCCATAATCTCATTCATTCCTCAACAAACTTCCATGTAAACAAGACGTCTACCATTCATTCTTCAAGCAACTCCATGACCATGACGATTATCTTTCCTCCTTCCGCAATGCAACCGCGCTACCATAGCTTCTGTCATGCCAGGCCAGTAGACCATCTGATGGTGCCCCTGTGCTGCTCACTCACTCAAGCAACCTTCATTCTTCAAGCAACTTCCATGTAACAACACGTCGACCATGACCATGACGATTATCATTCCTCCCAACGCAATGCTTCTGTCGCCCTTTATGACGATGACCACAACACGCAACTCTCCCGACGACTTCCTATGAACACACCTCTAATCGACGATTGCAGATGACACGTCAAGACTATCTCTACGATCATGATTCCTTTCAAGGCTGGTGATTTCCTTCCCGTGTTGTCATGCCAGGCCAGTAGACCATCTGATGGTGCCCCTGTGCTGCTCACTGCCTTAGCTTCTGTCGCCCTTTATGACGATGACCACAACAACAACAACAACAACAACAACTCCCTGTCTCTTGGTGGTCTCTGTTGGTGGTTCCTGTGGTTTGGTTGGTTGGTTGCCTAGCCTTGTCCCTGTTGGTGGTTCCTGGTGGTTTGTTTGGTTGGTTGCCTAGCCTTGTCCCTGTTGGTGGTTCCTGGTGGTTCGTTTGTTTGGTTGGCTGCCTAGTGCTCCATTGCCTAGTGCGTTATGGCCCTTGGATTTGATCGAAAGTCTCTTAGGAGGTTCCAATTTCGACATGATGATCTAAGAGTACTACAACCTTGTCCCTGTTGGTGGTTCCTGTGGTTTGGTTGGTTGGTTGCCTAGCCTTGTCCCTGTTGGTGGTTCCTGGTGGTTTGTTTGTTGGTTGCCTAGCCTTGTCCTGTTGGTGGTTCGTGGTTTTTGGTTGGTTGCCTAGCCTTGTCCCTGTTGTGGTTCCTGGTTGTTCTTTTTGTTTGGTTGGTGCCTAGTGCTCCATTGCCAGTGCGTTATGGCCCTTGGATTTGATCGAAAGTCTCTTAGGAGGTTCCAATTTCGACATGATGATCAGAGTACTACAACCTTGTCTGTTGGTGGTCCTGTTGGTGGTTCCTTGGTGGTTTTGTGGTTGTCCTAGCCTGTCCCTGTTGTGGTTCCTGGTGGTTGTTTGTTTGTTGGTTGCCTAGTGCTCCATTGCCTAGTGCGTTATGGCCCTTGGATTTGATCGAAAGTCTCTTAGGAGTTCCAATTTCGACATGATGATCTAAGAGTACTACAACCTTGTCCCTGTTGGTGTTCCTGGTGGTTTTGTGGTTGTTGCTCTGCTTGTCCCTGTTGGTGGTTCCTGGTGTTCGTTTGTTGGTTGGTTGCCTAGTGCCCATTGCCTAGTGCGTTATGGCCCTTGGATTTGATCGAAATCTCTTAGGAGGTTCCAATTGACATGATGATCTAAGATATAAACCTTGTCCCTGTTGGTTCCTGTGGTTTGGTTGGTTGGTTGCTAGCCTTGTCTCTGTTGGTGGTTCCTGGTGGTTTGTTTGGTTGGTTGCTAGCCTTGTCCCTGTTTGTGGTTCCTGTGGTTTGTTTCGTTGGTTGCCTAGCCTTGTCCCTGTTGGTGGTTCTGGTGTTCTTTGTTTGGTTGGTTGCCTAGTGCTCCATTGCCTATGCGTTATGGCCCTTGGATTTGATCGAAAGTCTCTTAGGAGTTCCAATTTCGACATGATGATCTAAGAGTACTACAACCTTGTCCCTGTTGGTTCCTGGTGTTGGTTGGTTGGTTGCTACCTTGTCTCTGTTGGTGTTCCTGTGGTTTGTTTGGTTGGTTGCCTAGCCTTGTCCCTGTTTGTGGTTCCTGTGGTTTGTTTCGTTGGTTGCCTAGCCTTGTCCCTGTGGTGGTTCTGGTGGTTCTTTTGTTTGGTTGTTGCCTAGTGCTCCATTGCTAGTGCGTTATGGCCTTGGATTGATCGAAAGTCTCTTAGGAGGTTCCAATTTCGACATGATGATCTAAGAGTCTACAACCTTGTCCCTGTTGGTGGTTCCTGGTGGTGTTTGGTTGGTTGGTTGCCTAGCCTTGTCTCTGTTGGTTCCTGGTGGTTTGTTTGGTTGGTTGCCTAGCTTGTCCCTGTTTGTGGTTCCTGTGGTTTGTTTCGTTGGTTGCCTAGCTTGTCCCTGTTGGTGGTTCCTGGTGGTTCTTTTGTTTGGTTGGTTGCCTAGTGCTCCATTGCCTAGTGCGTTATGGCCCTTGGATTTGATCGAAAGTCTCTTAGGAGGTTCCAATTTCGACATGATGATCTAAGAGTACTACAACCTTGTCCCTGTGGTGGTTCCTGGTGGTTTGTTGGTTGGTTGCCTAGCCTTGTCCCTGTTGGTGGTTCCTGGTGGTTTGTTTGGTGGTTGCCTAGCCTTGTCCCTGTTTGTGGTTCCTTTGGTTTGTTTGGTTGGTTTGCCTAGTGCTCCATGGCCCTTGCATTTGATTGGTGGTTCCTGTGGTTTGTTTGGTTGGTTGCCTAGTGCTCCATGGCCCTTGCATTTGATTGGAAAGTCTCTTAGGAGGTTTCAATTTTGAGGTGATGATCCAAGAGTTATCCACAACCTTGTCCCTGTTGGTGGTTCCTGGTGGTTTGTTTGAGAATGGACTGTAAAAATTAGACTAGTAGCTGGGGTTGGATTCCAAACCGGACCCTAAAGGGAATACAACTCTAAATCGGACCCAAAATTGGGTTGGGCTTTAGGCAGGATTGAGGAACGCTCCAGTGGTAATATTGAGTTTTTAGCGTATGGTATCATTGGACCATTAGTGGTGGAGGTGTACCGGTACCTTCAAGCTTACAGTTGACTGGTTGCCTTCTTCTTGTCGACAGCGGCAGGAAAAGAAGGCCAAGATGTTCTTCGAAAAGTCTACCTTGTCTTTGAATAAGCATTTCTGTCAATGGTTGCAGCCGGATATGCTGCCCTCTGCTTTGATGGCTGAGGATCTAGTGGCACGAGTGGTAGCAGCAATCATTTTGAAGGAAGAAGATCCAACCTTTGAACTGGCTGCCTATTATAGTGAAGTGCATGAGGCTACTATTCCACTGAAGCTTTCTATGACTTTATCAAGATCTTGGTGGAGCCCGACAAAGAGTACTCCCAACTGGCTACAGATGTGGCACGAGAGGTTTGGCTTGGTCTTCTCAACTTTCGTGATGGTGATCCGGATCCACTCAAGGAAGAGATGCTTTGTCAGTACCTCCCTTTGGCTCGTCAAACACATCATGTTGAGGCAGGTGTCAAGGAAGCCTCTATTGTATCCAAAACTGACCGAAAGGAAGGATTGCGCAGTGCTATGGCTATCAGCAGAGATGCAGACGTTCATACCATCGGTAAACTGGCTGAGATGAAGAACGTGGAGCGAACTGAAGGTCTTCTGCAGAGTGCCTACCGACACACTCTGATCCAAGAGGACTTGATTGATAGCATGGGTGGAGAAGCATATGATTTGGCACTTGGGCAAAGCAAAAGCTCCATGCGACAGAACCACCATCGAACACACCGAGTGCAGGCTCTTCAAGATGAAGCATTGGCAGCTATGCACACTACCCGGTGGATCAATCAGATACAAGCCACCACCGGTGTCCATCAGACTGCAGCTGTAGCAGGAAAGATAACTCTCAGCTTGGTCACTGGGAACCACAATATCCCTCATTTGAAGACTGAACTGTTGGCTCGTGGCCTCAGTGAAGAGGAGCTGTCTGGAAAGAAGATCAAGGCACTCAAGACAATGTTGAAAGAGCACGAGAGCCAGCGTCTTGGTGGTCAAGGTGACAACAGTGTGGCCAACATCAAGGCATTCGAACCTCAGTCTGATGCTCCTTTCGTTCTAAAAGGAAACTAGAGAAGACGGTGTCAGCAACAATAATTCGACGAGGGAAACACGGGGAAACTTACAGTGTGACGAGAGTAGGACAAAAATGAGATAGCCTCCGGCGTAGCCCGAAGGCGGCATCAAACACAGAAGCAGCTGTCGTTTTGGTTGTGGGTGGTTGGTTGGTGGTGGCAACAGATCGGTAGCGGTGGATTGGTATCGGGTCAAAGGAGTTGACAATGGGAGAACAAAATCTGGTGCGGCCATACAGTATTGTTATGACAAAAGTCCGAGGGGCGCCGAAGCACCAACCCCCGACGGCAATCGAAAGGATCAGACAATGGCATTGGTATGGGTAGGTCGGCGGTAGAGCAAATGATCTTCTTTAATTCTCCCGGCAGAGCCGGTGGATCCAGAAGGTTTGATGGTGGCTGTCGCCTCTTTTTCGATTCTTACACTAACAGAGAGTGGTGCTGGGCACCTCTACTCTATTATAACAACAAAGTACATGTGGCAACCTCCTTGTCATGGTGATGAAGTGGTGTTCGGAGTGAGTGCTTTATGGGTGAGTGCTTTATTTTCAGCTGCCCCAGCCCAGTGAGAAAGACTTTTTTTCAATCCCGAGTTTCAAAACTGAGAGAAGCAAACCTCATTATTTTTTGCTGTGGGCGATAGACTCAGTCAAAGCCATGACGCAACCAGGCTGTTGCGATTGGATTGAATCGAATCGAATCGAATCATTCGCAACCACAGTCACCATTTCCCAATCATTCGCAACCTCGTGCCTCGTCTCATGCCACTGATGCCACGCCACGCCACGCCACCTCCCAACAGCGTGAAGGTCCCTTGGCTTTCTTGGTGGTGATGTTCAAATCAGTTGCTCCTGGAATGTTCAGTTTATGGAGTGTGTCTCGAGGGTACCATAAATGGGAGGAATCGAATCAGCGCTGCCATGACCTGCTGACTGCCAAGATATTGGTCTGCTCCTGGGTCCTGGGGCTCGGCGCATGACTATCGTTTATGCATAGACCCCTAGCTAGCTAGTCATGGCTTCCAGTACGGGCAATGGAATACTAGCTAGTAGAGTACTACTAGAGTAGCTGGTAAAAAGTGAGGCTACTATTTTGTAGACAGGAGCAACCTTGTACAGTACACTGGTGCGTAGCAGTAGAAAGAATGGAGTTGCGGGGAACCGCTCTTGGAGCAGTTCCTTTTTGAGGGTCACCAGCAAATTGTGTTAATCTTCCACTTTGAGTCATGCTTCTATTTTGTGTCATTCTTCCATATTGTGTCATTCTTCCAGATTACTTTTCCTGGTACTAATTGCTACGTGTTTTTACGTAGAGCCTTCCAGATTGTGTCTTTCTTCCAGATTGTGTCTTTCTTCCAGATTGTGTCATTCTTCTCTTTTCAGTCATTCTTCCAAAAGAAAACAGTTGGAACTGCCTGATGAACAGGTAAAACCGGTATTCCCGCAACTCCAATAGCCAAACCTGATGGTGCGCGACAATAGCTGTTTCAATAATAGATTGTTCTTTATTCCGCTGCATCATCCACAGCAGCAGCTGGTACGATACTAGCTAGTACTCTTTCTACACAAACTGACTCATCTGTTGTTGTGGACACCACACACACAAACTGGCTCGACTCCACTCGCACTCATCTTGCTGCTGTTGTTGTCGTCGTCGCCGAAAAGCAGCGGCAGCAAGAAGACAACAGGCTACTGACTCATCTGTTGTCGACGGCAGTCATCATCGACAACCACTCAGCAGCGCCATGGTCGACTGCTGCACGTTCGCTCGGCAGCAGCAGCCATCCACTCAGCAGCAGCAACAACAACACTCACAACGTCTCCAGAGGCAAGAAGCCAAGAGGACAGAATTGGAGGCATGGGCAGCAGCAGCAGCCTAGGCATTAGTATCCGATCTCTTGATTGGCTCTGACAACATCACAATGATGATGTTATCAGTAATTCATTCATTCAACACCCAACCACAACCACGAAAAAACGCTACATGGCTCGATAGCCAGGCATTGGACAATCAGCAAACTCATCATTCTCAGAGTCGTCATTGGTATTGTCGCTTGGCTTGTTAGCCACCAAGGAAGCTCTGTTGTTGAGGGTAGCCACAGGCGCAGTGCTGGTGGTGGAAGGAGGAGAGTCGGAGGCAGAGATCTTCAATGCGTCATTGCGGAGGTCAACCATTGCTTCTGCGTGATTCTCTCGAGTTTGTTTGGTAGGAAAGCACCAATCTCTCTTGTGGATTCGATTCCTCTCAATTCCCAATCTTCCTTGGCCAAGCCAAAGAAAGAAGTATCATGCCACCGGACAAAGCAAGTGATGCTGTCATCAACCACACGATCCTTGTTCTTCCTCTTCTGTACCTCATTGAAATGCATGGCCCTGTTGCACTTGACACAGATGTGGGAACAGTTGTCGCCAAAGACAGCACAAATCTTGCTTCTTTGGTTTGGAAGCATTTGCACTGTCGCCATATTAGAAGAAAGCCCATCAAGTCTGCCACACAATCTGCCTTTGAAATCAACAAGATCCTGAGGTGTCAGAGTAGAAGCTGTTGAGTCAGGAGTTGGTGCTCTCTTGTGCTTGACGGCTGATCTTGGTGGGGATGGATTCCTTTTTGAATGCAACTGTTTTGTGGCAACACGAAAGTTTTGGTCTCCAGGATATTTTCGATGGATTGGATTGTACCGGCACATCTGCTTTGCCAGTTTCTCAGGGAAGCGCCAAAAGCTGACTGGTTTCTTGACTTTCCATTCTTCCTTTTGGTTGCCTTCACAACACTCAAGGTACATGTCATAGGCAACCACCACAGCCATGACCTTCGCGTGGAGCATTGGAGCATGCCAGTATTTAACTGCGACGACGAGCTGCCATGTGGCTTCTCACTGAGTCATATTGCAGTGTCAACTGAACGTTACGGGGGGACAGCTGACTGCCCAAACACTGCATGCCTCAGGTTTACCAACACTGTCCGGGCTTTGTAATGAGGGCTAACTTTCATGATAGCGTGGCTGGGGATACCGGTAGGGAACACAACGATGGTATGAAGAAGCAACAACCACAAATTGCCACTACAAGAACGGGATGCTCTTGAATTGGATTCCAATATTTTGCCGTCGTGACCTACGATGTACGATGATGTGTACATTTAACTGCTTTGCACCTTGATTCATGCTGTGTGGAGATTGGGCACCGGCACGGAACTGGAACAAGATGTGCCATTTACATTCCCCTACACTGGAATCAAGTGTTTCGAGATATCTTTCGTGTTGACTTTTCTAATGGGAATACAAGCTATAAGGTTATCAGTGTGACAAGTGACCAAACTAGACTAGCCCAATCCAAGCATACCAAGATGCATCATGTACATGCTTGAATCAATCGTCCCCATGCAACAGACACTGATGGAGCAATCCTCGATTGAGTGACTCAGGCGCCCGCAGCTGGAGCAAAAGCTGTCCATTCCGACGCAAGAGACGCCATGCGCAGAAGACAGGAGGAGCCATCAAATGACCACCAAACCACGAACTGGCTGTGTAAGAACAGGATTGCCGGAGGCAGGTTGATTTATAGTAGGAATGGCTGTTTTGCAACCATGCAGCCAGGCCCTCAGGGTGGTGGTGTGGCTGGAGGTGGCACATAGTGCATGCACTTTGCCCCGGCCGGGCGGAGCACCCCTCAAGAGATGACACTCTGGTCAAATCAAGGGAGACCAGCACATACCACGAGCTGCTTCCACGAGAGACGGGATCATGTTGGTCTACCCGACTGTGGTCTTGCTCCGTTTGCTGAGACGATTGTCTTTGCTGACAATTTGTGGGTGACTAAGGCTCCTTTTCTTAGGTCCTTCAAAGTCCTCGGCGTCAATCGCAAAGCACATTCGTAAGTTGGGAACGTGGTACCTGCCACTAAAGCAATGAAACATCAAGGTTGTTTGAAACCTGTTATCCAAGGCATCATCTCCGTCTGCCTTGTCCTTGAACACCTTCTGTGCACGCGCAAATGCCTCCTCGGCTTCCTTTGGTGTCTCTTGCCAATGAATGTCATGGAGAAGGCAGAGCAACCATGCAGTCAACCTCGGCCCTCGACAGCTCCATCAACCAGGCAAGAAACCAAGGGAATAATAATAATCATCATAATAATAACTGATTCATTTACACAAGCAAGAAACCAAGGGAATGAGTGTACTGTACAGTTGTACCACTGGCTTTGCTCCTTAGATTACGCTCTGGCTAGCTCTAGCTAGCTAGCGAGCCTGAATATGTTTGGAAGCTGGCAAGTTCGGTAAGGAGGTTTATTGGAAGCACTTACTATTAGAACGGGATGTCTTGAAGCACTGACTACTAGAACGGGATGTCTCGTGGCACTGGTCTTTCTGGGCTTGCTTCTGGGCAAGGGTTTCAGGTGCGGTGCCCCCACAGAGCTGGCAAGTTCGGTAAGGAGGTTTATTGGAAGCACTTTCTAATAGAATGGGATGCCTTACGGTACTAATGGTACTGGGCTTTCTTTCTTCTGGGCTTTCTTTCTTCTGGGCTTGCTTTTCTGCTTTCAGTTCGTCCATCTTTATCTCCTTGTCTCGATAAGCTTCCCAGTAGGGGTATCGTAGATATGCTCTAGAAGATACATGTAGTTGATATCCAGTGCAGCAAGATTTCAGCCATGCTGATCTTTGAGATGTACAGGTTGGGAAATTGCGACGCCTTGCTGCCAATGCCAGTGCCAGTGCCGTTCACCATGTCAAGCATCTCCAATCATCAACAATGACATGTTGCGACATTTGATTCGTTGGAGGACAGCGCACGATCTCTGCTACACCAACTTTCTGTCTTCTCAGAAGTTGCTGTTCCTCTCTGCCCAAGAAATGTTGCTCTACATAAAAATTCAGTCAATGCAGGTGGGATGTGGCTTGGTGGGTGGTTGTTCTGCTCCAGTTCCAACAAGCTACAGACATCATTGGGAAAAAATCTTGGATTCCAACCTGTTCTTGGCTGCATGAGAGCCATTGCACGGAAGGATTACCAGTGCGAGAAACACAAGAACACAAGCTTCCAGGAGTGCGGTGCCTATGAACAACTACAGGAGCGTTGCAGAAGATTGCAACAGAGACTAAGCTAGCTACCGGTAGGATGACGAAGGTGTGAACAACTGGCGTCAAGTACATTTAAAAGATCCCAACAAACGTTTTGAGGCTAGTTCATATAGTTTATCTGAATGACAAGTCATCTTTCAACGAGCTTGATAGTCTTCGAGAGTTTTCTCTAGCCATTCAATAGAAGCCCAGCGTTGGGCATGCTTGGTGGCAGATGATCGGGACTTTGCAGCCATCTCCTTGATGTGCTTCTTCTCATCTTCCTGGCTTCGAAACTTCTCACCACAGCCTGCTGAGCAAACCCACTGAGTTGGCTCGTCATCATCATCATCATCGTCATCATCATCATTCCACCCCTGGAGCCCCCGGAGGACTTTGCTGCAGGCTTGAGCTCTCCAGAGTGTCATGCTATTGCCGGCATCCTTTCCGTACTTTTCCCAGCCAATGAAATGAGGATATTTTCCCTTCACAACACTGTCGAATTTCACACGGACTTGGTAGACACACTTGAGCTCTATGCACTTGATGTGATCTCCATAATCAGCACAAAGCTTTTGATTCCAGTCATCTTCAGAAAAATTTTGACGATCCTCATCAGAAATGGTGTGGGCAGTTTTGAATGTCCCGTCACAAACTGCACTGGCTCCTGCATTGTAGGAGAAGCAGTGCCCGTGCTCTTTCCCCGCCGCATCAAAAAGTGACGCAGAAGCAATGTAGCATCCCTGTTTGTAGCTGAATAGAACCCCAAAACGTGGTGGGGCACTCATGAAGTCCTCCTTGATTTCTGCCTTCCTCCTCTGCAGCTGGGCTGGTGTTTTGCCATCCGGATGATCTGGTGATTTGGCTTGTGGTTGAAACATCGACACCAGCATGCAATCACCATTGGTGAGTTTTGGCAAGACGACAGCAAGGTTTTCGAGCCGGGTGACCGTCACCAAAGCATTTGTCTTTGCTGAACGCCGCCCTGGCTTCTTTGCTTGGCTCCGGATTTCTTGTTTGACTTGGTCGACCTTCAAGACACGCTTTCCAAGAATCGTGTTGATGGTATCAGTCAGACAGTTGTAGCCAGGGGACTTGGTCACTCCTTGGACCGAAAAGATAGCTCTGATGTGGCCACTACCATCTTTGAGATTCTCTTCGGGGGGCACGAATTGTGGTTGCTGGGCAGCGCTGACAATGGAGTTTGGGTGGTTTTTCCGAGTGTCATGAACCGACCATCCATCCATGGCAAGATTAGCCAAATTCTCAATCTTTGCGGTGATATGATCAATCTGCATGTTCTTGATTTCTTCCTCCGATAGTGGAGGATCTATTTCCCCCTTCTCCTGTGCTTTCAATAGTCTGAGAAGGTCAGCCCGCATGTTCATCATTTGCTCCAACTCATCACGATTCGCTTTGGATAGGGCCCCAAGGTTGTCAATTGAAAGGTCGCAGTTCAATTCATCAACCGCATCCTTCATGAGGGTTCCAAGTTTCAGCTGGTCACGAAGAGACTCCACCGATCGCAGCTGCAGCTTTTTCTTTGTGGCTTTGGTTGAAATCATGAGGCCTCGTGCTTCAGCAATTTTCCAATGTTGGTTTGGTTTTCCACTTCGTTTGGCACCAGCTACAGCAAGCAGATGCTCATCAAGCTTTGCTTGGCTCTCAAAACGTTTTCCACATCTTGCAGGACACACATGCTTGTTGTCGCCTGCATTGCCTTTGCCTCTACCAGTACCAGAAGTCGGCTCAGCCTCCTTGGTTTTGTCGCCGCAAGAGGAGCTTCCTGCCGTTCCTCCACCCATTGTAGTGGCAGTTGGCTCAGCCTCTTTGGTTTCGTTGCTCAACAAGGTGCTTCCTGTCTTTCCTCCACGAATCGCCTCAGCCTTCTTGGTAGCAGTATTGTCACCGGCACCGTCATTGTTGTCATCGTCCATAGCGAGTACCTTGCTGCTTTTGTTGTTGGTGTCAGTTAAACCACCAGTGGCTGCTGTGGCAACAGATGCCCCCGCCATCTTCTTGGGACTCAAGGCTGACTCCTTCTCACTGTCGCCACTTGCTGGATTGCTATTGTCGGCTTTGTCGCTTGTCTCGGAAGCAGCTGGTTCGCTATCCTCATCATCGTCATCGTCCATGGTAGGGATCAGCTCAGCCTCGGCCTCGGTAGGAGTCGGCTCAGCCTCCTTGGTTTTGTGGCTCAACAAGGCGCTTCCTGCCTTTCCTCCAGCTGTAGTAGGAGTCGGTCCAGCCTCCTTGTCATTCTTTTCCAACACGAGTCCACCCAACTGATTGCTATTGTCGTTGCCACTAGAAGCTCCCGCCGTCGTTTCGCCGCTCACAGAGGCACTTCCTGCCTTTCCTCCAGCTCCTCCAGCCATAGTAGAAGTTGGCTCAGCCTCCTTGGAATTTCCTGCATGTCCACCAGCCACGGTAGGTGCCACCTCAGTCTCTTTGCTTTCGGCGCCAGCAGAAGTATCAGATTTCCCTGTAGACGGTGAATTGCCGGCACGAGCAGAAGTAGCAGATTTGTCGCTCGCGGAGGCACTTCCTGTCTTGCCTCCAGCCATACCAGAAGCTCCCGCCGTCGCGTCGCCACTCACAGAGGTTCTTCCTGCCTTTCCTCCAGCCGAAGTAGGAGTTGGCTCAGCCTCTTTGCTTTCAGTGCCAGCAGAAGTAGCAGATTTCCCTGTTGCCGGTGATACCGTTTCGTCGCTCGCAGAGGCGGTTCCTACCTTTCCTCCAGCGATACCAGTAGTAGAAGTTGGCTCAGTGTCTTTGCTTTCGGCACCAGCAGAAGTAGCAGAACCCGCAGTTGATGTTCCTGTCTTTCCTCCAGCCATAAGTTTTCGGCAACGCGGGCGGCTGCGTCCGGTAACCAGATTGAGTTTTGCAGCCTGCAATTCGGCGGCATCCACTGGACGACGCGGATGTCGTCGTTGTCGTGCAGTCTTCAATGCGGTAGTATCCACTGGAGGACGACGGACCGGTAGGACTGGAGCACTGTCCTTTCTTGCCACATTGTTGGTGGAGTGTGACCTCAGAGGATACCGTGGAGGATCCGGTTCACGAGCAGGGGGTCTTGCAACAGCACTGTCTGTCTTCGAACGCTGAAGAGGCCTTGGATTCGGGCTCCTCGGCATCAAATCTAGGTCTCTACTTCGGCTTCGGCGGCGAGACTGAGGGCTCTGAGCAGTCTCCATGGAATCCTTGTCGTGGCTGGAATCGGTCTTGTCACCATTCTTGTTGTGGTTTTGCTGGCGTTCCTTTGCCAGTCGTTCCTGTTCTCGTCGAAGCGAGGCCTCTGACTTCGAAGAGAGGACATTGGGCTTGTCCGCATCGTCATCTCCATCCTCATCAGCTTGAGTTATGGCAGATATGTCAGAGAGTCTCAAAGGGGGGCCAGCCACAATTGGTGATTTTTCCAGATCGATGGAAGTTCCTAGTCGCGAACTGACATCCTTGGCTGGAGAGCACTGCATTTCCTCCTCTTGCGCTGAATTGTCCTTGGAATCGGTCGATGACCCTGAGATGTACTTGTTTGACTTCTTAGATGATTCGGCGCTGGACTTGGACAAATTGAATGAGATATCATTCGAGTTGTCCTTCAAATAGGTGGTTCCCAGGACAGAGTCAGAAGATGTATCTCCGTCAAGGACCTCTTCAACTGTATCCATGTCCTTCTTTGGTGATTCTTCGGTGGGCTTTCCTTCTTCTGGTTCGACGGTTTTGCAGGTAGGATTTGCTTTGTGCGCATCAGTTTCCTTGCCGGCAGCCGGTTCCTTGTTCGTGAGCTCCTTGGAGGAGGCAACATTCTCTTGAGACTCAACTGCATTGTCGTTGTTGTGTGGCTTGTTACGTCGCCCTTTAGGCGGTCCAGTGTTTTGCTGGTCGGTCTCCTTGTTGACACTGGCAGCCGGTTTCTTTTTGGTGAGGTCCTTGGAGGAGGAACCATTCTTTTGAGACTCAAGAGCTTTGGCTTTGTTGCGTGCCTGCAACCAAGTGTCAGGCTGGCCACGTCTGACTCTACGTCGAACTTTAGGCGTTCCAGTATTCTGTTTTGGATGATCAGTTCCCTTGTTGGCAACGGTCTCCTTGTTGGCAACGGCAGCTGGCTTCTGGTTGGCAGTGTCGTCCTTGGAGGAATCATCATCTTCTTCGGCTTCCTTCTCAGCTTCTGGTTCATCGGCTTCCTTTGTTGCTTCCTTTGTTTCTTCTGTTTTGTCTCTGTCGGGCGATAGACGTCGTCGTTTGGATGGTGACTGTACCGTGTCTTCTTCACTGCCTGGCATTTCTCCACTGTGGCGCTTCTTCCTTAGTTTTCGGCGGATTTTTACGCGTGTAGCAGATGGAGGCATTGGGTACGTGCTTTTGGCCAAAGTACCTGCTTTAACATGCTGTAGAATTCGTCGCGCAAGAGTAGGGCTTCTTGGGCTTCTTGAGTCCGAGTCTCTCATCTTTGCCACAACCACATGGTGCTCATTCTCCTTGTTCGATGAGTCCACTTCTTCCAATTCATGGGCGGTGGTGGGATCCATGGTTGGGAGCTCTGGAAGCTGAGGTGATGTCTTTAGTAGAGGCTGTCTTGTGCTTGTCGTCTTGTTGCTTGTCGTCTTGTACTTGTCGTCTTGTCGTCTTGTGCTTGTTGTCTCTTGCTTGTCTTGTCAATGTTCTGAAGCGTTGGAATGGAATGATGGTTCGAGGGAAGTTGTGAGCGTACAGTCGTAACGTGTATAACGGCCGATCACCCACGTTTCAAGGCGCTCGCTCGAGCGCTCAGTGAGCATTTTGAAACTCGGGATTGAGAAAAAGTCAGTCACAAGCGCTCCCCACCATAAAAAAACACGTCACATGCCAACAAACTCACTCTGAACACCAGTTTCAAAGTTGGTGACCATAGCATGACAAGGACATCAACACACGCATCTGGTACTTTGTTATTATCGTTTGGTCCTGGCCACAAGTACTGGCAACTAGTGATGGGCGCCCCTTTGATACACCCATTGATACATACGTATAATACACGTATAATACGTGGTCCCCAACTTCAATACATACGTATTATACGTATTTAACTACTACTGCCAGTTTTGGAGGTCTTAGCTATCCAGTTTACCCTCCCAAGGCCCACTAGACTTGGCTACAGATGCTGCATCGTCCTCATCAAGGCCTAGATCCTCATCAAGGCCTAGATCTACCAAGAACTGGTCTAAATCAGCAGTAAGAGCTCTGCAAAAGCTGCCATCGACTGATTCCCAGATGGTTCAAGAGACTTTGAAAGCCTCAAGTTGACATAGCAATAGAGCAGCATCTTCACAATCTTGTTGATGAGACTATTTCGAACTGTAGAATGCACAACATAATGTGCATGGGAAGACAGACCATAGGTTAATACAGTATAATACAGTATTATACGTATTATACGTATCAAAACTTAAAATACGTGTATTTGCCCATCACCAGTGGCAACTGGGTTGCTGGTGAAAAGTAAGTTCTGCCGGGACACTGTCCACAGCTGCAGCTATTAATAGTACATTAAGAGCAGTAGGCAGCATAGCTATTAATAAAACAGATGGTGGGACATGGTAGCTGCTTCAATAGATTGTTTTTTAATCCGCTACAACATCCACAGCCACGGCCCACAGTCCACGTCGTCAACCACTCATCATCAGCCACCTGGTGCGCTTCCAACAACAACAAGAAGACTTTGCTCCCACAATCGTCTTGAGAGAGGCAAGAAGCCAAGAGGACAGAATTGGAGGCATGGGCAGCAGCAGCAGCCTAGGCATTAGTATCCGATCTCTTGATTGGCTCTGACAACATCACAATGATGATGTTATCAGTAATTCATTCATTCAACACCCAACCACAACCACGAAAAAACGCTACATGGCTCGATAGCCAGGCATTGGACAATCAGCAAACTCATCATTCTCAGAGTCGTCATTGGTATTGTCGCTTGGCTTGTTAGCCACCAAGGAAGCTCTGTTGTTGAGGGTAGCCACAGGCGCAGTGCTGGTGGTGGAAGGAGGAGAGTCGGAGGCAGAGATCTTCAATGCGTCATTGTGGAGGGCTTGATTGTGCAAGTCAATCATTTCCAGAGCATGTTGTTGCATTGCTTCGGGCGCTGGGAAGCACCAATTCGCTTGATTCCTCGGATCTCCCAATCATCCCGGCACAAACCAAAGAAAGAGGTGTCATGGTAACGAACGAAGCAAGTCACCATGCCATTATCTGGTTGGCCATCTTTCTTCTTTGGAACTTGGAAATGCATCACCTTGTTGCACAGATTGCAGATGTGAGCTGAATCGCCACCACAAACAACACAAACCTTGGTTCTGTGCTTTGGAAGTCTTTTAACCGAATCCATATGAGCGCAGAGTTTATCAAGTCTGCCACACAATCTGCCATTTGCATCCTGAACATCCTGCGCCGACAATGTGGAAGTGGTGGAATGGCTGCTTGATGATGGAGTGGGTAGCTTTCGCTTGTTTGGTCTTGGTGTTGGAGACCGGCGATTCTGAGGCTGCTTTGTTGCCACTCGAAAGTTTTCGTCACCAGCATACTTTCGAGTGGTTGGTGTGTATTGGCACATCTGCTTCGCAAGTTTCTCTCGGAAACGAAAAAAGTCGATTGGCTTATCAATCTTCCAAGCAGGATCAAGGTTTCGTTCGGCACACTCAAGGTACATGTCATGCAGACCATTGCCGAATCCCTCCTTCATGGAGTAATTTGTCGGATTGGTTGTATCTTGAGCACTGTCATTTGCTGGTCAGGGCAAGCCGAACTGTTGCCATCGATCCTCTACCGCCAACCACTGTGAGAAATACTCTTCCTACCCGTCGAGACAGTCTCCCTCTTGGGGTTCGAACTATTACCCATCACCAACCGTCGCCATCTACCAACCATCGCCAATTGTCTCTACTGCCGATCCTCCCTCCTGTAAGTTTCCCCTTGTTGCCGACGCCGTATTATTCGCTATTTGATTGCAACTGACGCCATGATCATCTTCTCTAGTTTCCTTTTAGAACGAAAGGAGCTGTTGACTGTGGTGCAAATTCCTTGATATTGGCCACACTGTTGTCGCCTTGACCACCAAGACCCTGGCTCTCATGCTCTTTCAACATTGTCTTGAGTGCGGTGATCTTCTTTCCAGAGAGCTCTGCTTCCGAGAAGTCACGTGCCAACAGTTCTTTTTTCAAATGAGGGATGTTGGGGTTGCCAGTAACCAAACTGAGAGTAACCTTTCTTGCAACAGCTGCTGTTTGATGCACACCAGTAGTGGCTTGGATCTGATTGGTGCGTTGGTTGGTGTGCATGGATGCCAATGCTCCGTCTTGAAGGGCCTGTACCAGTACTCGGTGTGTTCGATAGTGGTCCTGGCCTACGTACTGTAGTTTTAACGGGACTTGTGTAGGACACCCTTTCAAAAGTGCTCTGTACGTCGTCCTTCATACGGACACCAGCAAGCAACAACCAACATGTTGCAAGGAGAGCAACCCACAAACCAACAATGGCATAAAATACCATGGTACCGACACCACAACTGCGAGAAAGAAAATGAGCCAAGACAAGGGGACTTCCCCCGGGGCCGTCCAGGATGACACGGACTTGACTAAACTTGTTGGTCCTAACGGAAAGTACCAGGCGCTGGTTGAAAGAAAAGATCACATCAGAGTACGGAAATCTGCAATGGCAAGACGCCAAGGCTTCGACGTTCGAGGAGTTTGTCCAACGACATTCACATGGGGAGCCAGCCGCTGTGAAGGACCTGCTGAATGGATGGATTGCACATTATGGCTGGAAGAATCGTTTCCAACAACGGCAAATAGCAAGTGGAGCTACCGAAGACAACATTTTGGGAGACGGAGTCTATGACAAGCTCACGAGTGCAGTGTGCTTTTTCCGAGAGGAGGACGGAGACAGCAATGCTAAGAAGCCCATCGGAACTGGCTTCGCAGTGTCATGGACAGTTGTATACAGCGTTGCTCACAACTTTGCTGATCCGGCGGTGGACAAGGAAGTAACGTGCCACTTTGGAAAGCCCATTGAGCAAATTTCGCGACGTTTGAGAATTTCAAGCTAGGACACCCGCCTTTTACTATTGCATTCTCTCCACCATAACAGGCGAAGCAGAGTTGCCCGCATTTTTGGAAGTGTCACTTGAGACATTAACACCAGGGAAGCAATGCATTCTTGCAGCATTTCAAATAGTCATACAGCAGGATCTACAGGACCTGGACCCTAGCTAGTCTATCCGTTGGTGTGTTCCGATTTACATAGCCAAAGTCTACTCGCGCCATTTTGTGTATCAGTGCCTGTCATTTGCTGGCGACAGTGGCGGCGCGGTTGTGTTGAAAGATGGCAGGGTCATCGGAATTCATCAAGAAACTGTCATCCAAGCAAGAGAACGGATCCAGCACCGCCGAAACTTGGACACAGATGCTCGTTTGGAATCCGTTGACACGTCCGTTGACACGTCCGTTGACGACCTCATTCGATCTTTATCGAGCCACTCTGTTGGTCTTCAGCTATCTGCAATCACGCCACTCTCCCATTCAAATACGAGCTCCGGGACAGACTATTAATAGCTGCTAGCTAGAACCAAATCAACCAGCATTAGGCCGTAACGCTTTGGTCAGGCCTTGTAAAAGCTGCGCTCGGTGGTGCGCAGCGCACCTCTCCTGGGAGCTGGCATGGCCGCTAATTGCTTTCCGAAAGGGTTGGCCCTTCGAGCACCAAAGTAACACCGGTAGCTCACAAGTCTGAAGCAAGTAAGAAAAGACCATGCGAGTGTGGCAGTCAAGAGTATCGCTACCTACCTACTAGCTAGCTAGCTGAGCGCTATCAATACCGAAAGCTCACCGGCAAGGAATATGATGCGACGAGTCAGCACCATGATGTTTGCGGGCTGTTTGCTCGCTGTTCTCATCAGCAGTATCTTCCTGCTTGGATCCATGCTCAGAAGCAGATCGAATCAAATTGGATTTGGATTGAGATCTCGCAACCTCGGTGGTGGAGACAAGAATCAAACGGATGTGTTCAAGGGAGATATCACGGTGGACTTCTACAGGACCTATCAAGAAAGGCAACTCTTGGGCATTTCATGGAAAGATTTCTCCATCTCGAAATCTTGTATCCGACGACAAATTGACCAGCTGGACGTTTTGTACCAAGGAAGAATCAACTTCCACCTCGGCAGCATTTACGAGGTGGATGATGCCTACTACCATACTCCACGCGTGTGTTTTGATTATCGCGACCACTTTTTGAACAGTGATCACATCAATGATCTTTTCCGTGTGTCCGTGCTGGTGGTCAGGGAGATGGGCACCCCAAACCTGGGGTGTGCCTTCGTAGATGCCCCACTGGGTGGCAAGATCAGCGACTCTGGGGAAAGGGTGGCCCCTATTCTCGTCATGTCCGCTGCAACGACCTATGTTCCAGCCTTTTTATCGAATCTTGGAATTCCATTCTTTGGTGGCTATCTTGTAAGCCACGAAATGGGCCACGTTCTCGGATTTGCACATACGGCTACCCAGCCCGAGTTTATACCGAATGGATTAGTCTACAGCTATACGAGCTGTGGAAGCGCCGGGCAGGTGCGATATCCTGTCTTCAGCATTCAAGTCCCAGAAGGAGCAAAAGACGGCGTAATATGGGACGGTGTCACTGGAGACCGCTACGATTATGAAGAGTGGAAAGGACGAACCAACAACATGGCGTCATTCAACACGTATCAAGTTTTTCAACCGTGGAAGGTCTCTCTCTTTCGTGACGCCTATAGCTCAAGCTTCGATGATATCATTGTTTGTTGGTTTGAACAATCTGCCCAAAACGCTGTCGGTGTCAGACCATGAGAGTGGGCGAGGCAGTCTACCGTGCTGTCGAGACATTGGACCCTCCTTTGGGTCGGAAAAGCCAGCTCGTTGTGAAGCCTGACATTGTCGGCTGTCTCCCTTCGCTGATGGATTGTCATTGAAAGCCTGGAGCGAACAGTGCGAGCGCATCCAGTTCCAGCCAACATCTCAACAAACATGCATGGGTGTTCCAGGGAAGAACAATATGCCACAAGAGCGAACATACGGGGCCAGGCTTGGACAACCAAAGTCCAAGAAGATAACTTGCCGGACGATGGAAAAACCCTGTTGTCGCCAAGCTTACCTGCATCAGTGTTCCTGGGAAGATGTGGCTAGACAACTATGTCAAAAGAACAATCATACGTAGCTGGACAACCAATCTCCAAGAATACGACTTGAAGAAAAGCCCTGTTCTCGCCAAGCAGCCTGCCCTCTTAGGTGCTTACCTCACCGCTGAGGCTACGCTACCGGTATCCCTTGACCATGAGTATCGCAAGGTAGATCGCAGATTCGCAGAAAAGTAGAGTGTCAATACGAAGGTAGCCAATAGCACAGCCAATAGTCACAAACTTGGTTCTAATATGAATTTGTTACCGTCTAAGATATGTATTTATCGTTAAACCAACTACCATAGCTAGCCGAGGAATCAAGTAACCATGCCAGCTAGTTCTCCACCGTTGTGTCCGTCAAGCTGTTTTGGCTCGATGCTCGACAGGGGAACTTGGGGCATTGATCAGGTCTGGCATTCACAGTCAGGAGACGACGATGGGAACTGGTCGTTGATGTCAAGCTGCACTTTCGATCTGGCCTTTGGGGCGGACTCAAGTCTCGACATTGGTGTGAGTCAAAGGACATTTTGAGGGACTGGCGAAGGGGACATTGGATGGCAGCAGCTGCCATAATGATGCAGTCATCCCTACTAAAACTGCCTCTGGATCTTGACTGAAAGGACAGCAGCCCACTGTCCATGGTCAAATCAGAGACACACGATAGAGTTGTGCTGCTGGCGCCTGTGCTCTGTTTCATGAGATCTCCCAAAGTCAAACTGGCAAATATGGAACTGTTTCGGTTGGATCGAACTGTGGATACCTTGCTGCTTTCCATCATCTCATCAGTAGTGGTGGACGGACGCTTGCTGGTAAACCGAGAGCTGCCCCACCTTGCATCGGCGGCACCCACTCTGGACCCGGAACGAGAAAGGGCGCGCCATCTGGTTGCGGAGGTTGGCGGAGGAGCAATGGCTTGATCACTGAGTCGAAATTGCTGATGAGTGTCTGGTACAGGTTCGGAGAGTGCAAACGTTAGGTTGGATGTCATGGTTGGGTTGCTTGAGAAGGAGTCAACAAGAATGGTTTGCTGTGAAAGGTATTTGAGCAAAAAGGGTTCTGCTGAAGAATTGTGTGCTTTTACAAGAGCCCAAGCCTAAAGCAAAAAGGTGATGACGACCAAAAGGCTGAATGGGAAAGATGGAGGAGGCAAAGGAGGGGTTGCCGGAACTGCTGAACCGAGAACCGAGAGGATCCTACTAAGGATCTTGCTACAGTACAGCTCGTGACGGTTCTGCTGCATCTCGCCGTGGCTCGAAGTGTTTAAAGGGCTGTTGCTCCAATTCTCGTCCGATAAACCCCAGATTCTTCGCAAACAGGATTGAAGGTCAAGACAATGAACCAGCCGACGAAGCTGGCCGTACTCTACTAGCGAGTGTACTATACGTAGTACTGTAGTGAAGTCGTACAAAGTACGTTTTCGTTGCAAACAGGATTGAAGGTAAAGACATGAACCAGCAGTACCAGGTATGACATAGATATTAATAAAATAGAGAGGTACTCCGGTGAGTCCGGTCTCCTGTTAAAATTTGTTTATTTAAATAATACATGTAGTACTGCAGTAACTGTACAAAGTTCGTTATCGTCGCAAACAGGATTGAAGGTCAAGACAGCTGTCAAGACAATGAACCAGGCAACCAGGCGACGTAGGTTTTCCCCAGAGCACATTCATTTTCCTTCACGTTGCTTCCAATAATTCAAGACTGGGTCTTTTCCGTCTTATAGTGGCTTCCCATGAAAATTCAATTCAATCTTAAGGCGGCATTTTAAATCACAAAATACAGTGCTCTTACTTATTGGCTGCTCTGGAGCACGTACTGTGAGCAAGCAGTACACTTACTTGATCATCAAAGTTTTGCTGTTGGCTAGATCTTCCCAATAATGTGCACCTCGCCATTAACAAGCCAATCTATCATACAGTTTTGACGATGAAGGCATGCAAAGGAACAGATAGATACTAGTACATGTATCATAGATCCAGGATCCAGGTAGTTTTGGCATCTCGGCATCATCGGGTGAATCGAATCGGGCTTCAACACAAGTGTCCACACAAGCCACCCAGTGGCAATAAGGAGTGAGGAGCCAACCGGAAGAGATCCGTTGACTTGAAAATTGACAGGACTCCTCGAGCTTGTGACGCGATTCCTTCCGTCGGGATAGTTTTCCTTGCTCTCGCTCTGGCAGCGAGGCAGCCGTCAAGCAGCAGCTTGAGAGTTTAAGGGAGTGACGAGTCAACATGCTTGGTTCAGGTGCTTCCCTCTCCTTTCTTGATGAAGAAGCTAGCTCCACCATGCCAATCAGACGCATCGATTGGCGTTACACCACCCAAGAACTTGCGACACCACACATGGCGGCACTACTCCGCGCCACAGAGGTAAGCAAAGATGGCGTCTGAGAAAATCAAAATATGCTTCCATCCCGGGGCTTCTGCCTCAATCAATCAATCAAATCCGCCAGCAAAGTCTTTGTCTACCGTACCATTCGATCAATCGACGCGTCCAGAGCGAAGGCGCAGCAGCAAAGAATTGCCCCATCCCTGGTTTGTGCTAGCTAGAGCAAATGCTCAGAAACATGTAGTTGCCCAACTCTCGCCTCGATATTCAAAAGTGCACCCAAGCACGTCAACATTCGTCGCAAGAGGACCAACAAGACCCATCAATTCCATCCAATCTTCCTTCCACACCGAGAAACCTGCAAGGAGTTACAATGCTAGCCAGCTTCTCTCGCTCACGCGCAGAGTCCCTGTCTCACTACGACATTGATGGTACCGGAAGAAGAGGAGGAGGGAACGGGGAAAGAAAGTTTTGTGATGCCATGGGCTTCTACCAGAACACATACTTTGCTTGATGTTGGTGGCTTTGCAGGTTCTATCCGGGGTCTCAACACGACAACACTACCAACCACCAAAAAGTCGTAGATTCGATTCTGTCTTGCGTCCAAGTCTGCGAGTGTGCGAGTGACGATACAGCCGTCATGATTGGCATCTATGGCTCGAAGATTCGATTCAACCGGAAGGCACACTCTCGTTGCACGACTACGAATCCACCCAGAGATGGCAAATTCTCCTGGCATCTACTATCCGAATCAACGAGATCGACAGCATCGTGAACGTCGAACAGCAACAACTTCTATAACATGACAAAAGTAGACTCCAACATGAAAAAGACATTCGGACCATTTCTTCTAGCTACCGGTACCGTAGAGCAAGATGCTAACCAGGTGAAGGAAGTCTTATGATGATCGATTGATTGATCGAAGATTCAAGACATCAAGGCACATCCAAGAATCGGATAGGAGTCCTGCGTATGGTGGTAATATGTTTGGCTTGGTGGTAATATGTTTGGCTACGTTTAGTCTACTAGTGCCAGCATTTTATCGCCGAAGTCCTGGCAGCTACGATGCAAAATAGGCAAGGAGAATCGAGCATGAGGACTATGTGACTGGTAAAGATGCCAATCATTGTAAAGATGCCCAGCATTGAATTCCTCCAGCTTTGTCCGAAGCTTCCAAAAAGACATTCTTCGTCTCTAGGCTGGAAGGAGGCCTCGCCATACGCACTCCTTCCGATGCGTGTTTCCTTTATTCTGCAATGTACGTTTCCCAGACAAAGCAATAAGATGGCGCTCAAGCTCGTCTTTGCTATCACAACGGCTCCCACATGCTGGACACACAAAATGTTTCTTCTCCCCTCCATCGTTGCTTCTACCACCACCAGATGGTGCTGCTGGCTTCTGGGAACATCGTATTTCTGCTGCTGCTTTCAGTTTCTCCAGTCGTTGGAGAATTACCCAGCGTTTGGTGTGCTCGTTTTCGGAGCTGGAGTTTGTGGCCTTATCCTTGATGTGGCTCTTCTCAGCTTCCTGGCTTTTAAACTTCTTACCACAGCCTGCGGAGCAATACCACTGAGTTGGCTCATCATCATCATCATTGTCACTCCATCCCTGGCTCCTGAGGGCGTTGCTGCAGTTTAGAGCTCTCCAGTTTGTCATGCTATTGCCAGAGTCCAAAGAACTGGATCCAAGAGTCGCTCCAAGCACATTGGCCAAAGTCACCATGCCACCTTCCGGTCCATTGTGGTACTGATCTTTCTGGGCTTGCTTCTTGGCTTGCTTTTCTGCTTTCAGTTCGTGCATCTTTTTCTTGCAGTCTCGATAAGCTTCCCAGCCAATGAAATGAGGAAGGTCTCCGTTTGCGACGCTGTTGAATTTGACCCGGAGCTGATAGACTGAAACGAGTTTGATTCCCTTGATATTGAAGACAGTGCACAATTTGCTTTTCCATTGTTCCTCCGAAAGATCGCGACGGTCGTCATCAGAGATTGTGTAGGTTGTGCCTGACCCATGACAGATGGTGCTTGCTCCAGCATTGTACGAGAGGCAGTACCCAATGGGTGTTTCTAGCCCTTCAACAGCCAGATCCACAGAAACCAGGTAGCTTCCCTCTTTGTAGTTGAGTAGAGTGCAGAAATTCGGCGAATCGGTCATGATGTGTTCCTTCGATGCCAACTGCCTTTCCAAACTCACATTCTGCTGATCAGTTCGTGTCATGGACATCAACTCGTACACACCATTGGTGAGCTCCGGGATTGCATGGGCAGCTTTTCGGAGTGTAAAGAGACTTCTCACAGGTAAAGCGTCGCGACATTTCAATGCATTCTCCTTGATAGCATTTTTGATGTCGCCTTGCTTGAGGATTGAATCTCCAAAGGCACAATTGATAGCGTCAGTGAGACCGTCTCCGGAGGACTTGATAGAGCCTGTGGTCACTGAAAAGATTGCCCTCACGTACCCCCCCAAAATGGGGTTTTCTTCAGGAAACACGCATTTTGGCTCGGGGATGCCTTCAGCAGGAAAGAATGGTGGCTTGTTGGCAGCTAGAAACATGGAGCAGGAGTGATCCTCGTTGGCGAGGTTAGCATACTGTTCCTCGAGGCGATCTGACTCATTCTGGAGCAGTGTCTTATCCGCCGCTGTGAGTTTTGGGTTGAGCCTTCGCTTACGATCCACCTTCAATTGTTTCAACACTGTTGCTCGCCGGTTCTTGATTCGCTGCATTTCTTCATATTTAGCTTGGAATAGAGCTTCAACGTCGTCTTCCTGATCTTCTTGCTTGATGAGAATATCATTGTTGCTATTCAAGACTTCATCGGATGGTTTGGAGAATGAACTGTTCTTGAATGAAGCAGCTTCAACGTCGTCTTCCTGATCTTCTTGCTTTATGAGAATGCCACTTTCGGGGTAGGGGAATGAACTGTAATTGGATGAATCGGCTTCAACGTCTTCTTCCTGGTCCTCTTGCTTTATGAGCATATCAATGTTGGGTTTGGGGAATGAACTGTATTTGGACGAAGCAGCTTCAATGTTTTCTTCTTGCTTTAGAATGCCGTCATCGGAGAGCTTGGTCACAGCGGCAACATCGTTGAAGGTCTCCTTGTCTTCGTTCTTCACATTTTGTGTCAGAGGAAGAGGGAGGATCCTGGCACGTTGGAGAGGACGCCGTTCACCACCATTGATGCAATTTGAATCTCGCAATGGAACCAAGTTTTCTTTGTCGTTCGGCAATCCTTCAAACCGGCGCTTGCGACCTGGATCCTTTGGGTTGGTTGGACGAGAACGGAGTGTGTCAGAGAAAGAGTTCATTGCTGTTGAAGTGTCTAATGATGCTTGATGCTTGTGGTTGACCCAACAAAAATGGGTCGTTAACGACAAAAATGTGGGCAAGGTTGCATGAGAGGAGGCCGTGTAACGGCGAAAAACTCCCGAGTTTGAAGCTCAGATTTTCAAACCACTCTGCAGGCTTATACCCATGCGCCACGCGACAGCAAGATTTGCAGGATTTGTACCGGGTGCCCTTTTTTTGTATCAAGATGATGTTATTATCTCCTCTTTACGGGGGCTACTCCTCTTGAAGACGTCTCCACCATGACAGGCACCTCTTGTTTGGATAGGCTGGAAACAGCCGGCGGTGGCTCAGTGCATGTCGAATCGATTGGTTTGTTTCCATTTTGGATGATTCGATTCCTCATTGCCCACAATTCCTCGGATCGAGCGACCATGACGCCTCCTGATCTACAGAGATCGGTCTACTTTGCTACTACTAATGAAACAAGCGTCAGCTTCTCTACTACTGCTTTGAGTGATCGAATGACTACAAACATGAGATCTGATGAATGTTTCCAGCCTCAAGCCAACAATTCTGCTCTGATTTGGGTGCTCCAGTCTTCCTGGCAAATGGATTTTCCTTTTAGGTGGTGCGGCCTTCTGGACTTACTGGCTCTGCCGGGAGAATTAAAGAAGATCACCAATCCACCATCATTTGCTGGGCTTGCCTTCTGAGCAAAAAATGGCTTCCTTACTAGCCGATGTCCAAGAGCATGTCAGCAGCCTCAACAACAGAACCACCCGCTGCCACCAAGAGACCAAAGGACTACAACAGCAAAGAAACAAAGCAACTTCTATTGACCCATTGGTGCAGAGATCTTGCCGTGCGAAATACCCTTTGGGAGAGTCGTCTCGATCCTGTACTCGGGTCATTAGAAGTAGCTGCGTTAGAGTTAGCCATCGGCGTTGTTAGTCGCCTTGGAAGAATCCCCAGCCTTTGCAGTCGCTCCTTGTCCATGTGAGGGATCTTGTATGTGGTGTGGCCACCACAGTCAATTGAATACTGATTGCGGAGTGACAAACAGTTGGCTTTTTGACTATGTCGCTGTTGGCTATTCCTTTCCTTTTGGTTGTGTCCCTGTTCCTGGCTGCCTGATCCTGTTGGCTCCCTCTTGGCCCTGTTCCTTTTGGCAAGGTCCCTGTTGGTGATTGGTTGTACTTGTGCTCTTTGTGCCTTGGATCTGAAGGTCTCCAAGGCTCCTCTTTGAGGAGTCTTCTTCCAATAGATGTTGATGATACTTTGGTTCAATCCAACCTTGTCCCTGCTGTGCAACATCTCATGTCTATCTTTTTGTTGTGGTGGGCGCTGCTAGCTAGCTAGTTATTAGTAATGTATGCTGAGCATCGCCTCATCCTCTTCTGAAAGGTCCAGGATGAATAGAGTGACACTCGAATCATGGCGCACACCCCATGCACACCAGGATGCTTTGGGTGGGTTCAGCTGGTGCTTCGTACCGGTACCTGGTAGCTACCCCGCGGAGCAAGCTGTAAGATGCAAAGCAAAGTACGGTACGGACGGCTCGTCTGCGGTAGGGTTGGGAAAGCTAATCATCCCAATCAAGCAACGTACCGGTATGTACTCCGAAGCAAAGACTGGCTACGTCTACATGTATGATAATGAATTATAGAAGGAGTCTAAAGGCTACTACTAGCTAGCAGCTGCTAGGGAAGTTATCAAATTGCCAAAGCGGCCACTGCTGACATCAGAATCTAAAGCCTAGTACGCTGTATCTGGTAGGAGGAGCGGCGTACTAGATACCAGCACACAGGTTTCTGTCTTTGACCACCAGCTACGGTGGATAGATGTTCAGTTTCATCGACTTTCGTAACCAAAGAAATCCCGGTTTCGAACCGGCGTAGGCTTGGTCGAAGGCGATGGTGCTGATAATATGTTTCAAGTTACTCCTAGTAGTTGTTGCCGCTCCGTAAGCTAAGCAAGACGATAAATGAGTATGAGTTCGCCTTCTGTTTTGGCAGGAAGGAAGCTGTAATAATGGCCTATCTGCCCATATCATTCCTACTAGCTAGCTACTAGTAGTGTGCTGCGGCACTGGCATCCGGTGGCTGAGGTAGCACAGGGTATGGGTAGGCCATTGCTTGACCATGTTTCAGCATACCTTCACAACTTACCATTTGTTCCAGTCGAAAAAGCTGCGAGATGCCAACCACCCAGTCAGATGCTGGGCCGTAAGATAGATAGACGTGGGAGTCAATGGGGCAGACACATATCCAATCTCCAGCAGGCATTGCAAAAAAGCAGTGTTAGGTATTGTATGGGCGGAAGTTAGTCTACTTGTTCAACGTTGCTTCTCTTGTAAAACAACGAATCAATCGAATCAACCCGACCAACTGACTGCCGTTAGAACGTTATGTAAAGCTAACTACTAGATGGACGTTCGGCTGCGGTAGTGGGTGCATCTACACGTACCAGGGTTTGTGTCTGAACTAAGCTAGCTACATGTAGGTGCTGTGTTGATACCCATTAGGCAACAGAAAGAAGGGGATCATTCAGGGGGAAGTCTACAGGACTTGGCTATACGAGTTATTTCGCATCACAATCTAGTTTTTGACAGCTTTTCCCCTGCCAGAAATAGAAGTGCAAACCATGACGGGTCCTATCACCGAATCACCGCCAAAGCAGCAAGGCAACCACGATGTTCCGAAAGCCAAAGATCTGATGACTGCATGCTCTTCCTCCTCCATTCCTTCACACCAAGCTCCCACTTCGAGAGCCCAGCCCAGCATGCCATCCAATCCAAGACGTATCAACCGAAGGAAGCATCTCCGCAAGGGCGGACGCAACAAGAGCAGTCGGAGCTTTCGATCCAAGAATAGCTACTCTGGAGGAAGTACACTCTTTCACGTAGATGAAGACGGAAGCTACGCAGATGATCAATCCAAGTTTGCATACTCGGAAGTAGGCGCAGACGAGCCACCAAAGCGCCGACCTTCTTTTGGTACGTCGTCCTTGGGAGATGCGAGCATCTACACAAGCTTGACCAACGATGATGAGAACAATGATCAGGATGATGTCAATAATAACAATGAGGAGAACGCAGTCAATGCGGTGCCGCCAGAACAGGAGCACGATGTCTGTTGCACGGATGCCAATGGCAACCCAATCTTTTTTGACCATCATGAGGATGATGATGACACCGAAGCGGATTATGATGAAGTCATGTCCTTTGTGTCGGCATTGACCATGGACAGTAGCTTTCCTCGCTTTCACGCTCTTCCAACCACGATTGATTTTTCTTGGCCGGTGCCATCGGATTCCCAGCAGGTGGCGATTAGTAGCACCGGAAAGGAACAGCAGGAGAATCTCGGTACTTCGGAGAAGTCTTTGGTTTCTGGGGCAAACAACAAGGCAAGGGATTCCATCGATACTACGGATCATCGCGGCAACGGACGCCCAAAGCCAAAGCTTCTACAACTCGAAACGGATGCCAGCAGCATCCGTTCGAGGGAGTCTCGCAGCATTCGGCGGGGCCGCTACGGCAGCAAACGTCACGGCGGCTTCAGCAGCGGAAGATCGATCGGATCGCTCAAGATGGATGCTTCGGTTCATTCATATGTGTCTTCGATTATGCTAGACAAGAATTCGATTCGCAAGCAAAAACTGGCAGAAATGGATGTCATCACTAGCAGTTCAAGGACGACTACATCCAAAACAGATGATGATACTTCGACCCGATCCTTTGCCGTGGATGGTACCGATGAAGCTGTGATCAACGTTGATACTACCACCACGCAAATCGTCGAGACAGGAAGTAGCAAGCGGTCCTTCCAGGTGGATCCATTTGTCGAGGAAGAAAATCGAGGTGGTCACTTAGATCGATGGTTACGTCTGCTGGTTGGGTGTCTCGGATCGGAAAAGCTTGAGGCTGCACTCCAGGCTGTACAAGAGGAAAAGCAACGAGAGATGCGGGCCGTACAGGAGGGAAAACTACAAGAGATGCGGGCTCTACAGGAGGATAAAGAACGAGAGATGCGGGCAAAGAAAGATATCGCACCAAGCGCTGATGATCCCAATGCTTCTCCTGCACAAACCACGATGGAGACAAGGAAGGAGCAAACCAAGACGACAAGGGATGACATGTCGGTTTACAGTATGAAGTCGGCTTACAGTATGACTGTGTCGGTTTGAAAAGGTGCATTCCAAAGGCAGGTCGTGTACAGTGTATGTTTATGTAGGTATTAGTAAACAAAACTACATAGTTTTATGCATACTCATGGACTGCCTAGAAGTCGTTGTGCTTCCTTGAGAGAGCAATAGTCTTTTGTTAGCGAAACTCCTCCATCACCGCCAGATGTTGGTCAGAGGAGCAACAGCACCTCAAACATACATGTTGCTGTTTTAAAGCATGTACCAACTAGCTGTGCTTGCCCATCTCTGAATGCTGCCATGTGGCAACGAGATGGCGGTACAGTATGATATCGAAAACGCTTGGCCAAGTTGAGGAATGCACGCAGCGACGAACCAGCCTTATCATACTGTAACACCTTGACCACATGCACCACTGCAGACTTCCCTTGCGTGCCACAATGTACAAATAAATTATCTCTGCACTCACCGCCATGCGGAAGCTTCCACAGTCAACATGACACTTCAAATCGTTTAGCGATCTCTCGCCTGCACACAGCAACCCGAGGCAGACGAATTGGAAAAAGTTCTGATTGCTAAAGGTCATCAAGGGTTTGCCTTGCGATAATCAACCAAGCTAGCCACCTCGACCACGATCCAAGACTCCACGCCCGGCCCGTATCGGTAGCTATGGCCCTCTTTTTGTCAATTTTGCTAGAAGTGCATTCAGTAGATCCATCTTCCATTGGAACTGCCAATGCAGCTGGGTCTTCAGTAGATCCATCTTCCATTGGAACTGCCAATGCACTGGGGCCTCCTCTTTGTCCGTTTTGCTAGAAGCGTCGTCGTAAACAAAGCCTTCTTCGTCTGCCTTGTCGTAACCATCGGATGATTCTGCAGGCATGTCGGCAGAAGAGTCACCGTCCGCCACCTTGCTCTATCAGTTCCGATGCTCTGTTTGATTCTGTATGAGATCTTGTTTTGGAAGCCTTCAACAAAGCTTTCTCCATCTGGTCCAGGTCGTCGTCACTTGAAGTTGTCTTTGGGTGCTCCGCTCGATTCCACCTGGTCCTGCCGTACCGGTACATTTGGTGGTCTCATGGACGCGGCCGCCGATGTCGTGGTCGCAGTCACTTTGGACATTATCTTGGAACAAAACGCCGCCGTCGCGGTGCCACCTGAAGTGGACTATTACCGAAAAGCGCATGCAGTCAAGGCTGTCATCATGCACGGAGGCGCTACATCAGCAGAGGCTCTGTTCCTGTGACACAGGCGAAGATGTGGCAGGATGCCACTATGCGGAGAACCGGAATGAAGCTGTTTTCGATGTGGACATGGAAGCCATTCAACTCTATCAAAGTCCGACATCCCTAGAGCTTCTTCACTGTCGAGGAACGTAGCAGATTCCTTGTTTTTGTTGGAAGATGATGTGGGTTCTTTGGCTTCTGCATCTGCCAGCATTGTTTCGTCCTCCTGGCGCTTGTCTTAACTGGAATCCTTTGAATCGTTGGAAGATGACTCTTCCTCATCCGCACCGGCGTCCTTGTTGCCGGCATCAATTTTTCCGCCAATGATGTGTCCACCTTGAAATTCGCCTCCCCTTGAATTGTCTTCCTCCCTCGCTAGAATCCTTTGAAGATTCTGTGGAAGCAGATGAGGCATCAGTGGTAGAGGCGATTGCGGCAGCGGTAGCGGAGAGGCTGCCAGCATTGTTTTCTGCGGCAGTGACAGCAGTGGCGCAGCGGCAGCGGAAGTGATGGAAGATGTCCGCAGCAACTGGAGTGGATGCACTGACATCTTCTGCTGTCATTCTGGCGGCTGCTGCTGGCGAGGACATAGTTGTCTCCGATTGATGTGATAGCAGAGAGGCCCCAGCATTGCTTTCTGCTGACTGAGCTGAGGCTGATTCTTGAGGTGTGATGTCGCTGGAAGAAACTACTCGTTGCTGACTCTGCCGGTGTCCGATTTCCTCTCGGATCTCTTTGCAGCGACTGTAGGCATAAAGGGTTCCGTGTTGTTGTACCTTTTTCTTTTTCTTTTTTCTGTGTGTCATGTTTTTCGCAGTCTGTTGAGAGAGACTATTTCTCCGCAAGAAGCTCGCCCAAGGTCCTTGTTGAAGGGTCCTCGTTCAATGGCATTGGATGATCGCTCTACGGAAGAGGGATGTGAGTGCGAGGAACTTTGGTTGAGAAAGGGAAGAGCTTGAGAGGAACTTGCTTGGGAGGAACTCTATCCGACAAAGGGAAGTGACGGCGAAAGATTGTGATTCCAGCTCTCATCTCGATGATTCGATTCCGGTTCTTCCATCAAGCATCCAAGGCATCTGCCTGACGACCAGCAGAAGTTTTGCTTGCTCGGCCATGAATCCGTCGTACACTAGCTGTTACAATTTCCCTCCTGCTCTTCTCCATTGCTTTTGCTTCGTATTTCGCGTCTTGTTGTTTGGCCCAGCTCCGCAATTTCTTATACGGTACTTGATAACTTCTGTGTCATTGACATCCAGACGGGGCATGGTCTCAGGAGGTGGTACCGGTTTCGTCGTTACTGAAAGCAGATTCGTCCCTTCCTCCAACTTTGCTTCCCAATCTCACAGTTGCTTTTGTTGTCACCTTTGGTTTGTTTTCATGTCAGTGTATCTCTCGTGCGACTCTTCAAGTTGCTTACAACGCACGATCGACATTCGGTCCGTTAGCCCTCTCACTCTCTCACGTAGGTACAACAACCAAAAAGGCATCCCACGAAACCCCCGATATTCCAAATCACTCCGGACCCAGTTAGTTGTTGTACCCATGGTCGTCGAACGAACGAACTGCGAGGAAACCAGTCGTCGTGTCGAATTGCTTCTTCTCCGCTTTGACGTGTAGATGCTGTGCCAATCGTCCAGCAAGGCAGACGTTGGGATGATTGCAGAACAGGTTGGTACGGAAAGATCCCACTGTTGCATTGGTTTCATCTTTGTTCTATTTGTTTTTGTTTTATGTCAGTGTATGCATATCTCTCGTGCGACTGACTCTTCAGGTTGCTCACAACGCACGATCGACATTCGGTCCGATAGCCCTCTCACTCACGTAGGTACAAAAACCAAACAGGCAGCACACGAAACACTAGCTTATTCCAATCGCTCTGGATCCAGTTAGTTGTATCAATCGTCGAACGAACGAACTGGCGAGCGAAACACAGTCTTGTCGAATTATTGATTGGTGTTTCTCTTTTCCTCTTTGGTGTGTAGATAGATGGATGCTGTGCGAATATGTTTGGTGATCGTCCAGCAAGGCAGACTTTTGTTGGGATGATTGCAGAACAGGTTGGTTCGGAAGAGTCTTGCAACTTGTGTGTGGGGCTCGTGACGATCGATGAATGAATGATGCCAAATAATGAATGAATCAGCAGGATTGACTGACACTCAACAAGCGAGCTTCGGTACAACCGACAACAACAACACATGCATCATTGCAATTTGTGATTTCCGTTCCCTTCATTGATGGCCATCAAGAAGCAATGCGGACTGTATTTCCAAAGAATCAATATATGTAGTGCTGTAATTGTGTAATTGTTGTGCGTTGACATTCAGCTGAGTGTCAATTTGGAGCGTGGCGTTCATTGCTTGTGATGGATTCGTGTGTCTAGATAGGCTGTGTAGTATGGAGCATCGTCTCTTCTTCCTTACTCCACAATTACCTCTTGGATTGATTCCTGTCGTCTTGGTGCGTCTGTTTGTTTTTCTCTCTGCACAAACTCCAAGACGAGATCGCCCATTCGTTGAAAATCCTTGAATTCCAAATAGACTTGTGAGGAGAGCCGTGTAAAATATCGATCGGTCGGTTCGTAATGCACAATGGGCATGTAAATGTTGTGTTGTTGCAATAAATGATTGTGAAGTGCCAATCCCATGGTAGTCGAATGAATTTCCTTTGGCAATTCGATATTAATCATGAATTCTTCCATGGAATCGGGTGCCATGGCCGTGACATTCCACAAGTTCATCAAGTAGTGTTTGGCTTGAATGGCCAGTGTGCGACAGTAGTAATAAATGGCATTGTCGCCACCGAGCACGTCGCGTCGAAAGTCAATAGCGGCGGCCATGGCTAGAAAAGCCGTATAATCTCGCGCGGAAACGTACTCGAATCGCTGCAGCAGACTGGTATTGCCAATGATATTTTCCTTGGAAATGACGGTTGGTTCTGGAAACGTCGAGTGGTTGATGACGGATGAGGATGTTGTGTTGACCCATAAAAAGGCAGATCCTTTGGGGGAATAGAGCCATTTGTGACCATTGGACAAGTAGGCATCGATATTCTGCATTGATGACAACTGCAATTGTTGTATTTGTCCCATGGCATGAGCCCCATCAATCAAAATATAGCAATCGGGATTGTGAGCTTTGATCATATTCGCCAATTCCTGAATGGGTTCCTTGACGGCCGGATTGGACACGATATGATCCAACACGACCATTTTCAGTTTTGTCAAATTTGACGCGTTCTGCAGATTCTGCAACGCTGCCTGCATGGAATCCAAAAAGGCAGTTTCTGCTTGATCCTCGGAAATGGGAAAGACAACGGGCGCCTCGACAATTTGAATACCACGTTCTTGCTGGAGCCAAAGAGCTGTATTCTTGACCATTCCAAACGCCACACTAAAATACAAAATGACGTCTCCTGGTTGCCAGGAATAACTGCGGAGAATGGCATTGACCGCCGTGGAAGCACTCTCCACAATCACAAGGCCATCACGATCGTCGTCCACAAGACCCACATTGTCTGCGACTTTTTGGCGGGTCTCATTCAAGAGGATGCGATACTGATGACGCATCCAAATGTCGGGCTGCTGTTCTTGCTGTTGTCGGAGGGAAGACTGATAGTCCAACACAGAGTGGGGACACGCACCGTACGAGCCATGGTTGAAATTCGTATAGTTCAGTAGAAAGTGCTCGGAAAGAACATCATGGCCAAAGGGAACACCTGATGAAGCTGCTTGGGTTGCCGCTGCTACCACCACTACCAAGACGACTGATCGAAAGAGACAAGACAACATACTCATCATACTAGTACAGGAAGAAGGAGTAGGAGACATCTTCAATCTATCTTGTCAACAAAAGATACTCAAAGATATCAAATAGATCCGTTGGGCGCAGTGAGAATGGATAACAATAAAATAAAAATAATTGGAGGTTTAGGCGCTAAAAGACAAAGAACAGTGCGGTAGCTAGTACGAAGCTCGTGGGAGTCGAAAAGCTGACGCTCGATCCAGCCTGTTACCAGGTACTGCCCACCCGCCAACCACATCTACATGTGCTGTACAGTGAAAGGGCCCGAAATCAGGATTTTAAGAATCCAATTAAATTGATCAATTCCAATCCAAAATATAAAATCGAAACCTAAATATAAAACCGAAACCTAAATATAAAACCGAATCCAAATTACTATGGTAAATAACTAGTAAAATCATGCCGAAACCAAAATATCAAACCGAAACCTAAATATAAAATCGAAACCTAAATATAAAATCGAAACCCAAATATAAAGCAGAATTACATGTAAAACGTGATTTCGGGCCCTTTCAGTACATGTAATGTAATCAGAAAGAGTGTAGCCTTGCTACTGGGAATCATTACATGCATGGTGCACGGTTGCACTCTAGAGGAGCACCTTCTCGCAGGGTTACAGCTTCTAGCTAGAGAAGAATTGACTTGACTGCCTTCAGTGATTCGATTGACTTCCATCGGAGTGCGATCCCTTGCTTGGAGCGCGCAACGATGCTTTGCCTTTTAAAACTGCAGCAACGAGGCGGTTGCATCCTGATATCTACCGTATGCTGGATGGGCCTCTGGTGCTGGGAGGAGCTATCGATGCGGGACGGCCAGAGGCGTATAGCAAAGGAGGCCAATGTACATGGCTGTAATGCCACGCACCGGATGGCATTACACGAGAGCTACTACCTGAAGTTCATCATGGCTACCTTATCTAACTAATGCTGCTTCTACTAGTTTGGAAGAAGGCAGTCTACTCGCTCTACTAGCTAGTCATCTCTATCAGCCTCGAGTAGTATGTCGATGGGGAGAAGGCAACCGACGATGCAGCGGCAACCTCGGATGCGTCAGCACCCAGACGAAGTGAACGTGTCCGCTGCAGCAGAGCAAGAATCGAATCATCATTGTGGAAGAGCTGACCTGTTCTTGCTTTCTCCTCGTACCACCCAGAGGATCTTGGAAGGTTCCTCGGGGACGACGTCGACTTGTCGGTGAACCTTTTGGCACTCAAGTCCACAACTGGGGTGCTTGCTTGACATCAAGGTTGCCTATAATAGCTAGCTAGAGTGGCCGATGATGCATGAAGCATTCCCACCTCGTCAAACATGAACACGCGGCAGGAGTACCGGTACGGACTCGAATCGGGCAACTACGACAGGAGACCGACGCCAAGTGGATACCCCCTCGACTTTGACTCGACCTAGCTACTACTAGATCCCCTCTCGCTCGAGGTCGAGGTTCTTTCCTGTAGGTAGCTCATTCCAAGAAAGCAACTGACGACAGAGATCGGGCCTTCATTGCTACCCATCCCGTTTCTAGCAGGCAGCATGAGTATATGTAAGTCGTCGCCACCGGGTCTCTCGCAAGTCACAAGTAACGATTCCAACGGCATCAGCGTTGTAACAGCTAGTCACAACCAGGATGACACTTTCGTTTTGTTGGCTCTTGCTTTGTTCCGTCACAGGAACGTTGAGTTGTCACTGGTGCTTTCTGTGACCGGGTTGCAATTGTAGGAGTCGGAAAGAAGCGAGCAGCAGGACTGCTTTCTTTCTTTCCCACTACCACCATTCTACTGTACGGTACGGAGTACATGTACGACAATGCTACCCATCCAAGGATTACCGGTAGCGAACCTGTTGCTGCTGGCTGATTTAGACTGTTGCTTCCAAAGCAAGATCCGGTGCGGTACCGGTATTGGCAACTCCCAGATACACATGGCAGTTTCCGCCAAAGAATCAGTCAAACATCTGCAGTGTCCCAGTAACGACATGTTGCGGAGTCAATGTCTTGCCTGTGAATGGCCTTCGTCAGCATAGCTGTGCTAAGTGTCCCTTGGAGGGAGAGACTCCGATTGCTGTGCAAATCCTGACAGTTCCGGATGTCTTGAGAGTCCGAGCCCACAGCAACGGTCGGATCCGCTGACTGTGCCATTGCCCGGCCATTGGATGAGCGGTCAGCAGGTCTGCTGGCGCGGCAGCTTCCTTGACGATAGCCGACGTGTCCAACGGTTGTCCTTTTTGGACAACTCTTTGTCAGAGAAAAGAGTGACATGGTCCACTCTGGTAACATGTATGGGTCTCCTGCCAATGAAGAGGCGAAGGGGGTTTCCGGCAAACCCTTTTCTTGATTTATTTAGTTATCAACGTGGCAAAGTACTTATCTTGTGGTATTCCTTGAGACCGAACGTTAAATCGAGTCAGGAACACGTCTAGTCGCCGAGTTCGTAGATCTTACTTTGGCCCCTTAATTGATAAAGGTGACCAACATGTTGTGTCGTGCCCCTTCTTTTGTTGCTTAAAGCCACGGGACAAAGGACTAATTTGGCTTTTTAGGGAAGAAAGGTCACGGGCAGACCCTGTAAGACGCTATAACCTCGTCCGAGTCAGGGACAAAAAAGAAAATTATTTCTGTAGATTTCTACGGCATGTGGTAAAGTAAGCCTACAAAGCCGATGCAAAAGAAAGCTTACAAAGAACTGATGCGTGTACTGGAAGATAGAAAAGGGGAGATGTTTAGCCTTCCCCCTTTTACTTTTTTGATAAGATGATGCAGATTGGAGGTGCGTCGAAAGACTCAGTTTGCTACTGAGTGTGTGATGCATCTCTCTTTCGAAAAATCGAAAATCATGTGACCAACATGGGGCCCATTTCATTAGCAATTATGGTACCAGAGATATAGAGTCACTTGAATAGTACCTTATTAACAACGGCTAAGGAAACCATGTGTCTGAAATTTGTCGTGCACTGACGTCTTTTTTGGCCTCTTTCTTTGATACTCCACCTGCTGTAGCTGGCGGTACCCCGCACTCTTGAAGTTTGTATGCAATGGATGCCGATGGGTTCCCTAAGAACAGCCCATGAAAAGAGCAATTTTGCCAGTGATTTGGTGCTCGACTCCGAAAATTGTTTTCCGTTGCCAGCACGCCCGTCAGGATTGCCACATACTTAGGCTCCAAGTGGAGTCTCCGAGTGCGACAGAGAGTGGCTATTTTCTTCTTCTAACAACATGTGTCGCACACAGAGACACTGATTTTACTTATCTCATTTCAAATTTCCAAAGATGCGCGCCGGCCGCCGATGTTGAGGTACGTGGTGTGGTACTGTAGGATTGGTTAGTAGAATTCCTGCGGCGGTGCTGCCGTTCACACTCCGTACATTTCTATTCTCACAATAACAGCCAGCCAACGACCTCCTCTTTGCACCACCAACTCCAGAGTTGCCATAATAGCAAGAGACGTCTTCGGAAAGGACAAAAGCTCACCACTCTCATTATTGTTAGCTCCAAACACAACCGACGAACATCCACCATCACCAGATAGAGCCAACGCTGCTTTCTCAAACCTTTTCAACCAACCACAGATACAATCATCACAACAAACTCACAATGACTACAGTAACATCATCGTCTCGTCTTCTCTCTCTAGCTCTTGTGCTGCTGGTGCAAACACTGACACTCCGACCAGTCGATGCAGCGATTTGTCACATTTGTGGAGATTCCGGCAATGACTTGATGCAGTACCCCAACATTGTGCTTGCCAACGTCGGCAAGACTTGCAATGACATTAGTATCGATGTGGCAGTTGCCAACCCAGACCCAAATGCCCAATCATGCATTGCAGCACAAAACATGTGGAGAGGTCGGTGTTGCAATCCTAATCAACGTCCTGCCGGTGTCGACCGCGCCAATGCCGGTCTTCCTCCACAGAACATTCCTGCCGTGCCTCACAGTGGACCACACCCCATCTGCAACGTCTGCCGTGACGGGGACTTTCCTTACGATACATCCATGGTCCTCAACTTTCTCTACATGGGCGTCGGCACTTGTGTCCAATATTTCATTCTGGGAAAGCGAGGAGCGATCGAGCCACACATGTGTGCTCCCGTTCAGTTCTTCTCTTACGAGCCTTGTGCCTGTGGAGAACACAACCCTTACTTCAACCCCAACCACCCACGCAACCAAGGAGCTCAACAAGCACCCGGCAACACCAACAGCAATGCCAATGGAAATGCCGGTGGCAACGCCAATGGCAGGACCAACGGCGATTCCAATGGATCGTCCAATGGCAGTTCTGGTGGAAACGGTGTCAACCACCAAAAGACACCCGACAGCGACGCCTCCAAGAACGGTCAGAAGATGGGGGACAGCATGGGAGGAGCCGGTGGACAGTCTCATGGAGGACGTCGGCGGGGACTCAAGGGATCTAAGACACGACCCGTCAAGGTGGATGAAGATGTTGTGATCAAGATCGAAGTATAAGTCTGCTTTTACTTTGCTGCTGAATCAGTCATTGCAAGGAGCTTCAATGCTGTCCTTGCTTTCACGGAGCGGCGCGGGGTCTTTCGACTTACTGTCCATGAAAGACCTGTTACTTTATTCATTTCCTCAAGTTCATGACGCGCTCCTGTACATCTACCCCCTCTCATCTCCCTCAATCCCCCAATCGAGCTCCTGCTCTCTCTTTCGCCCTTCTCCTTTGCCATCTTTTTACAAACCAAAAAGGATGGTTTTTGTCTACTGTTTGTGTCTCTTACCTTTTGGACGAGTGCAAATGTCCACAAGCAAACAGTACGCTGGATCCTAACTAACTACTACTACTACTACACTGGCTACAAAGCAAACTAAGATAGTTCAGTAACGAATAATACTTCCATTAAAAAAGAAACTCGTCGTAGCAGTAGATCGTCGTTTACATCAGCTGATCATCGTCTCTTTTAGCAAACGAACCCAATCCAAGTCAAAGCTCCCCGTCATGAGAAGCGTTCTATCCCATACGTGCTTCCGTTCGAAGCCCACCATTCACTGGCTCTCTAGCTAGCTAGCTTAGCATTCCCCATCACAACACGGGGAGCACAGCCACTGGGACCTATCTATCTAGCTAAACCTAGGTTCTATTCTTGGCTAGTTTGCAACAAAAACCAACACATTTGTGGTGGACGAATTTGTCGTCTGCCGTTCCCGTGGAGCCCCTCCACATCATTGTCTCAACTGAAGGCAAAATCGGCCACAAGACCATAATTGCGAAGGCCGAAAATTCAAACGGAAGACGCCAGCATGACCAACCGAAAGCATTCATTTACTCCGAGTGTACAACCATTGGCTTTTTCCACATATTGCCGATGTCACGCTTTTGGACAGCACTCGCTCGAACGGATACTCCGCCATTTTTGCACAACCTGGTCTTAGATTCGCCAAACGTTGACGTTTGTGACCACACCGTCTGTCTACTGATTTTTGGGAGTCATGAGAGACTCCGTTTTAAAAATTACTCGCCATTCAACTGTTGATTTTGGCATTTATCGGAAGGAGAAGTCTTGGGGTTTGGGTTAATCACGGGAGTGAAAGCAACTTCGAGGCTGCGTTGGCTTTGGAGGAAAGACAGTCAACCTACGGTACGGTATCTGAGCTTTGGTTGATCTAAAATGGCACGATCGTGTCGGGACCCAGGCAACCAACCGAGGGCGGGGATTGTTGCTTCAGCTGATGGTGAGATTGGTGCGATCCTCCTGTATTTATTTCACTCTTATAACTCTCCAATATAAACAGATTTTCATCTAGCAGAAATAGTCCAAGGTAAGGCAGCCAACCTATCGGTACTGAACCTGACGCCATCTCTCAAGAAATTGGCTGGAACGGTATGAACTCAGAGCTCGAGCGAGGTGCACTTACGGTATCTTGGGTTACACATCCATTTGGCCTGCCTGAAACTACAGTCCATTTCGTAGACGAATACCTCCGGAATTTCAACTTTCGCGGGATGTAATCCTCGTGCCGTTGACACAGCGTGCTGCTCTGGCGGCCACGTGAGTCAGAAGAGGGACGTTGGAAGGTGCACCTCTCCTCTCCTTGAAGGTGTTCAGGCAATGCAAAGGTGGTTTCAGTTTTCCTTCAAAATTTGTCACTGGAGCCACATGGACTCAGGTTTTCGGTTGATCGCCAAGTTCATGCATAGCGCGCTTGCTGGAGAACTTTGAGCTTGACTGACTGGACTCCACAGTAGTACGATGCAGGAGCGAGCTTTGGCTGCCTAGCATTGCTTAGTTTTTGCTCTTCTTTTTGGGAGACTACAGCCGCCCGGAGCCAGGGAGCGTCACTCCACCTGCACAACCTGAAGGAACTCAACAGCTCCTGTACAGAAGCAAGGACCCGATCTAGCAGTCTATTTTCGCAAAGATAAATAGTGTATGCAAGAACACAAGCAGCAACAGCCACTCCCATGGAACACACTTCCAATCTATCGTTTCCAAGGCCGGAAATAAGCCGTCGGGGGTGCAAAGCCCCAAATACTCCCTCGAGGCCGACCGAGCCGGACAGAGGCACCAATGCGGTTGCCGCATCTACCGGTACCCCCCCCCCCCCCTACCGGTACGGCAAGCAAGGTGATGGTCTTCCACAGTGCCTGCTGGAAAAGATGGCTCATCCTTTGCTGATGCTTGATAGAAGCAATGTTCATTCTACTCTAGAGCTAGTATCACGAATCTGAATCATGGTTTTTGGTTTACTTTTGCAATACAATAAAAATATACACTGGCTAGCAACTAGACATGCACAATGGATCTTTCTCTTCCCAAGGGATGATAGTTTTTTCAGAATTCTCTCTCCAGGAGTCATTGTTTTTCAGGTTCATTCCAACTTCTTCCTTGATTCCTGACTTTTCCTGGTCATGCCATGGGCCTTGTTGACAACCCAACCTCCAAGGGTAATGGCCGCAAAGCACACAAAGGGAGCTAGAGCAGGTCCACCAAGGAGCACTTCCAAAAGGTTCAAGAAGGCAAACATCAGAAAGACTGGAATTCCAATCAGAAACACTTGAACAAAGAAACCCTGAATATCGGCAAATTCAGCTAGGCTCCTTCCCGCCACCAAGTAGAAATGAACGCCTTCTTCATCCCTGCTTTCCAAGAATTGGCAAGCATTGGAGGACACTCCAAGACACAACATTCTGAGAGGGGACATATACAAATGCAAAATCTTGTCTTCAGTCAAGAATGGGAAAAGTTTGGAGTTGTCCACAACAACAGGAGCTTGGTCTTGAAGAGAGACATATGTAGAGGCCAGAATTCCATTGACAATGATGGATCCATCAGGGGTCAATGGCATGTACATTCCTTTCTTCTGAGTAGCCGCAACCTTTGTGACAAGGGCTGGGTGCGCGTCTTCATCTTGACTTTCATTTTCTAGCACACGATCCCCAGCCTTAACTGTATCAGCTCGAACAGACTGGGGCTGATTTTCACTGTCCAGCACAAAGATCAAGTGGCCACCAGTCATTTCCAATGGAGCGTGATGTCTCTCTGTGTAGATTTGGTAGAAGGTTCCCTCAAGATCTTCATGGCGATGCCCAAAACTGTACACTGGTTGGTATTGGCTGCTCCCTGTCAAGACTCTGTCACCCACCTGGAGATTTTTCATTGAAACAGGTCCTTTATTTTCCACTTGCACAGTTGCGGACTCTGAGAAACAGCTGGACCCACCACCCGGTGCACTTGGAGGAGGACTGGCGGGAGTATTCTTGGGTGGATTGGTACATGTACATTGAAGGGTTAAATCTCCTCCCCCAATGCTAATGTACTCAAAGGACAAGCCCAAAGTAGTGGCATCATTGGAATCACTCATGGTTACTGAAAAGTCACAGCTTTTGGCTGCACTGCCATGAAGAGAACCTACAGAGCCAGAAGCTCCGTTGAAGGCATTGGAGCCCCCCACATCATCACCATAGACAATTTGGAGCATTCCATAGTCACAATTTCCAGAAACAGAACAGGTGGTTGTTCCACCTCCAGCCACTTCGAAACTGTTACTGTCATCCAGCCAAGTCAGCCTAGTAGTGCCACCACCGAGATTGTAGCTCACGAAGCCTGAGCATGCTGAGACAGCTTGGAAATTCATGGTTGCAATCATTGCAACCAAGAGGCCAAGGGACCTCTTATTGGTATGGCGCATGGCGGAGTTGTTGGTCGTAGTTGTCAATGTCATTGTCGATTAGATTTATTTGAAGAATGCCAGAGGGATAGAAAGAGGGTTGAGTATATTGTTGTATTGCTAGCTAGAATAGTAGGAAGCTGAAAAATGTCTTCGTTGTTGTTGTTGTTTGTGTTTCCTGAGGAAAAATTGTGAGAGTTTTAATACGTGTTAATGAAGCTTGCTCCATCTACAGTATCCATCTACGGTAAAGGTATCTGCTCCCCATGAAACTGGGAATACAACCGTGTACATGGAGTACCAGGCTCTACGTGTTACCCTGTCTTTCCCTTTGTTTTGGGTGTTTCTACCTTTCTCGACCTTCGCGAACGACCTGCTGGCTCACTGGAACATCGATACTGGTATAAACGAACGATGGAATCCTGCTTTGAATGGACGAACGGAATCTCCCAGTTGACGGAATCGCAGAAGAAGGTAGAAGAAGAATAAGTCAATCCAAGCAAAAGATCGCAAAGTCGTGAAAAACGCAAAGTCGCTGGAAACTACCGCACGAACTGCAAAGGCAAGAAAAAGCAGATCACAAACAAGATAACAAAACAACAACAAGAAACTGATAATTTCTTAACACTAAAATTTCTTAACACATAAAATTTGTTTTTTGCTATGCCTACAGCAGGATCGCGCTGTAGGCTGGGTACCACCAAGGCAGTTCAACGCAAGCGTGGTGGATGCCGGTGGGCTGATTCTTCTTGTCTTGCTTGAACTTGTTGATGATCTGGGTGACTGTAAGCCACCCGTAGGTGGCATAGATGCGACCGCAGCCCCCAATCAAAGCCCTTGGCCATCAACCGAATAACACAGTCCCACACATGCTGCGGCAGAACTTGTCCTTGACGCGCCGCGCTCACGAGCAGTAAACTCGCATGCGGCCTTGTTGCCATTCAGGCCCTTGATCCACTCGTCCCACAGCTCGTAGAGGTTGAAAGGCTTCTTCGAAAGCTGGGCTGGTAGGGTAGCGGCTGTAGGGGCCCTTGCGGCAGGAGGACGGGCCAAACGCCCAGGACTCAGCGGTGGTGTGGGGAAGTCCTCCTCCCGCCGCTCCACCACCACCGCCGCCAGCTCCACCCCCCGCCGCCAGCTCCACCGGCCGCACCAGGAAGAGGAAGCCTTGGAGCACCATTGCCACCACCCCTCGCGATCAACTGGAAGTGGTTGATCCTCCCAATGTTCTTGTTCACGATGGCCATGTGGTCGAGACATAGCCCCTCAAGGAGCTGATGTCCTGTGCAAGAATCTGCTGGGCCTCCTCGATCGCCTGCTGAGTCCTATGTTGTAGAGCAAGCAATTGGTTGAGCTGTTCCATGTTGACACCACCAGGAGCACCTCCAACCAAGGGCTCAGCACCAGCTTCGACCTGGGCGGTGGGAGCCAACTCAGTAATGTGCAATGCATTGGCTACCTTGTAGATTGTCAGAGGGATCTTGGCGACTGGGTTGTAGTCGGCCCCAGGATCCTCATCCAAAGTGGTCCGAAGCTGGGCATACTCGTCTGGATGCGGTTGCGAATTCTGCTGGCATCATATGCTCCAAGCCAGGTTCATCGCAGCCCAAAGCAAGCAGGGACCAAGTACCATCGGAAGGTTGTTGGATGGGTCGTCGGCAAAGAAGTCACATATGGAAGGACAGACATGCTCGCCATGAACCCATGATCAACACCGCTGTCAATCTTGATCGAGTACTTGACGGGGCCTCCAACAGCAAGAGTTCCCGCAACCTTGGCGTCAGTCGCAACTGTTCCAGTCCAATGTAGACATGGACAATATGGCCATTCTTCTCGCCCTTCCAGCGACCACGAGCCTCATTCTCGGCTTGGTGATGCCACATCGCTGCATAGGTTGGAGGCAGCTTCGAAGACTGTGCGTACCAAGGCTACCCTGCACTTGCTTGGCCAGCTCCACGAACTCCGGGTCTTTCCAAGCCTTCTTCAAGACGCGTTGGTACCAGGCGTTGACTCGATCTGGCTCCGTCTCAATGTTGGTTTCGTCAAGCTCTTCATCGTTGTCCAGTGCCTCGATGCGGCAAGGAAGCTTCTCTCGTCACAGGTAATGCCCAAACAAAAACTTGGGATTCCATGTCCCTCTCAAGCCGAGTCTCGATCCAAATAGCCAGGCAATCAGGACGCAAAAGTCAGGGTCAGCGGCAACCAGCAAAATTTGGTCAGGACAATCGCGCTCCTCCTGGACGTTCTTGCTCCAGGATACCTTTGTTTAGAGCGATGTTTGGAAACTTGGAGTGGCTGCGGAAGTCCAATGTCTCCATGTTCGTCAGATCATCAGTTCGACCAAATCATGTGGAACTGAACTTCATCATGGTTGGAGTCTTGATCGTGAGGTCAATGTTGGCACCTCCATCACGCTCCAGATCCGAATGGTCTTGCGGAATTCTCGAAGCTTGAGTTCTCGCTTGACATTGGATTTCCTTCCCTGCTTCCTGACCTCCGCCTTCTTCACAGCTTTGATCACTCCATTGACGTTCGTGGAGCGAGTTGGGATTCCCAACATTGGGACCAACAGCCCATGGCGAGGTGCGGTTCGGATGGAAGTGGCTGATGGCCTTCTTGTTTGTTCAAGAGGGTAGATCTCTTCTGGGTGGGGCGATCATGGACCAGGATTGCCTCCATATGCAAGGAAGTTAGGAACCGGGCGCATCAGTGGGTAATGGCAAGAACTGGTCCTGAAGAACAAGAAAAAAAATGAAAATGTAGAAGAGCGAGCGACCATGGGTGAGGGGGATGTTTGATCAGCGAAATGACAGCGAAATGACAGATTTGGCGAAGGAGAAGGAACGTACCTGTGTAAAGCTCCTCTTGCTATCGTATGGTGTCTGCCGGCCATGCTTCCAAGACATAAACCTTGTGAGTGCTGGCCGGTATTGTTTCGAGTGACTCCTTCCTCGCCATTGCAAGTAGCGAGAGTAACAAAAGCGAGTAGATGCATAGCTTTCGCTTATTCAAGTGCATCCATCGAAATTTATGGAAGATTTGGAGAGGAATGATGAGATCGGAGGTACTCCATCCAACGGCAAGCCAGCCAAATGCAGTCGTATGTACTATGGGATACGACAGTTGGATGGATGGGATCTTTGGGCGTTTACCCTCTCTCAATACAGAGACACAGGTCCGGATCGTTAAGTCTTCGAGTTTCGCGGAACTTTGGTGTGTGACTAGGTTGTATTTGACAGTTACTTAGGCGAAAGTTGTATTTTGGGTTGCCGATGCAACTACCAATGCGATTCTGAGTAGTATCGGATACCCTCAAATGCCTGGTTTTCCCCGGCAAAATACTCTCAATGACTTTTATGTATCACCATACCCCAATATACCATAAACAATACTTAAGACAAAGAGGGGGTGACTGGTCTAGTAAGAGTACACCCCAAGTCCCACCAACCAGTGCGATCCCCCAAAGACTGATACCCTCGACCATGTGACTACCGTTGTATTTTGGTAATACGGTACCGGTACTGGGTACCTCTACCGGTACACCGGTACAGGTCATGCTGGCACAAGGAAGACATGCTGGCACAAGAAGACATGCTGGATGACGGAGAGAAACTCCTGTTGGATCCAGCTCTTCTTGCTTGGCGTGCCATTAATTAAGGTAGCCCTAACCCTCCTTTGTTGCTTGCAATGCTGCGCTGTAGCCTTAACCCTCCTTTTAGTGGGGGGCACCTTCCCCCCCTTTTACATGGCCATCTACTTTCCGAGCTGAAGCCACCACTACGACCACTACTAGCTAGTACTGTACGGTAGCTAGTAGCCAGTACCTGGTATCTACTGGTACCGCTACAGGACGGGGTAGCATTGCGGATGTTACAAAGATGATGTCTCATCAGTTGCCAGGCATTGACTTGACACGGGAACAAACGGATATCCTCGATACATGCCAGCCTCCTCCGACCAATGGTAGCAAGGGTCAGTTGGTGCGTGTGACGGCTGCCGCGGGGACGGGCAAGACGACCACCTTGTTGAGTCTGGCCCTTCGTGCCGTGGAAAAAGGCCACACACATATCACCTATCTGACGTTTACCAAGGCGGCCGCATTGGATGGAACCAAACGTCTTTCCAAAACCCTTGCTACTGGTAGTCTGGCGGGTAGAGTGATTGTGGATGCTCGCACGCTGCATTCTTGTGCTTCGCAAGCACTCAATCAGCATCGAAGAAACAAAGATCCCAACGTGGATTTGGGCCAACGCATTTGGTCGGATAAGAAGGTCAAGAAATGGATCTCCGAGACGTTGCAGGCAGAGATAGATTCCTTTTTGGAGCCCTGTTTCAGTGAACTTCAGAGACGAAACAGCAACAAGATGAAGAATAATCAGGCTGTCTTTGAGACGGCACGGCAACGAGTCGAGTTTTACCTCTTCAAGACACTCAACAATTTCTGCACCAAGTCCATGAGTCGACAAGATTTTGGGAAAAGGACAACCTTTGGTAGAGTGTACTACCCTGCCATGAAGTTCCATAGATCCGAAAAAGGAGACAAACTTGGTTTCAGCGCGAAGGTGTACGGCAACAGAATTGATTGGTACGCGGACATGGCATGCATTCTCTGGGACAAGGCCGTGGAACAAGACATTCGAACCTTCAATTTCATCATGAAACGCACGCAGCTGTTATGTTTAGAAGTTCCAGGCACAATCCTTCTCATTGATGAGTCACAAGATATGGATGGGTGCCAAGTGAATTGGGTGGCGGACCAAGTCAAGTATTCCAAACACGCGTATGTGGTGGGCGATGCCGCACAATCGATTTATGGCTTTAGAGGGGCAAAGCCGGAATTCTTGATGGATCTGGCCAATGATCAAGAGAAAATGTTGACGGAAAGCTGGAGATTTGGACCAGCCATTGCCAAAATTGCCAATCTGGTGCTGTTTGCCAAGGAAGAATCCGACCAGACCTCTCAGATCTACGACAAACGCCGTCGTTGTATGAAATGGAAGAATTGGAGCCCGTATCGAGTCAAGACGGGCAAAGATATGAGCGCGGTTGTTACTGACGAATCATTGCTATCCAACTGGGAGACATATCGGGAACGTTCCGAGCAAATCACATTCATTGCCAGGCAGAACAAAACGCTGTTTGTACACGCATTGCAGCTCATGGGGTTCACTCCCAAGTCAGATGAAGATGAAAAGCCGTCGGCGCAAAGTGACAACCGGAACGATGACGAGGATGACGACTTTGATATTCTAGACGACAACTATGACACACCGCCTGCTCAGGAGAATGAGACACACCGGCCTGCAGCTGGGGCGCAACCAGACCAGCCAATATCATTCCCTAGAATGCACATCAATGGATACGGGGAAAACTCTGGTAGAAAGGCTTGGCTCTCCATGTTCAAATTGGTTGGAGCAATCTACGACTTGTTCAAGCTTCAGCAAGGCAACAATGAATCGTCAACCACCATGAGGCTGCCGCCTCTACTGTTCCCAGAATTTGCCGGTCGGGATATCGACTGGAAGTCGTTTTGTGAAGATGTCCAGGAGCGAGAAATGAACAAGTACAGTGTGCCAATTGCTGTCGTCAAGGCATATCAAGATCATACAATGTCAGCTGTGCAAAGGTTCAAGCGAGACGTCATTGAACGCAACTATTCTGTCGAAGACGCAGACATTATATTGACAACGTGCCATGCGGCAAAGGGAATGGAATGGCAGCATGTTCAAGTCGCAGACGACTTTGTCAAACTGGCGGATTACGTGATTCACAATGACGAAAAGCCGACGCCAACCTTCCAGCCTGCTTCCAAAAAGATGAAAACGACACAGAAGTGGAAGTTTGGCTTTGCATCGTGGGGAGATGACGTGAATCTGGCCTATGTGGCGTGCACCAGAGCAAAACAAACTCTATCGTTGCCCCCTTGCGTGCTGAATTCGATTCGAGATTTCGACACCATCTTTGCATGGAACAACGATGACAATCCACCAGATGTTGATTTGCCGCATGTCCATGGTCTGGCGCATCGAGATCGGACCGCAACCCCAGAAAACTTGAAAGAGATTGGTAGTAGCCTGGTACACAAGTACCGAGTTGAAGTCCAGGTTCCCAACGGTCTCCCATTGACCGAGTATCTGCTAACATGACGTTCCTCTCAAGGTGGCGGAAGTTGCGGTGATAGCACAAGATGAGAGTCCTCCAAATCATTCAGGATCGTGGACGTTAGACCTAGTAAGTGATATAGTTCAATGTTGGGTCGGCTTTGTGGTTTGCTATGCTAGTCTCAATTTCCAGTGATTCAATTGTACCGGTACTATTAGGTCTCAAGCAGGCGAATCGAATCATTGAGGAGGCACGCTTGTGCCCAGTTCGAGGGGATGGTTTACTCTTGACAAAGATCTCTTCAAGTCTACTAGCTAGTACCGTCTGAGATAGTTAGGGCTTGGGGGGTGCCGGTACCACTGCATGGTGCCTGGTAGCAATGAGCTTTCCATTTTCAGTGTGTTTACGGTACATACAGTACGGGTACAATGCTGCCAAATGTAATCGCGGAAATCTAATCCACGAGTGCCAAGTGCAAGAAGAAGAGCCTGCTGGTGTCAGTGAAGGGCCTTCAGCTGGCTTCGAAGGGGATCCTGTGCCAAAATGCTCATTTTTTGTTCGGGGATCATGCAAAGACGGTGCTACAGAAGCTATTGCAACATTGCAACAGTCTGCCTAGCTAGCCCACTTCCATGTTGCCTCGATGACGTCCAATCTTGTTCGTGCGGCTAGGAGGTTGTGCCGGAACATGACGAGACTTGGATCCAAACCTTGGAGGAAAACGATTCGAAGATACCTTGGATGAAAACGATTCGAAGATTGTTGGTTGTTGGTCGAGATCTTTTGATTTGGCTTCACAAGTCACCAACTTCCCACAAAACGCTCTCCTCAGCAAAGCAAAGCAAAACAAAGCAGCACAAAACAAACTGATCTCAAAGAAACAACAAGTGAAAATGAAAGTCTCATCTGCTGTCTCTTCTACCGGTGTGAACACCAATACTGATGCGACTGCTTCTTGGGCGACCGCTTCATTCTCTGTTGCTGTCTATGCCTACTCGGTGTTTTCATTGGTTTCCTGGTGGTTCTTCCTGGTGCCCAATGATTTCTTGCCTGATGCAGTTGCCATTGTGAAACTTTATTCCATGGACACTGCTACAACTGTCCCGTCCATTTGGACTGCATCTTTGCAGAACATGGCTGCAATGTGCGCTTTTGGATTCACTCATTCCATCTTTGCTCGCAAGTCCATCAAGAAGTGGATGGCATTGCCCATGTCCGTCGAACGTTCTTTCTTTTGCCTTCAAGGGGCATTCTTTCTCCAATTGATCCAGATGACTTGGGTTGAAGCATCTGATGCTGCCAACGTGTGGGACTTGACGAACTTTCCGCAGATGACCACTGTGGCTCTCACATTGTTTTGGATGGGTAGCGCAGTTTTGTTGAGTGCAACCTTTGCCTTGGACCACTTTCATTTGTTTGGTGTCTCTCAGGGATTTGGACTCGATTTGAATGGAATGTTGGGCTTGACGCCCCCCAAATCAGAGTCAGGATTGGCGACTCGTTGGCATTACCGCATTGTGGCACATCCCATCATGACAGGAGCATTGAAGAACTTGTGGGCCACTCCAATCATGACTCCCTGTCGTCTTGTGCTGGCCATGTTCCTCACCAGTTACATTGTTGGGGCTGTCACTCGGTTGGAAGAGCCTTCCATTCGCCAAGACTTGGGAGGTGCCTATGATGAATACTTGAAGAAGACACCCCGATTCTTCCCTGCAGTCCCCTACATGGTCGAGGTCTCTGTCCAGACCTCCGGCTTGAAAGAAGAGTAGAGTGGATTGATGTGCATGCATGTCATATATATGTTGATCCGAACGGTGGAGACTGAATAAAAGACAAGGAGAAGCAAGCTTAGTGGTCAGGTACATGTACCGGTATAGCAACTCATTGATATAGCTTGTATTCTTTAGCGGAAGAGTTGAGTCATGGACGCCAGGACATCTAGTCCATTCTGCAGTGAGCTTGCAGATGACTTGGCTGAGACTCGAATGTTTCTAAACTGCCGATCTAGATCTGCGCAACTCAAGTGGTTGAGCCTTGGCTTGATTGTCCTCCACATAGTAGTAGAGGAAGAAGCAGGCTCCTCGCAACTGGTTGCAGGCATCCAACAGTACCGATACTGCTACATGCACTGGTACCGTTAGATACATGTACCGAACTGGTCGATTCACAACATTTGCAACTTTCTTCGACATGTTGTCAAAGCCCCTATCTCCCCCCTTTACCCTGTTTCCCTCCTCCCTGCCCTCTCCCAGTGATTGAGCCCCCACCAAGGTGCCCTGCTCTGCCTAGCTAGCCCCCCCCCTGGCTCCGTTACCCTCTATTTTCAAACGCTCCAAGTCCAGAGATTGCGGAAGAGAGTATCTATCTTGTTCTCGAAAACATGATGCGAAGCCATGATGATGACAAGCTTTGATCAATAGAACAATCCTGCTCCTGGCCTGGGATGATATGGTCTTGAGATGTCGTGGCGTCGTGGCTGCATCCTCATTATTTGAATGACACCAAACCGAAAAGAGGTCGATCATGGCCACCGACCATTTGATTTTGACCAAGTACTCTTAGAGTGGGTATCGACGAGAGTCAATTCGCTGAAGATGAAAGACTGAATACTCTCACTAATGAGGTCAGTGCTGTGGCAACCGTATCTTTGTTGTACTGACACTTCCGGTTTGCTGGCATGGTTCTTATAGATTCAAGTTCTTCGAGAAGGATTCGAGGAGCAAAGGGTGATGCTACAGCTGATGCAGGCGCAAATGCAGGAGCAAACAGACCTACTCCGAGTTGCAACTGTTGCATTGGCAGCACCAAGAAAAAATGAACCAGCCCTTCAGCTGCAGCCAATTGTGCTCGCAGCTTTTCTAGACTGATGCCTGTTGCTCCCAACTCCCAACAGAATGCTTGGTCGATTGGATAGCCTTCCAGAGGCATGCAAGAGTTAGGACCAGTACCAGGTAGTGGAATCCGACTTCTACGATTAAGAGTATTTGTTTCAAAGACTTATAGTTTCTAACCTGAATTGTAAATCCCGGTGAAGCCACTTTTCCGAGGGAGTTGGGGGTACGCGATCTTTTGACTTGCAGCTTCCAGCCCCAGCTTCCCACAATGAGCTCTCAGAAAGCAAAGCAACAAACCAGAAGCTGATCTCAAAGAAACAACAAGTGAAAATGAAAGTCTCATCTGCTGTCTCTTCTACCAGCGTGAACAACAATAATGATGTGACTGCTTCATGGGCAACCGCTTCATTCTCTGTTGCTGTCTATGCTTACTCGGTTTTTTCGTTGGTCTCCTGGTGGTTCTTCCTAGTGCCCAACCATTTCTTGCCTGATGCAGTTGCCAAAGTAAAACTTTATTCCATGGACACTGCTACAACTGTCCCGTCCATTTGGACTGCATCTTTGCAGAACATGGCTGCAATGTGCGCTTTTGGATTCACTCATTCCATCTTTGCTCGCAAGTCCGTCAAGAAGTGGATGGCATTGCCCATGTCCGTCGAACGTTCTTTCTTTTGCCTTCAAGGGACATTCTTTCTCCATTTGATCCAGATGACTTGGGTTGAAGCATCTGATGCTGCCAACGTGTGGGACTTGACGAACTTTCCGCAGATGACCACTGTAGCTCTCGCACTGTTTTGGATGGGTAGCGCAGTTTTGTTGAGTGCAACTTTTGCGTTGGACCACTTTCATATGTTTGGTGTCTCGCAGGGATTTGGACTCGATTTGAATGGAATGTTGGGCTTGACGCCCCCCAAATCAGAGTCAGGATTGGCGACTCGTTGGCATTACCGCATTGTGGCACATCCCATCATGACAGGAGCATTGATGAACTTGTGGGCCACTCCAATCATGACTCCCTGTCGTCTTGTGCTGGCCATGTTCCTCACCAGTTATATTGTTGGGGCTGTCACTCGGTTGGAAGAGCCCTCCATTCGCGAAGACTTGGGAGGTGCCTATGATGAATACTTGAAGAAGACACCCCGATTCTTCCCTGCAGTCCCCCACATGGTCTCTGTCCAGAAATCCAGTTTGAAAGAAACGTAGAGTGGATTGGTGTGCATGTATGTCATACCTGTCTGTTGATCCAAACAGACGAGAATGCATGAAAAGGCAACGAGGAGTAAGCTTAGTGGCACGGTGGTAACGTATAGCAACACATTGATAGCTTATTTTCTTTATGTGGTAGAGTAGAGTTATGAACACCAATACATGTAGTCCATCACACGAGCTGACTCTGGAACCGCCTCCAGCCACAGCGCTGATTGTAGTGAGGTGTAGGTAGTCTCAATTGTTGACACTGCTGTGTCCAGGTTCTCCGGTGCCTCTGCCTGGGAGTGGGCTGATCCCATGTTAGGCAAAGCTCTGCAGAACCGGCAAGGACCATAAACACACACCTGTAGTCCATTCTGTACTGAGTTAGCAGATTGATGTGACTGATACTCGAACGTTGCTAGACCGCCGATCTGGGGCGATTCAAATGGATGAGCTTTTGCTTGATTGTCCTCCTACATGAGACGAAGAAGCTGGCTCCTCGTAGCTGGCTTCAGCCCCCAGAAGATACTGCTACCGGGAGATACTGGACTGGGCGACTGGTCGTATTCATCAGTGGTCTTGCTTGATGGCATTGCTTCAGTTGCCATACCTAGCTACTGATAGTAGCCAAAGCAGGTCGGGAGTTGTCTTTCTGTCACGACAATCGGCTCTTTCTGCATTACTGTCCGAAGCGCCAGCAGATTACGAGTACATTCATTGCTCCTACTAGCTAACCAGGGCCCGGAAACGGACAACGTGAAACTCTGGCTGGCTGGAGAGGACAGGGTTTGTTTCTCGAAAGCGTCTGGTTTTACAGTGCACTTCGGATTAGTTCTTGACCGGCAATCCCTGAATAGGTATCTGGGTGTTCTGATTCTTCTTGGATACCAGTAGGCGCAGTCCAACAATGGACGACGCACAGCCTTCAGCTCATGGTCTGCTTTTGGAAGGAGCTTTTTGCTTCGCTATGCTGTCCACTCGTCCACTCTCACAGTGCGTCCATCCAGTGGTCTAAGGCTTTTTGGTCGGCAGCCAGAGGACTACAAACCAGACTACGCGCTAGTCAACACAAAGTATTATGGCTACTGTAGCTAGCTTTGGCCATCTGGCAATCATCAGGCTGATACTGGGTGACTCAATAGCCAGCTGCCAGCTGCACACGCCGTCAGTAATACGAATATTTCTTTGAAGCAAGCAGGCTTTGCACGATGATGGAAAGTGTCTGGAACCGGCAACCCAAATGAGCAATCTGTGAGAACGACCTGAACGCTGAAGAGCGTGTAGCCACATGCCTATAGCAAGGCTGTTTAATCAAAGTAAGAAAGTGCAATCAATGCTTCCATACAAATGCATCGTCCTGATAGCTAGCCAATTTTAGCATGACGCTAACCAGGAATATTACTGGCACCAGTACAACCGGTACTAGCTAGCTGCTGGCTAGTAGGCTGAAAAGATGCTTTGATGTGGTGAGTGCTGGGTTCAGACGAATCCTTCAATCCAATGTAAGGTGAGTGATGAAGTGAATTGCCAAAGTACCGCTGGCACCCCGTCTCTATCATCTTTATAACCATTACGACCTCACCGGTACCGAGTAGCTATTGGAGGTTTGTGCATGGCAACGAGCGGTGCGGGGATACAGCTGAACCCGTATGGTCGTTGGTGTAAAAGTATTTTAGAAAAAGAACACCACAGTTTCTTCGAGGTTCCTTGTTGGAAAAAGATTTAAAAGGTGTACTCGTGAAGTTGCCAAGTGACCGTACTATAATAGTAGTGTGTCTCAATCGTCTCAATCACCAAACGCGGGTGCTACATGCTACATGTATGTAGACAACTACAACAACTACAAAGAACTAATGCGCCCTGCCCATTGTAAGCTGTACGATATAGCTGAGTAGTATGGCTGTAAATTCCTCCCTTGACATTAAGAGAGTTGGAGATAAGATGTCGAGTACTGAGATTTGCTAAAATGTTAAGATACTTTTGACACTCACATCGGCACTCTAGAGCTAAGATAGCCAGTAAGCACTCTCCCTTGGGCACATAAGAGATTGAGAGATGATACAATGACACTTTTCTACAACAAAATTCCTTAAAAACAGGGTGCCAAAAGTCAAAAATTTTGCCTCCGGCTGATGATACATTGCTCTTTCCTCTCTTCCTCGTATGTTCCATAAGGTGGAAAGCAGAGTAGCAAGGTTGGTACGTACCATACTACTAGTATGGTCAATAGAAATGGCAAGAAAGCTAAGATGTTGCCTTTGGACCCTGAATTTTAACAAAATGCTAAGAGAATTCTCAGTGCAGATATTTGAGATTTTGCTAAGATGCCTTCAGTGTTCAGGTGAACTTAGAGATATCTTAATATCAAGGGAGGAGTGTATGCTGTATGGCAGCACGCTGCTCGCAAAAAAATTATTCGTACTAGTATCTCGGTGCTCGGAGATGTGAATGTTCATCATTCTGACCATTTCAATGGCCTCGCGACGCTGAATCTTCTCTACATACATGTACTTACTGACTTACTTAGCAGTAGTTGAATGACGAATACATTCTCTCATTCTCTCTGGGTTGCGGCTTTGACTGAATGACTGAATGAATGGTACTGCTATTAAATAAATAGCTTGCTTTGTGCTCAAATTGATTTATTGAAAGCACTTTGGATGTGCGATGGGTGGCAAAGTAAGTGATTTATTATTTATTCAATAGGTAAGTCATGGTTCAGCCTTATCAAAACTAGTCACTATGAACTGCATTCTTTCTCACAGTAGGGGAACTCTGGGCAAACTGTTTTACCAGATAGATCAGTCATGGTTTTTCCCTTTCAAAACCAGTCACTATGAACTGCATGCTTTTTCTAGCACAGGGACACCCAACCTATCGGTATAGACAAAATGTACACAACTCCCGACAAAATAAATGTACACAACTCCCGAAGTGCACAGAAACACGAACCCACTGGGAGACTCTGTGCCTCTGAGCAGGGCCTACCGCCTACCGGTAACACTACCCAACCCAGTCGAAGATTGTGTGAGTCACAGTCAAAAAGAGAATTCGGCACAACGAGCTCAGGCCAAAAGGCCAAAAGAATCGATCCTTTTTGTTGGAGAGGATCCTTCGTTTTGCTCACAATTTCCCCCCTGAGAAAAACAACCAAACACTCTTCATTTAACTTTACTACAATCATGAGCGGAAAATCGACCACCGAAATTCTCAACAGCGCCATCCACACGAACAACAAGGGGCTCTGTGTATTGTGCTCCTCTGAATCCAAGGGGAAATCGGCAATGCGCATCTTTCAGACTGCCCTGGACACTCTAATGGAACTGCCAGACTTCGATGGAATCTTTCTCATCGGAGAAGATTGCGAAAATGACATGGCCACAGCTGAAAGGCTTTGTGCTTCTCACCAAGTTCCCATTCCAACATGCTCTGACAGCAGCACTTCGATCTACACCTACAGCCAGGGTATCCATCCTCAGCTCTTGCCAAGAAACGTCCGCCACAAATCCAAAGGGCACCATTAGATTCGTCATGGTTGCATTACTCTGGAACATTGCAACCGCCGCCTTTCAATGTGGCCACTATTGCCTGACTCGACCATTGGCGAGTACAGGACTAACACAGCGACAAAGGGCCAACAGCTTGTTCCAAAAGTCGTTAGAGTTGTATCAACAGGTTGTAAGCTTTTGCAATGATGCCGGTGGCAGTCCATGGGTCAACAGACCTCGTACCTGTGTCTTCTTGACGCTTGCTGCCATGAACAACATTTCATGTGTGTGCCTAGAGCTTGACATGGAATCCGAGTCCAGGCAAGCCCAAACAGAGTTGGCTAATCAAATCAAAAAGTGTGCAGCCACTGAAAGCGGCCAGTTGTTGTCTACAGAGCAAACCGAGGCAGTCAATGAGTTTTCACTCAATACCACAGTCTTGTCCATGTCGAATTTCACGGCACGGGCCGCCTAGGAAGCCATTTCCTGGACGCTTCGCTTCTCCTTACACCATATACTATTATTAATAATACAAAACATAAATCATGATAGAGCAACATATACCTATAAAGCACTTCAGCACACACATAAATATGCATACTGTACCGGTAGGGTCCGCAAACATCACGGCTAGACATGGGAGCACAAACACTATCACGCGCTCCTGGTACCGGCATCGCCGCCAAAGGTGCTAACTAGACTGTTAGATCCAAATTTGAGCGTTGGCATTTCGTGTTGTGCGAGAGTGCCGACGGCTTATTCCTAACTACGACTTCATTGGGGCAACTGCGTTGTTCCCGGGTACTGGATTCAACTGGATCTACATGTAATCATCCGCAGGAACCGAACATAATCGTGAATTTTGTCTGCAGTGCAACCAAATGATACAGTTACGTAGCAAGGAAGCACAGATAGAAACTCATGTTGACAAATATTGCTACACCATCCACTAGCAAACGTGAAGATTCTCAACAATTCATCTGTCCTTGTCGGCCTACTACGAAATCAGAATGAATGATCGTTGACTACCTCCTCCTCAGTTGAGGCCAAGCATCCAGCTTGTGTTTTTGGATTTCATGGCGCTTGGTTTCAACTCGTTGCTTGCCTTCTTCATAGACTGATGAATGAGCCCACAATGTGTCCCCACGTTTAAAGTCCATGACATGTTTGTATCCAGCATCCTGAAGTTTCTTTTTGAGCACCGATTTGGGCCGTTCAATGGAAATGACACGAAATGTGTAGGGCTGGTGAAAGGGAAACTCTTTCATTATGAATTCTTCCGCTCCCTCCACATCCAGTGACAGGTAATCAATCACTTTGGGAGCATTGAATTTCTGGAGGATGGAAACAAGCGAGGCAGTAAACCTTGGCTCGGGTTGCTTGGCATTCTTATTGTCAAACCCCTTGCCCACAATGCCTCCAAAGGGCCCACTTTTCTTGGGGTCATTTGGAAGTGACACTGTGATTTCTTCAAAGTCTTGGCCTCCCACAATGGATCCTACCACATGGCAGCCCGTGCGAAACGACAATCGGTACCAGTACACTGGGTTGGCTTCGATACAGATTCCTTTCCAGTCAAAATTCTGTTCCAGAGCAAATGTGTTGGATGCCCAGACAGCATCATTGGCTGCCAAGTCCACGAAGTACCCATTGGACTTGAAATCAAAGAATTTTGCCACAGCTACGTCTTGTCCATGCTGACCAAACCATTCCGTGCTCTTGCTTTTCGAGTGTTTGGCAGAGTTCTTCAAGTGCCACTTGTCCGGAATCTCATTGATGAAATTGTCCATCTTGCCATAGAAAATGTGGATTGGATTCCAGCCTGGAGCCTTGAGAGATTTCCATGGCACACCACCTCTACTAGACATTGCCAAAGCCGACGTCCCACCGTCACTTGTCGTGGCCAACAATCCTCCTAGAACAATTCCCACCAAGAGACCAATCGAAGCAATCTTGACATCATTCTGCAGTTTGGGATTTTGCTTCAATTCCATCCTAAGCTTGTTGGAGGTAATCCGGGCCGCTTGGAGCATGGAGCTAGTGTGGATTTTGGGTGCCATGGCTTCGATAGATAGACAGATTGTCAAAGGGCTTCGATAGAGAGTCAAAGGGTCCAAGCAAGGTACCGATACGATGGTCCGATGGAATGAGAAAGGAATGAGAAAGGCGAATGAGAAAGGCAAAAGGCACTGCGAAAGAAGGATATCATCCCAGTTGATCTATCTGGAAGGCCCGGTCATGCGACTGATAGTCCCGGATCGGTCAAAGTCGCGTGGGATCGCTGAAAGTCGTTCATAAAGTCGCGTGCGAGTCGTGCGCGAGTCGCACGCGACTTTCATACGACTTTTCAAACGACTTTCCACGATTCTACGCGATTCTGTCGCCTTGCTTATAGTAATATTGCGCGACTTTGAAAGTCGTGCGAGAAAGTCGCATACGACTTTCATGCGACTCTCATGCGACTTTACATACGACTTTTGATGCGACTTTGATGCCGTGTGCGACTTTAGGCCGATTTTTGGTGACTGCTAGTCGCATGACGGGGCCTTCCTGGCCGAAAGCTGGCACCAAACAACCTGGCAAGTCTTTCCGTCGTCAGTGACGACTTGTCCCCCTTAGTTGCCCCCCTTGACGAACCCCCCATCTGCCACTTCCATCATAATGATGTGGAGATGCTGGCCGCGGCAATGTCAAATGTCAGATCCTCCTCTGGATAAGCAGACTTTGAGGACGGCAAACTAGCTACAAACTAGCTAATCTTCACAACATTTTGACAGACAGACAGATTCCATGGTCCCCGTGCTGATTGGCTGGCTGGGTTGGCACAAAGTCACCACGTCCAAACAGTGGAAAACAGTCTTGGGCTGCAGGTCCCATTCAATTTCCAATAAAGTGGATCCCAGACTATCCGCTAGCCGAACTGATTGTGCAAAGCTGGCTTGCTGGCTTGTGTTTTGGCCAACAAGTTGAACCAATAGCTGGCTACGGTACCGGTAGCTAGCTACCGCAGCTATGCACATACATAGACAGTGATGGTGGCACTTGTACAAAAATGCAGGACCAAAGTAACCCGATACAGACAAAAAGACAGGGCCGAGCCCTCCGCCGTCTTGTTCGGCCAAACATTGCGTCAGGAAGCTTTCTTCGGAAGTTCTCGATGATGACTACAAGTTTCCCTTGACTATAAGAACCAAATCGGCCAGATTTGGTTGGCTGAAAACATGGGCGGTTGCTAGTAGAGCACTTCTAAAGGTACTGGTACGCAGCTAGATAGTACTATTCTTCCCCATAGATGATTATATCATAGAGTTGATACAATGCATTTCCAGGCTTTCTTTCCATCAACCTATCAATCAAAAGGAACCAAATTGCATTTCCTCTCAGACTGCCATTCCTAGGCAATTGCGTTTGGCTTGCCTTATAAAGGCAGAGCGATTGGGGGTGGCATGGAAGTGCCTCACAGCTCCAACCTCCGACATGCAGCAGAGGCACTAATGAGATACCAAACGGCTCTTGCGTTGCGTTGCGTCAAGTCATTCGATGCTAGCACGAAGAGAAATGTCTTGTATTCAAGGGAAGAACCGCGAAAGACTTCCACGCGAAACGTGGATAATCAATTGCCAATCCGAGCACTGGCTAGCTAGGCTGGGTTCCCGCATCTGCTCGTTTGCCAATGATCTTGTCCAAGTTGACGAGGAGAGGCAATCAACAACGAATCACGCCCATGTGCGGCGCGAGACCCATCTGAACCAACACTCCACGTTTGGCCACTGCTGTGCGTCCCCTTCCTCTCACAAATCTTAATCAGCAGTTGCTCACATTGAACAACTCAGCAGCAAAACACAACAACAACAATGACGTCTCCGAACAGCAATGGAAAGCGTCCCGCTTCTCGTTCTCCGTTCCGTGATGCCGTTCTTACTGGAATGGCGAGCCGATCGGAGGAGCCAGAGCTCCCCGAGGGAATGCAGCTGGGAGAGAACGGATCGCCAGAGTTCAATGACGCTGGGCTGGGCTCTGATATCCTCGCCATTAGCCAAATGGTGCGAGGCGGAGATCCACGCAGTCTGTGTGACGCCATCCTCAAGCGTGATTCCACTCGAGATGTGTCGGATCTAATAATCTTGCTGTTTGTCACCCGCAATGCGCGTGGAGGCAAGGGCGAAAAAGACCTCTCCTTCCAAATATTCCTCCGTGTCTGGATGCAATACCCAGCCACCGCTAAGCAGCTGCTGGGACTCTTCGCCCATTACGGGTACTGGAAGGATCTCCTTTTGCTCGCTGTCTCCGCCAAGGCAGAGGAAGTCAACGGTAGCGACGCCATCTTGGACGAGTCAATCGCCTTGATGAAGACGCAACTCCAAAAGGATGAGACTGCCGTGAACAAGTACAACAGCGACTTGGCAGAGGCGTCCAGCCCTGAGGAGAAAGCCAAACTCCAAAAGAAGGGCCCTGCCATTTCTCTGTTGGCCAAGTGGTTGCCTCGTGAAGGCACTCACTTTGACAAGAAGCTTGGCTTTGTCGGCAAGTTCACACAGGCCACCCCGTCGAGCTGCGAGGACAAGCCCTGGCAGTCCAAGTCCAAGGCAGCCTACCGTAAATTGGTGGTCAAGCTAACTGCCTTTTTGGAGCTGCCCGAGGTTCTCCTGTCGGCTAAGCGAGACGACGAGATCAACTTTGGCAAGTTGGCATCCAAGGCAACCTTCCGTCTGTCGCGGGCACTCCTCAACGAGACCAAGAGCGGCGGCGTTCGTTCGGAGGATCCCAAACGCATTCGGCTCGCCGAGTTGTTTGTGGACCACATGGCCAAACACGGCTTGAAGGGTGGCCAGGTCATGCCCCACGAGATTGTTCGGGAAATCATGAAAGGCAACGTCAGCCGCATGCGTGAAACGGTCTTGGACGCTCAGTGGAAGGACATGTGGAAGCGAGTGGTGGACGATGTCCGAGCCAATGCCAAGGAGGAAGGCTTGGAGTTTGACCCCACCAAGATGGTTCCGCTTTCCGATGTCTCTGGATCGATGAGTGGCGTTCCCATGGAAGTTTCCATTGCCCTTGGCATTGGCATTTCCGAGATTACACATCCCGCCTTCCAGGACATGGTCTTGACCTTTGAAAGTGAGCCACGTTGGCACAAGCTCAATGCCGGGGACAGCATTGTCCAAAAGGTCCGGTCTTTGGGAAACGCCCCCTGGGGAGGCAGCACCAACTTTGAGGGTGCCTACGACGAGATCCTCAAAGTGTGTCGCGAGAGCCGTCTCCGCCGCGAGGATTGTCCCGTGTTGATTGTGTTTTCGGACATGCAATTCAATGAGGCGGCGGGCTTTGGGTATTCCTATTACGGAAGCAATGGCACAAGGAGCCGCGCGGCCACCATGCACAATGTGATTTGCGAAAAGTTTGCCACCACCGCCAAGGCATTGGGGTGGGAGGATGTGGATCCCACTCCCATTGTGTACTGGAACCTGCGCAACACGGGTGGTCATCCAGTGGAGAAGGATACGGCTGGATCGGTGCTGTTGTCTGGCTTTAGTCCTTCGCTGTTGAAGCTGGTGATGAACGGGGAGGCCTTGAAGGAGGAGGTCGTGGAAGTGGTGGAGAAGGATGGGACGGTTCGCCAGGAGAAGGTCCGCGTGACACCCGAGGAAGTGTTGCGTAAGATGTTGGACGACTCCTTGTACGATCCAGTGCGACTAGTGCTTGCGGCCAGCAAGGAAAAGGCGTTGGGGGATTACGAGCCACCAACGTCGGTTCTGGAGAGCGCTCCCATGGCAGATGGGTTTGAGCTCGTCTAGAGGCTCATTCATTGAGTGGAGTTTTTAATAAAAGGTACATAAGTATATAAGTGTATAATTGATGCATATGACATATATATTCATATATTCATCCAGTAGATTCGTCAGTTTCGGTCGGTCAAACAGCCCAGTAGCTTCGCCTTTACAGTCACAGCCTCAGCGCCTTTTTGGTTGGTTGTTGTTGTCTTGCAAGCCCTTTCGCTACTCATTACGGTACACAATGAGATATTGCCCAACATGGGGGTTCGAAGGGCTTGATTACAGGGAGGTTCGAAGGGCTTGAATCTTGCTCGCAAAGCCTAAAGAGTTGTTCCCTTGTCTCGGCTGACAACCAACCTCGCAGAAACCTTCACCAACCCAAACCAAGGTACGCGAATCGAAAAATCGATTGTTGGCCAACAGAAGAACCATGTCACCGACCGGTAGATACTTGCTTCCCAGGCAGATCTGATACCAATCCTTCTTCACCGCGGTGCTATAATCACGAGTACAAAGAGCGTTGCAGCAGTATTACTGTGCTTTCTTTCAGGAATGCAGCAGTGATCTTTGGCTTGTGTGTTGTGTACTTCCCTCCTTTCTTGTTTGCTTTCACCTTGAAACGACGATTCTGACAGGCAAGAGCCTAGCTCCCAGTATTCTTTTTGCTCCAACTAATAACCCTTCATCATTTCTACAGTAGTAGCCAGCTAGATCCGATACTCGTGCAGCACTCCGGCCCCAGCAACAAATCCTTCACCGAGAACCATTATTTCGAGGCTACCGGTAAAGTGAGAAAATTAATGTGAGCACTCGGAGGTCCCATTTCGATTGTCTAATGCTTTGTGTTCCCCCAGGTTTTCGGGTGTGACCAAAATTGGCATTGTGACAAAACAAGAATGGCATGAAAATTCCAAAATCGATTGGATCACGTGGGAAAGATTGAATGCCGCCAGATAGAATGAATGCAGTCACCCAAACCATCCAACATCCAAGCAAGCAAACAACAAGCCAAGTGGTCAGGTAAAATACGACAAAAAGAAGCCAAACGAGCCCTCGGCCACAACACACACAAGCAGCCACACACGACCATTGACGGATTACTGTACCTGTAGTACTGGGCTGCATCAATAATTGCGAAGGCAACCATCTGATCGTATCAGGCACAACAACAAACAGTCTCGCCCCACAAACTGTTTTTCCTAAACGACCTTTTATTCCCCAAGACCAGGTCATTTTCAATTCAAGTCTTATTTCACTGCATTACACGCCAATCTACTGTATATTACAGAATGAGTACTTCCACCTCTTCATCCCGCAAACAGCGCATGGGTTGGGCATCGTCGTCGTCGGGAATTTATCATCATTTGGAAGACAATTCTAATTTGAGCATCAGTCCTTCCTCGACGGGGAGCATGACTGGCATCTCATTGAAGAGTCCTACAAGCACTACTACTCCTAGTGCTGCTAGCAAGAGAGCCGGAGGAATGAAACGAACGCATCGATTGCTGCGCATGTTCATTCTGCCCACATTGGCCGTGTCGGTCGTGTACTTGCAAATACACTCGTTGGGATTTGTGGTCGGAGGGGATTGGCAACAAGAACTCGATCATATGGCTCTGTGGTCGCCCTCAACATCGTCGTCATCAACTACACAGTCCACATCATCACAGTCCACACAACACTCTACCAAAACACATCAAAAAAGCAAACACCCGTTTGTTCACGGGACGACTCCGCTCCACAAATTGGAAGAACATCGATTGCGACATGTCTTTCAACACAGTCAACCAAAAACAAAAACAACACAACAAGCGCAATCAGCCATCAGTGAATCGGAACGACGGCTCCAATCCAAGACTGCCGCAGTCACTACTCTCGTACCAAACAATAACAACGAAGAAGATCCACAAGAACTACACGAACTATTCATGGCCCAAAAACAGAAACGACACAACAACAACAAGGACCAAACACACGATCAAGTAGTGGCAGAATTTCGACGTCATGCACATGATGACAATAAGGCCATGCTCCTTAATCATTTTGAAAAATATCAACGACTCCAACATCATCATCATCGCGATAACGACAGCAGTCTACTAGTCCAAACCAAGAAACATTTGAACCGACAAGAATATGCCGTGCCAACCAAGCAACGACAACCAGATGATAGTGACGAGGAAGACAGTCCCATTCCAGGAACCTCCAAGGCAGTCTATGACCTGGTCATGAAAAAGAGACATCAGTTGGACCTACTACGCACACGCAACAAGGACCAAGGCATTCGCAACAGGATGGTCAAACACAACGAAGTCAAAGATGAATCATTGGAGGATGATGACGAATTGGCGGACGAAGAGGAGGCAGACAACAATAATAGTATCAGCAGTACCAACAAAAAGAAGAAAAAGAAAAAGGGAACACTCCTCACCAAAAAGCACAAAGGACGACAGCGGCCCAAAGAAAAGGTACTATTCTTTGTACACATTCACAAATCAGGTGGAACCGTTCTCTGTGCCATGGCTCATGCCAACAAGGTAAGTGTCATAATGACAGACCACGGTACCGCCACATCTTTTTATAGGCACATGGCTCACACGCGCTTCTTTCTTTCTCTCTATCTCTCGTTCATACTAATACTATTGGGAACAAACAAAAACAGCTCCATGTCAATACCAAACACAATTGCAACGTACAGACCAATCAACGATGTTGTGGAAAATCAGATGACAAGGAAATCCAAACGGCATATGCACAACAAACACCCTACGATCTTGTCGCTGCTGAAACACAAATGTATCAAGGCATGGATCCCACACATTACAATTACATTGTCGTACTACGAAGTTCTCGGGAACGATATTTCTCTCATTGGAAACACATTCTGCGGGATGTACCACCCCGGCGAAAACCCATGTCTACGACACGCAAGGGAATAGTGGGAAAGGCACAGCATTCTTCGTTGGAAGCCGCACCGCGATTACACTACAAACCAAAAACGGCCGAAATGCAACAAGTCATTGACCGTCTTTCCAAATTTCAACAACAGTTTGAACCACAAGCACCCGTAGTGCCGCAGGAAACAACCACAAAATTGCAGGATCCTCTACAACACATATATGATAAGGAAGCAGCTGACAAAAAAGGATACGGGGACGAAAAGGCCAAACCAATGCACCACTTAACAACAACCGATCAAGATGTGAAAGACAAGGTGGCACATTGGAAACAACAAGTCGCCGTGCGACAACAAGAACGAAACCAACAGCACGCCATTGACAATTTGGAACAAAAACGCGATCACGAACAACGAGCTGCGGCACATGCCCGAGAAATGTCCAGCCACAAAAAACACCATGAACAACGATTGCTGCTCGAGGAAGAACCACATCCAGAAGAGGAACCAATTCGTGTGCGGGATGGCGCACCCGGGGATAAAGCCGTCAATGATGCCAAGGCGCGTCGTGCCAAACATTTGGTGGCATTGAAGCAGCAAGGAACAGAAGAAGAAGAAGAGGGCGGCGAGAAAAAGAAGCAAAAGGATGACGAGGAGGAGGACGAAGATGACGGAGACGACGACGAAGAAGAAGAAAAAGGAGAGCAGCAAAAGGGGGTTGACGGGAATGATAAAGAAGGCGACAACAAGCCCACTCCAGCGTCGACACACACGCCACAAAAACGACTCGGCCCAAAGCTCGTCATGCCGCTCCAAACCAGACCCGAAAAACCACCCAAGAATTTGGAACATCCTGCTCAACACGTGCCCCTTCCTAAAAAGACGAAACCCGTCATTGGCCATACGTTCGAAGAGTGGTGGAGCCTTCAACCCGACAATTGGAATTTCCGACAGTTGTGCGGCACGCATTGCATGGGGGTGCCCAAGTATCAACTGACGTTGCAGCATTGGCAATACACGTTGGATCGATTCCTGCAATTTCACACCGTCCTGTTCTTGGAAGATTTGCAGGATAGCATGGATGTGCTCGCAGAACGATTGAAATGGGGACAAGCCAACATGACGGCTGTCCAAGAGGCCGAAAAGAAGGAACGCGACCGAAAGGCTCGCAGAAAAGCGGAGGGCAAACGAGCCCGACCACTCAAAACTACGAGAATCCCTCGTGCGACGTATCCTCCGCTACAACCACCCAACACGACTGTCGCCTTTGCCAGTTGGGATCCTCTCATGTCGGCATTGGATGATGCTCTGTACGATATTGGTAGACGCTGGGAAAAGCTCAAGCGCGAGCAAAAGGCGCCGGTTCAGTCCTTGGAGGTGGTGGCAGCGGATGGAAGCACAACAACGGCCCCGGCGCATGCTGGAATGTTGTCATCCTTGACGGCCATGGAGAGCTTGCCAGCCGACCTCTTGAAACATTTTGAACGCTATTTCCGAGACGAGCCTCACAATCATCGTCATCAATGTGAGGATGAATGTTGTCATCCAATCTGTTCCAAATGGTAATCGATGCATGATGCTTGTCCAGAGCTGGCAACTTGAAAAACGCCATGATGTTCATGGCGTATGTAATTCAATCTACTGTATGATTTTATTTGATTTTATTAGAGATACGCTACGCACAAAAATTGCCAGCCTTCGTGGCCGTCGGACCTTAGTTGGATGTAGAGACCCAGAGGCAGCGGCTTACTCCAAGAAAGAGATGCACCAGAGCTAGCTGAAGCTGTCAGATGTTGCACCTGGCCGAACGAGTGGGCTGGCTTAATCGACAGCGTGTACCGGTAGAAGAGACGGTCACGACAAGACAATTTGATGGGCATGAGTGACGAGTCAAGCTTCCTTTTCAACATGGTACCTGGGTGCTACCGGTACAGTACTACAGGATCCGCAGAGGTGCGTGATGATGTAATGTCCTTCGACAGGACGTACCATGGTACCGGTACCGATACGGGTACCAGGTACCGGTAGCGGTACCATACTGCTTCGATTCGATTGAAAAAAATCGATCCATCATTCTGGCGGACTGACAATTAACGTTGGTCTCAAGGAATCTAGCATACTTACCACTCGATGATTCAGCAATCAGGCACTTTTCGAGAATTGGAAGAGGGGTTGAGTCAAGACTCCCCCAGATCTCTCAAATGCAAAGGAAACGGAAAGATTCGACGCGACAAGACTAGACTCGCGCATCGTGGCAGGTCCAACGCAACCGGTGAGCCATAGACAAGCGTGGACAACCTATGTCGACTTCGTCAACCTCCACCGTTGGGCGTGTTTCAACGAAACGATTTGCAACGGTGCCGTTTGGGCCGAAGATTTGTCCTTTTCCCTTCCTCTCCCATCACACAAATTTGTTTGGGACAAGCTTGATACCAACAATTCTTCTTGGTCTCGAAACAAGTAACCTTTCTTTTTCATTTTTCTTCTTCGGAGCAACGATGGGCACAAGTACCGGTAAGTCTCGAGCCTATCAGCTCGAAACTATTTGGCCAGTAGCCAGGTGGAAGTATCATCGCCCCAGCCATTTCGCTTCAAAAGCTACTAACCACTAACATTTGTTTCGGTCTCTAAATTGTCGTTCATTCGCCAAGACAAAACCAGCAGCAAGAAGACGGCCAAGTCCGCAGGAAAGACGTCCGCCAAGAGCTCTAAGGGTACTGGCTCTGGGTCTATCAATAAGGCCCAAGAAAACATCGTGATCACATTGGGTAAACTCAAGGCAATTGGAATGGTACAACCGAAGAAAACCGAAGTGCAGATCTTTTCTGGCAACTCCAAGACTAAAGCTGGGTATGAAAAGAATCTCGGGACCCTGCGCAAGCTGGGCTACATTGAATACCTGAGTGGCTCGATGGTGAAGCTAGCCGAAAAGGGAATCCGGTTTGTTGGCGTGGTAGACCCTTCGTCCATCACGAATGAGTCCGTTCACAACGACATGAAGGAGATGCTGGTTCCCAAAGCTCGAGAGATCTTCGATGTACTTGCTGATGGGAAGGTTCACAATCGCCGGGAGGTTGCCGAACACCTCAACTATGACATGACCAAGTTGTCTGGATACGAAAAGAACATTTCCAAGATGAAAACGCTTGGCTTTGTGGAATATCATTCCAAAACGACGTTCGCGTTGACTGATCGATGCTTTCCCCTGGGACGACCCAAGAATTGAAGCGTGCCGCTATCGCAGTATCGCGTATTATGGGAAAGAATGATCAATCAGAAATCCACCTTGTGGCCACTTATATTGATTGATTACTTCGTATAGCCGCTGTCGATTGATCTAAGAACTAACTCACTATGGCCATGCATGTCTGCACTACTAGCGCTAGATGTAGAACTAAACAAGTGCAGTTTCGTACCTTTGCAAGTAGCTGGCTCCTGCTCCTGCGGTTGGCTTTGATTATGGAACCCCTGTTGATCTCAGTTCCTCCAATGATGATGACGACGACGACCGCAAACCAGCCGCGAAGAACGTGCCTTCTGATCACGACGGTTCCCCATCTTCTCTCTAAAGTATCAGCACTCGCGACGGTCCCCCCACCAGAGCCATCAAACGCACGGGAAGCAGTCCGTCGTCGTCTTGACTTGACAGACAACAGCGAGGAAGAAGAGTGCAAAGATGAAGAATGTGGTGACAGCAGTGTCGGAAAGGACTCTCCCAACACTTCTGTGACATCGTATTGATTGTGCTGATGTGGTGGTCTTGGTCTCTCTTGGTGGCAACTTGTCAGCTGCCAGTCACTTTGTGTCATTGTTGTGGGCGTGATCTGATGGATGGATCTTTCCCTTATTGCAAAACATGGCATACGATCCTGTGGGCCTAATATTTCAGGGCTCACAAAGCAGGTAATGTACGCTTTACCACTTTCGGTATTTAGCTGTTATATCAGTCTTGCGTGCTTTACTTACCTACATCACAGTTCTAATCAACTATCCATCATAAAATATGAAGATATCCAATCCACTATTGTATATAACCAATACAGTGTATCTCACTTCGTACGTATAGTCTAGCCGCTGTCGAATGATCTAAAAGGAGTAATTCCACACTGAAAGGCTCACTATGGCCATGCATGTCTGTAGTACTAGAGCTAGAAGTAGAACTAAAATTGCAGTATGGTAACTTTGCAAGTCCTAGTTTGATTGCACCGACAGCGTACCGGTAGGCGGTGTGTTTTGCCGAGTTGAGGATGGCTTTTGCTTTCCAACTGTGGCTGGCGAGCGCGCAAGCATTACATAAAGAACATGAATCAAGCGCGACATAATAGTAGTTGCTGGCCTGCTTTCGTTTTGGATGGTTCCAACAACGAGCCTCACGTGAAAGCATCGAAGGTGCAGACGATTCCTGTATCTCAAGACGAATCGCTGTGCCACCGGGCCATGTCATGATCATTTCAGGAAACACTGCTTGTAGCCGCATTGTGACCAACGGATTGAAAAAGAATTCTGTTTGAAGTGCGTGATAGGGGGCGGAGCTTTTGAGTCATTTCCAGAGCATCATCGTTACTGGCAGGCGAGGTCGGAGACTATGACTCGAAGCAAGCTCATGAAAAAGCCTCACGAGGTCTGCTATCTATCATACGCGTAGAGCGATCTTTGGGGTCAAAAACAAGAATTGGAAGGTAATCCTGTTGTAACCGCTGGCAGGCGGTGAACTGCGCAATAATAGATGGATCTGGCTGGAAGCCACAGTGATGCGGAAGGGATGATCCCTCCACCCATGCAGATCGCCTTCGGTACTGGTACTGGTACCGGTACCACCGGCGACGATAATTTGCCATTCTGCCTTTTTGGGTGTACTAAATGGTACCGATATTAGAGCGTCGGTAATACTTATTGTATCAAATCCAGTGAGTTCTCAAGTACAACACTGTTATGTCTTTGGACTTCCTTTTGCGCTTTTGAGTGACAACTTTGTTGGGAGAGAATTGACAGACTTAATATCAGTACCTTACTGGAAAGGTCATAGACACAAATTTTGTCCAGTGCTCCTGTTGGTCACATTATCGATTTCCTTTTGCCTTTCCTTCAGTTCATGTCATGGTGCGTCGAATCACCAGCCCACACTTGGGAACACAAGCTAGTCTTACTGATATATCTGCTACAGTGACGATCCCCAGTAAACCAAAGGATGCCCCCCCCAAGTCCAGCGACTAGACCAGGGTCATCGCCGTCAAGCACCTTCCTTCCGAAACAATGGTACTAGAAAGGTAAGCTCACAAAACTATATTGCCAGCAATAAAAAAGCCAAGCCAAAAATTTGCAAACAACAGACATCCATCAAGCATATCAAAAATCTACTTGATCAACCATGAAGTTCATCTCTTCCCTCTTGCTTCTACTGATCCCAGCCTTGGCCATGGCTGCTGAAGACTCCTCTGAACGTGACCTCCAGATCACCGACTGGCATGTCACCATCAAAACCCTTCAAGACCAGGGATTCACCTTTGAGACTGGAACGGGCAATGGTGCTGCTAGTGCCAATATCAAGATTAAGGTCACTGACTTGTGCCGCAAGGATACAGCCAACCGCCAGGCTGTGGGCCACTGGTTTCCCACAACCAATGTAACTGGAATTGAAGTTGATCATGGTGGTATTATCAACAACCCTGGTGCAGACAATGCTGTGGACTTTCGATTCATTGAAGGAATTGCTGGAAACAATCTGATCTATAGGGATGCTGGTGATGCTGTCAATGCCATTGTGGAGTTCTGTGTTGAGGTTGGACTTTATGATGCGGATACTCTCATTGACTATGCAGAAGTCCTTCTTACCTACAATGTTAATCTGGTTACCCAAGTTCCTGAGTTGACTGGCTACACTGTCACTCAAGCCGAGGACTTTACCGATGCTGAGGACACCAATCTCAGCTTTGATGGAACTCTCTTGGCCTACTTCTGTGACCCTGACAGCTACACTATTCTCACAAATGATGGATCTGATGCTGTTACCACTCAAGGAAGTACCCTCAACGTTTGCTTCAGGGTTGAAACAGGACAGTTCCAAGTCAAGGATATCATGGAGTTCACTGTCAAGAATGCTGAAGCTGCAGAGCCCTCTCAGCTCATCATCACGGAATCTCAACCTGCCTCGACCATCTTCTCCACCAAGAAGTGTGTTGATGAAGGAAATGACAACAATGTCTGCTTGGTGTCATTCTTGTTGTTTGCTGACTTTTATGATTATGAAGCCTTGACCTTGACTGGAGTTGGAAGTATTCTCTTGGAACTTGGAGGAACTGCTGCAGCACCTCCTGGCCGTCGTTTGCGCAAGAATGTCCAGATTGTGGATGGTCATCGCAAGCTTCAGAATGAGGTGACTGAAACAGTTGATGTCCAGCCACAGCCATTTGCTGTTGAGAAGAATCATGGTGCAGGATCCTCTGCGGACACTGCTATGGCTTCCCTTGCTGCCTTTGGAGCCATTGCTGGTGCTGCCTTGGCTCTCTAGAGAGGCTGGTCTAGAGATGGCTGAGCTATTTCCTGGGTTGCAAGCAAACAATGCTGGTGGAAATGTATGAATGTTGAGGCCTTTGCAGGGCTCTGACCAAACAACTTAGAAGAATAGATGGAAAAATCCAACATAGATAGAAACACAAAAAGTTAGAAGACTTCAACAGAATGCATCATCCTGCACCCAATCGTGTTCGGCAGAACATTATTTGTGGTAGTTAGTTGGCTCTCTGCTTTGTAGTGCTACCATTGCTGATAGAACCAACATTTCATTACTCTCGTTGGATGACAGAACCTGTGGTTTTCGAAGGCTAGGAAGGAGAAGCGCTCGTCCGCCCACCGGTAGTCCAATAGCTTGCGACCGGGCTTATCGTTTCCCACATGCCAAACTATCTTGCGCTCGTTGACTTCCCACTGCAGTAGAACAACGAGGACACACTGTCGGGGCTTTCACTAAGAGGACGCACAGAACTGTCACACATGAAGAAACATGCTCGGCCAAGCGTTTATTCACCCCAAGGGTCTCCCGTCCCGTCGCTTTCATCGTCAGCAATACGGCTAACGTTGGAAGAGCTCAGTTCCGTTTCGTTGAAGATGATACAAGGTTCTTCGTCGTCGTCGTTACACTCCTGCGCTGTTGCCCCCAATTCTGCGAGATACGCTGCAGCCGGATTTGGATGCGTGGTGTTGCTGGATGCGTCTATAGTATCTTCAATTGAGAGCTCTCCAGGATAGTTTCCAGTAGCATTTGCATCGGTTGTGTTCACGACTTGTTCTACAACATCCATTGAGAGCGCCTCCAAGTCATCATATCCCAATGTGTCCTCTTCTTCTTCGTCTGTAAACTCTGGAAGATCAGCTGGTCTGGTTTCGTTTATGGTCTGCAGAACCAGCTCATCCTCCCCCTCCCGCTCCATGATGGCAACAGAGTCAGCTCCAGGGGGTGCCCTCAGGATGGCTTCTGTTTCCAAGAGTTCATCTTCGGCAGCTTCAAGTATTTCCACTACTTTCTTTGTGTAGTCTTCAAGCGTCTTGATGGGCCCTTTAGTTAGAGGCTCGTCGTAACTCTCCCAAGTTTCATCCGCGAGGATTTGACTGAGGCGGTCACCTTGGCCGCCGTCCTCGTCCCAGTCCATCACCCCGTAGGCGGCAAAGTCATACGCTTCTTCTTCGTTTTGGATATTTCCACCGTACATCTCCGTGTCGTCGCTCGTTGGACTGTACGTACTAGTAGCTCTCGACGAGTCCGATGCGAGCTTTTCTGGTCCGCCGTTCTCGGTGGTCCCTCCCCATGAATCAGAGTAACCGACAACAGACGGGTTTTCACCAGCTGTAGAAGGTTTGATATCCTGCCCCCAGAGTTGAGAAACTTCGTCAAAATCGTTTCTTTCGGGCAGTACATCGCTGGAAATCGAGGGGCCAGGAAGGTCAAGCTCACCCGGTTGCAGTCCCCATAACTGAGATATGCCATCAAGCTTTGTTTGATCGTATCCAGGAAGTGCCGCCGACTTGTCTGAAGAGGCCATTGCCATAGCTTCCGCCTGCGGTGATCCTGACATGATTAATTCCGTTTCACGCCGTTCGCTCTCTGCCACTTCAAGGAGCTCTTCTTTGCTTAGAATGGCCTCAGCTGCAAGACTTTCTTCACTTTCCCACTCTTCTTCAGCAAGCATTTGGCTGAGCCTTACTTCTTGGCCATCCGGACCAACCTCGTCAAACCAAGGAAGTTCTTTCAACGATTCAAAATCGAACTCCACCATCTCGGGAACGTAAATGTCCACGTCATCGGCCATCTCAATTTCCTGCATCTCTTGTTCGTGGTCTATGCCCCCCACTTCATCATCTGCATCTCCCATGTGCTGTAAAGACTCAGAAGCACTATCGTCATCGACGCCTTCCCCATTGGCCTTTGTCGACACCGGAACTGAAGCAATGACATTGTCGTCTTCCAAATCGCCATTTACCGGTATGCTACTAGTCTCAGAGGATGAATCATTCCGTGGAACGGATGCATCGTCGACATGAGATATCTCCTCTGCATCATTTGGATCGTCCATGTAAGCTCCTGTGACATTCATGGCATCGTCAACGTCAACGTCGTCTGACATCGACACAGGAATTCCGCTTCCCAACGATGTAACTTTGTGTACCGAGGAAGACAAGTCTTCTTGCGCGGTCGACTCGCTAGTCGTAGCATTTGTTGATAATGCTGTCCCCGTTGCATTGAGTCTGTCCGACGGACTCGAGGGCTGTGAGATGTTAGAATCATCTGTTTCAAACACTGGAAATTCCCTCGCAAATGATTCTGTGTCCAATTGTTGCATGCCTGTTGCTGTTTCGTTGATGTCATCGTTCAACTCAGATCTCTGACCATCGTCGTCTTCGTGGAAGCTCTGGACAGTTACTTCTTCTTCCGGCTCCTCCTCCTCTTCGGCTTCTTCAAGTTGTTTTTCTTGTTCAAGACGCTCGGCCTCCTCTCTTTGTATACGTTCTGCTTCTTCACGTTCACGCATTTCCTTGAGCTCTTTTTCCTTTTGCAGCCTCTCCTGCTCCATTTTGTCCAATTCCTCCACTGTGTATCCCCGAACCGGGAGTAGATAGTCGTACAACTCTCCATCCCTAATTCTCTGCGAAGAAACGGGCATTTGCTCAAAACCGTACATCCATCGGATCGATCCAGCGTTTGATTCAGCTATCAATGTATCCACGCACAACGGATCTTCCCCTCTACCATAATTTTCGTTGTCGTATGGATCAAGGAATTGTTTGGCTGCGGAAGAGAGCAATCACAAGAGGAAGAGGTTACAGCTTCAAATGAGATCACTGGTCGTTGTCATTCGACACCAGACAAACAGTGAACAAATCAATCCCAGACTTACCAAGATCAAAGAGACCTTGATAGGATGTAGTCAGTAACCCCGTCCCCAGAACTCCTAGTATTGGAGACATGCCACTGCTGAACGCCATCAGTGGGTACATGAGCAATACACAATCAACGAGCACCTGAACAATATGTGCATATGCCAGAGGCATTCTTCCTTGCAATTCATCTCCGATGGCTCCGTACTGTGCACGCAACACATGGATCTTCTCCATGAACTGTTGCTCCATGCCTGATCCACCTTCAAAATGGTTGGCCTTCTTGCCTGTTTTGTTTGGTCGCCAAAGGTTAGCATTTGTGAATGATCCGTCTACCCCCCATCCGACTTCATTCAACGAGCTCACCTTCGACAAACACTCGGGCTATCCACATCAAGACACAATTGTGTCTCTAGAAATTAAGAAAGAAAGAAGTGATTGATTGATGAGCAGAACGCCAGGTCACAAAGTATCGAATGGCTTGGATTCCTTCCTGGTCGGTTTCGTATGCTTGCTTGCTTACTAACCTGCGTGGCTGGGATATTTGCTTCCACCAATACCTCCAGTTCTTGGGAAGTCATCAAACCTCTTTCAACCAATCGCCTCATACCTCGTGGAGTCAGTATTGGACGATGTGATCGCGTGAAGGATGCATAGGTTAGCAGATTGAATAATCGGACATAGCGTGCCGTCAGATCCAGCAATTGCCGTGATGCCGATGTATAGGTGGAAGCTTCACTGGGACTGGCTGGCATCTTTCGTGCTGCATGGGCCGCCAGTGTCATGTCAATGTCATGGAGTCGCCCCTGTAACCGTCTACTGTATTCTAGAAAGGTGCCGACGAGGAAAGTGCTGCTGAGGATTTTGATTGATGAAAACCATGAACAAGCCAAGAAGCCCAATAGTATGAAACTGCTGACCAAGTACGGTACCAGCAGCAGCCATTTACTCACCATAACATTTTCGCCAGAGTGCATAGGACTGGTTCACAAAGAAGGTGAGTGTAAAAGTAGTGACCGACAGAAGCTGTGCCCAGAGAGTGCTGAATCCAGTGAGGGCATCATGCAGGCGAGGTACAGCTCGATAGATGTAACTTTAGAAGCCAAAGTCGAGAAGATGCACAAGATGAGATGTATGTTTGGGAGGATACAAGTGAAGTGGATTTGGTACACGCAGCGTGGTGTGACGTAATGATGCCACACAGGGCATCACACAACTGTGCCTGAGGGCTTCCATGCACCACGACTTACAGGACGACTAGTGCATATACGACATTTCGAACACAGGAAATCCAGGTTTCAGAGAAGACCGTCCCTTTCCATCTTCTCCATATCTTGTGAGTTAGTTGTTGGGTTGAAGAGTGTGAAATAATCATGGAAGCATGAGTAAGCCGTAGAAGACAAGCGAGCAAGGTTTTAGGCCCCTTCAAGCCAGCTCCAAAACTTCTAGACTTACCCAGCCACTGGATGGATCAAACTAACCAGAAAGAAAGAAAGAGTTTGCGTCAGTCCATTGTTTGCGTGAGTACTTAGTTTTCAGAGCACAGAGAGAATACTTTAGGGTTGCACATACGTACCTGCATCATGATGGGCCTCCTGGCCGTGGTTCGAACACTTTCATCAATGAGAATATCCAATAGCTTCTGAGTGGAAGCTTGCTCAATGATGGACTCGGGAGTTGTCAGGACCATCCTCAGGACCGAAGGAACACGAATGGATGGTCTCTTTTCCTGACCATTTTGCTTTCTTGGTGGTCGCCAATTATTGCCACTCCGGGGGGATCCAAAAAGACCGGGTTTTGTGGATACGGTACTGTAGGCATTGGATTCCGAGGCTAGTAGTGAAAAAGTGCCAACCAACCAGCCCAGTCTCCTTTGACCATGTCGACTGCGCCAGCATCCATCGGCAGATTGTCCAGTCTGGGCCCGTTTTCTGGAGTGTCGTCCCGATTTCATGGTTGCGGATGTCTTGGATATTTGCTGACTTCCGATCTTCTGATCTTTGCTGATCTCTGTGGCGTCAGGGTGCTATAGACAACACAACACAGCACAACCAACTACTGTAGTGGTCCTGTTTCTCAGAGCTCCAGAACTTGAATTGGAAGATAATACAAGGGGATTGCTACGGAAGCTGGGGCTCGGAGGGTGATGGCTTCATCTCTGTGAGGTGTTGACCGTGGCAAGGAGTGGAGGGGAATTCCTACAAAAGGGTTGAGGCTGAAAAAGGTATCTTCTTTCAGGATGTTGCGGTAAACTTGTTTCCAATTTACTCCTTATCCGAAGGCAAAGATGGCTGAGAAGTGTAGGTAGACGTGGTAAAACATGTTGGCACAATAGCTTTAGCCCTATATTTACCGCAACTACCGTTCCAAAGGTGTCTTCTCCGTTCATCGCCAAGCTTGGCGGCGGCAATGTCATCTTGTCATTGCCGTGTCGGTCCATTAGTCTAGATCTACTTCAAAGATAGCTTTTGTCTACTACCGTAACACCATGGAGTTTAACAATGCGGTCGCTAAGGCGCACAAGAGCGGAGTGTTGTGGCTCGGCTTTAACGGATTATCTTCGTCTGATTTCGAAACGATAGCTCAAGCCCTCGACGCCACTGCCCATCAAGAAGAAGAAGAGGACGGACGAGAGTATCGCCCCCGCAAGTGCCGCCGTTTGGAGGGTGTGGCGGCATTGGCCGCGTCATTGCGTGGAGCCAAGGACATCTGGAAATTCAATGTGGTGGGAAATACAGCTATTGGAGATGAGGGAATGCAGCATCTGAGACTATTGCCCCCCTGTATTCGAGATTTGGACCTCAGCGATTGCGGCCTCAAGGTAGAGGGAATCAAGACTGTCCTGGAGTACATGAGAACCAATACTAGTATTACTCGTCTCATCATGTGGGGGAACGACACTGACAAGCTAAACGAAGCAAAATGCTGGACGAATTTACTCCAAGAAAATGATACCCTCGAAGAGTTGTGCATTAATCCTGGAGGATGTACCAGCATTCCACCTTCGGCTTGCGTGGGATTGGCATTTGGTCTACACAAGAACAAGCGCCTTCGAATACTCACATTGTCCAACAATATCGGAGACGAGGAGGACACATTTTTGAAGCACAAGAGCGTACTCTTTGCCCGATCATTTTTACAAAACACAACGTTGGAGAAAATAGAATTTGGCATTTGCCGTGATAAAATGGCTCTGTATATGTGGGAACAGACCTTGGAGAAAAATCAAACCTTGTTGTCAGTTGGTGTTTATACGAACAAGATGGAGCATTACTTGGATCTCAACGCCGTCCAAGCCAGAAGGCTATTCCAAGAGGATTCCAACCAAGAGCAATGGGAGAATGCCGTCGTGCAGGCTGCCAAACGAACTACGAAACGTCAAGGAGACTTGACAGGTTTCCATGCCCTGTACTACTTGCTGCGTAATGAACCGGGCTTCCTGATCTCCTTTATGAAGCAGCACTAGTTTTGATCATCCAGGAGAGAAGATAGTGCATATCATTGATGCACAATGAGCCTGGCTTCTCTGATGGGGTCCTCTCGTTGTTGCCCGTGCTTATAGGCATATCATTGATGTCCAGAGAACCACTTGTTGACAGAGAAAGGATTTCGATTCTTTTTTGGAAGCTTATGGTTTTTGCTTCCAATCGTCTCAAATGACGTACCAGTAGCTAGTTGTCGTTTCTACTACTAACTAGTAATAAGTATCTTTTCTCGCATCACGTTCGTGGACGGTACATTTGTCTGGAATGCTGATTCGATTCCCTGTGGCCGATAGACTAGCTCGTGGGACGAAGGTAGGATCCGCGGAGACAAGCTGCGGGCTTGGGCTATCTATCTTTCGTGCACATTCACGAATTGAAGAAGATTGACTTGTGTTATCTACTACCAGTTGGACGGCACAAAACTGTGTGTGGCTTCAATACTTTGCAGTAGTAATTCATTGTTTCGTTGGCTCCAACGTAGCAGTTGTTGTTGTCGGACGGACGGACGAGTGACTTTGATGCACGCTTTGATTTACGCTTCTTTTCCTTCTTGCCATTCTTGTGATGGCGTTGTTTACTGGATGACAGCGACGATGATCCAGCATTTGTACCAAGCTTTGACTGGGTTTGTTTGTCTGTTTGTGGCTGCCGGGGTACCACCAGAGCTCGCTGCGACGCCTGTTGTCGTCGGACATGATCTTGAATGTAAAAATGAATCCCTTGCTGGAGCATGGCATTGGTAATGGCTCCACTTTGCCGCAAGGCTTGTTGAAGTTGCCAAAACATGGCCGGGTTGGCTATAATCGGCAGAATATCATCTTGACTACAGGAAAGCTCGAAGATCTTACGTTTGAATTTGCCGTAACGAAGCTTTTTGATCAATTCTTCGTGATGCTCCCATTTCATTTGGTAGTGTTGCAAGCGAACTTGATTGGTTTTGTGGCACATATCCCAATGATGCTTCACATGTTGGTAGGTTGTAGTGGTCTCTCGAAGCCGTCCTGCCAACTCGTAGGTGGCCAAGGATAGACTGGCATTTTCGGCATGAATTCGTAGATATTCCAATGTGGACTTGGAAGCGTAGGGAAAGTCCACCAATACGCGTTGTCGAATCCATTTGCGCCGTCTGAGAAGTGGTCCATGTTGTTGTTGTAATTCATCATTATAGCGGCAGTGAGGACCACAATGGTCGGGCGCGAAGGTTTGCGGTTTGGATCGGCACGTGCAGTTGGACGCGTCATCTTGACGGCCCCAGAGTTTGTGGGCATTCCAGAGGACAAAATGGGAAGCTTCTCGTGCATACGTCCAACCGTCGGCATCGCAACGTAACCCATCTGACGTCGCGCTGGCATCCATATCTTCACCACCTTGTGCATTGATGTGTTGCTTGTCAATCTTCCATTGACCAACCCATTTCCAAGTTCCGGATGTATTTGGTTTGGGAAGCGGGTATCCTTCCGTTGCTCTCAGGGCATATCGTTGTGTCAGTGTCGAGTTGGTCAAGACCACTTGACGCTCTTGTCGTGGTCGAACATTGAAGCTGTCATTGCGATGGTGATGATGATGATGACTGTTCAATAGTAAATTTGCCCAAAAATCAATTCCAGGTGCCTTGTTGCTGTTTCTTCGTCGTGACTGCTGCGATCTCTGACTGGAATCGCTGACGAGGGCCTTTTCGGAAGAATGGGTGCTACTGATGCTAGTGATGCTCGTAGAAGAGGTGTTCAAGTCGTCGTCATCTGACTGTGATTCGTTTTTGATAGTTGTATCATCATAATCCTTTTCTGATTCTGCTTCCTGTTCCTCCCCGTCGTCGTCACTATGACATGATTGTTGTTGTTGATGTTGTTGTCCCGTGGGCAGCGCTAAAAAGAAATCTGGAAAGGACACCAAGTCTCCCCGCCACTGCTGATTCTCGTAATCGTAGCACTGCCACTCGTAAATGGCATCGTGAACATTGATCCGTTCTTGAACATACGGATGCCATGGGAGGACTTCCAAAAGCCGCACCAGTTCCAGGGGTAGAATTTTGTCGTCGCCGCCCCGACGAATGGCGGCAGCCATGGCCGGTCGTTCACACGTCAAGGCTTCTACAATATCTTTGGTACCATCCACTTGGGCTTGCAAGGCCATGAATTCCCTGGGAGATATAGTGGGAGTAGCAGTAGCAGTAGTACTTGTAACCGTACCGGCAGTTTTGCTGGCGGCAGATCTTCGAGACGAATGGCTGCGCGAACTGCTGTCATCCATCAAACGCTCCTTCTGTCTTTGCTGCATCTGCTTTTCTTGCTTCTGCTCTCTCAAAAGTTGTTCAATCTGAGCTTCCAGTTTCAAACACTTGGCCCGTTCTTGATCAATCTGAGTTCCCACATCGTCAAGAATCTCCAGTGCTGTCGATCGGCTCGCCATCGTCTCTCTTTACTCAATCCTTCCGTTTGTTGCACATGTACTATTTTAAAAATAAACTGGATCAACCAACAGCAAGATTGGATAACAGACTTCAAGTAAGTAAGTGACAACCATGAAACAAGAACTATTACACAATCAGAACAAGAAATAAATGGCGAGTTCGATCCAAGCCAAGACTCGTGTCTCTGGACGGTTTGGAGTCTAGCAGCTAGCTAGGAAATGCTCAGGGGGGGCTTCGCCTGGCTAGCTAGCTAGAGCAGATACACCTCCTGCTGCCAACAACAGAACCTCCTTGTCAGCTTTCACTTACGGCTTGACGGTCGTCCTCTTCTTGGGCGTCAAAAGATAGATACTGATTGTTCGTTGCTGGTGTTGCTGGCCAAGAAGCAATTCTGCTGACGAGTGTGTTCATGCAGCCGTTAAATCTTTTTGATTGCTTGACGGATCTTTCGGACTTCTTCTTGCAGTGACTGGCAGCTAAGCTGGTTTATTGGAGACCGCCAAGCGAAAGAATTTTTCTCCCCGATGGTGGTTGTTCTGCGCTTCCACTGCGCTTCTAGGTATGACTGTACGGTATGGCTACGGGTATGATGGCCGTCTGCTCCCACATCGTGTATTTGGAAGTCGAAAGCGGTAAGTTTTAGTGGAGCTCATGGTTCTGCAGATTGGGGTTGGCTCTCCCCTGCAACCTACCGTTCCAGTAGTATGCCTATTCTGTCAATCACCGCGAGATTATTTTACTACTAGTAGCCAAGAAGCTGCGCACAGCGCTACCTAGCTACATGTGGAAGTTGACAAAGAAACAAATTCAGATCCGCAGCTGTAGCTGCTGCTGCCTTCCTTAGATTACTTGGATTTTGTAGTTATTCCTCCACCCAGCAGGAGAGAACAACCTCTCTCAAGCCCATTGCATCCGTTCACTTCCAAAAGCCAACTACCGTGACCACACCGACACGCTGGTACCAGGTATCATCAAAGAAAGGGAATGCTGGATATGCGAATAGTCTAGTCTTGGTTCTTGGTTGAAGCTACCGTACTCGGGAGCTCGTTGAGTACTGTATTGTAGCTTTCTACCGCGCAACCAACAAACCCGCAAAGTAAGGCTTCTTAAGCATTCTGGAGCTGATTCTGCATTGATTCGATTCGATTCGCGAAGAATTGCATCCTGACTTTTGAGACCGTATGGTATCGTCTCTTAAATCTTTCAGATCGTCTCCTATTTCGAAACGATCGTCTCCTAATTGGAATGTCTCCTACTGAATCGTCTCATAAATCATTTTTATCGTCTCCTATGCCTCGGTGTACCGTCTCTTAAGTATTTGCCACGAATGAAGTTTCCACAGAGGTCCAGTAAGGAACAAACAGTAAATACCAACCAAGCAGAACAGTACAGTACCCCTCCCGGTACGTCTTATCCACCTTCCGCAAGTTGCTACCTTTACGTTGATACATGTACGTACGTACCGTAACACTACCTGGTCTTGCCAGTTCGAAAAGACTTAATTAAAAGAAGCTCCTTTATGTTCCAGTCGTCAGTACTGAACTAATTTCTGGGTGGCTTTGCTTATTGGTAAAGTTTCTCCGTTTCCTTTGATAGCTCGCTCCATAAATGTTATTTTCTGACTGAGTCACAAGCTTCCTGGTGACCCCTCAACTTCTTTCTCGCTCAACACATTGCCAGTCTTTTTCAAAAGACGCGAAACCCAACTCAGCTAGGTATTGGTAAGCAACTACCTCTCATAGTCTTTCCCTCTGTTTCGCAAGATGAATGAGACTGGATCGAGTGAGCAAAATGGCGGTGCGGCCAACTCTAGTCGCCGTGGAGGTCTTCGAAATCGAGGCATTTCCAGCCGAAAAACGGGGCTTTCCGTCTCCTTCCACACACAAGAGGCCGAACGAACTTTGGCTTCCGCGCAAATTGAATATGCTTCTGTGGAGTCAGTGTTTCATGAGGAAGTCGAATCGACAGCCAGAGAGGATGACTTGGGCGACCCGGAGGACGGCAACAACGAAGGAGATGACGCTTCACACGAAGATTTGGAAGCCGGCAAAAAGGGAGAACCAGACGACTTGGATAATGAAGAAGAAGAGGATGATGATGATGACGATGATGATGTTGACAGTTTTGAAGAAGAATCATTCTCCATGGACAGTGAAGAAATGAGAGAAGCTGCTGTCAGAGCTGGATTCTGGGGAGTGATTGCTGGTTGGATTCAAAATGATCTGCTACAAAGGCTGTTTAACTGTCTTGAATCTATCCTGAAATGCCTCAAATGCGCTAGAGGAGGAGGCGGTGAAGAAGGAGGAGACGCACAGGATGATCTTGTGAACTTGGTCACTGATGCTGTGGATCTGGATGATGTTATGCTGGCCAATCAGCTGCCCGCCGGGTCCGGCCATGGTCTTGCAACAAGTGGAAATGGCGCGACAAGCTCTGCGACGACGAACGTTGCCGCCAATACAGCTTTGACATCGTCTACAACTACAACAGCACAGCAGACTACCACCATTGTAGGCATGCAAATGGCAACATCGGCAGCCCAGGGAGCTGCAGGGGCAACCGGTGCTGCAACGGCATCGGCAGCTACAACAGCAGCCACAGCTACAGCCACAGGAATTGTTGGTACTGTCAGTGGAGCTGTTGCATCGGCAGGACTTGCCACTCAAGTGGGTGCGTCACCAAAACTTGTCCATCTTGTATTCGAAATCTCTACATTCCGACTCACTTCAAGTTCGCTTCTGCTTCAAACTTTCTACCCGTCCTTTGATCTTCTCTCAATTTTTCAGGAGTGGTGGTTAGCGTCGCTGCTGTAACAGCTGTCTCTACAGGAGTTGCGGTCACTACTACTATCAGTAATGACCAGCCAGTCCAAACCGCAGTTCCTCGTCCTGAAATTCTCTTGCCAAATTGCACGGGAGACAGCAGGTCACTTCGAAAAACAGGATTCGTGGAACTACACATACAAGGATTGCCGATCGAAGATGATATTGTTTTACCCGAAATTAGGCAAGAATTGGAGCTTCTCTTTCAATCCATCTACAATAACTTGACTGGAATGTGTTTGGATCCATTTGATCGTGTCCTTTGGAATGCCACATTGGAGCGGTGGGAAACTTTTGTGGCTTTTGAAGATATTGAATCAATGAATACTGGAAGCTCCAACAGCAGCATTTCCACTGACCAAGTTCGGCCGCAAGCGACAACTATCACCTATTGGACTGCTGAAGTCTCCTGCAATGGTTGTCCCGACTCTGAACCTCTGTTTGACAACACCAGGCTTGACGCAACCGGCAGATCTCGTCATCGGGGTCTCAATGAAAAAATCACCAACAGTAGCAGTACTGCCAGTAATGGAACACACTCACCTTCGCCTAAGGTTGGTGTGGACCTGAGTTATGAGGAGTTCTTCCCCATCTTTGCCTCGAACTTTGGCTTTCATCTCCCCCCAATCGTGGTTTCAGTAGTGAGTGGTCTCAACATCACAAACAGCTCAATCGACTTCCTTGACCTGATCCAAGTGGTCCAAGCACTTACCAAATCACCTGTACAAGCTGCCAACAGCACAAGCGGCCAATTTGTGACTGTGAAATCCCTCAAGGAAGATGACATTCAAGAATATGACGAGTTTGTTCAGGCGTCAGGTGGACAAGTGACAACACCATTTGTGGTAGAAGAACTTTCTCTGATTGAAGACTGTGTCACAACAGAAAGGATGGAATCCTCTGAAGATGATATCTGTGATAGGCTGGGCTCCATTGATGCACAAGAAATAGTTGACTGCTTGAATCCTGGCACATCCTCATCAGCCCGTTGTTCAGTCCTTTTGGAAGGTTTGATTTCATCCTTCAAGGATCAACTACAAGATCAGACAGTGGTGCCTACTGTGGCTCCTGCGTTGATTGATGAGACCCTGCCATTGGATGATGTGCAAGAAATTGTAGCAGACACTGCTACCCTGAGTCCAAATCCCACTTTTGACCCATCTCCTCAAACAGTACTTGCAATACCGACAATGTCAGAGACAACACTCAGCGCTACTAGTTCAACCATGGTGCCATCCATGGGACCAACAGCTCCAGCCACTAATTCACCAAGCTTGGGGTCTGCTGGTATTAAGATTCCTACAAACATACCGGGTTTTATTGATGATGAAGCTGGAGCTTTGCCTACGCCAAATAAGGTACCTTCTGCAACTGACAATCCAACTGCAGGGACCACAACAGGTGAACCAACAGAAGTGTCTAGCATTGCTATGAAGCTTTCGAGTGGACCAATGATCATGCCAACCAATTATCCCTTGGCACAGCCTCAATTTCAACCTATGTCCACTCCAACAAACAAGGGTCCTATCACGGACGACCTGGCACCTCAGATGGCTACTAGTACACCCAAAGCTCCTACAGCAAGCTCTTCTAACACCCCCACAGCATCATCTCCCACTCAAGCACCATCTTTGCGTGCTACTATCCCACCATCAGTTCTGTCTCAAATTAGTGTTGCACCATCCCACCATGCAAGTTTGTCTCCAGCAACAACTTCAATGCTTTTTGCATTCACGCAACAGGAAGGTTCCTTGGGCTCACCAAAGGTTGCAACTGGATTTCCCTCAAAGAGCCCAGCCACTGCAACACCAACAATAAGAGTGACGCTATCAGAGCTTTCTGCAAGCAGATTGAATGCATTCACAGCCAAGACCGCTGAACCAGCACCAGTGACAACCCCCAGGACAGAGCCACCCGTGGTATCAACATCAACAACATCAACTGCGACCGTCACAATTGAAGTGACCCCATCTCCCTCAAAGCAAACGCCCAGCCCTACATTTGAGCCTACACCTGATCCTACACCTGATCCTACACCTACCCCAACAGCTGAGCCCACACCTGGCCCCACATTTGAGCCTACACCTGACCCAACAGCTGACCCGACTGCGCCACCGACACAGCCTCCAACGGAGCCTCCAACTAATCCACCAACCAACCCTCCCAGTGTTCCACCCACTGAACCCCCAACAGAACCTCCAAGTTCCCCCCCTACGACGACTCCAACCCTTGCACCAACAGAGGCTCCAACTTTACCTCCTGCAGATCCTCCCTCTGAGCGCCCAATAATTTCACCAACAACTCCACAACCAACTACAGAGGAGTGCAATGCAGCCTTCGCTTTCTACAATGAAACCTACTATTTGATCTTTCAAGGAGACCCTAGTGTGCTGGGGGACAATCAAGTGACTTCTGCTTTCGAGGCTGCCTATATCAATTTGGGGCCAGCTGTTTGTGATCCGCAAATCCTTGACGTTGACGTTGAAGGCCGGTATACTCGACGGCACCTGCAACAACTCAATCCACAGGTAGGGATGCGAATACAAACACTGCAGATCTCTCCAGGCCTGCCGCTTCCAGCAGCAGCAGATACTATCGCATTTTTGAGCAGCATTAATGCTGTCCTCCAAGGAACTGGTGTGATTGTCCTTGGATTCGGCAGCACACTCCAAACTCGCAACCCAACTGCTATGCCCACAAAGGTGCCAACCAGGACTCCTAAACTTCCAACAGAGGCACCATCAAGGATCCCTTCTAAAGTTCCAACAAAGGCACCATCAAAAGTTCCTTCACTGGCACCTTTCCGGCAACCAACTCGGTCATCACAGGTACCTTCCCAATCACAGCAGCCCTCAACACTGCCTTCCCAGCAGCCCTCAGCATCGTCCCGGCAGCCCTCACAGCAGCCCTCGCTATCATCTGGAGCACCATCTAATGCACCTTCCCAGCATCCCTCATTTGTATCGTTGGGGCCTTCCCTGTCCCAGCAGCCTTCAGCAACCCCTTCTCAGCAGCCCTCGGCATCATCACAGGCACCTTCGCAGCAGCCCTCACAGGGACCAACCAAAGCAACTACTAGAGGACCATCCAAGGTACCAACAAAAAGCCCGACCAAAAGTCCATCAGACCCACCAACCCCACAGCCCACAAATCAGCCAACACCTCAGCCAACAGAGCCCCCCACCAAAGCACCCATAGAAGGGCCGACTGAACCACCAACTCAAGGCCCGACCAAAGCACCAACAGAACCACCAACTCTGACTCCAACCTCTTCCCCATCTTCAGTCCCTTCCAAATATCCAAGCTCTAGGCCATCAGTTAGTCCATCATTGATACCTTCTGTTCCACCATCAGAAATGCCATCTAAGCTCCCCAGCATTGCTCCCTCTGATCTGCCATCCTTGACTCCTTCCAGTAGGCCTTCAGATATTCCATCATCAAGCCCTAGTATGTTACCATCCAAGCTCCCCAGCATCGCTCCCTCTGATCTGCCATCCTTGACTCCTTCCAGTAGGCCTTCAGATATTCCATCAAAAAGCCCTAGCATGGCACCATCTAAGCTCCCAAGCATTGCTCCCTCTGATCTGCCATCCTTGACTCCTTCCAATAGGCCTTCAGATGTTCCATCGAAAAGCCCTAGTATGGTACCATCCAAGCTCCCCAGCATTGCTCCCTCTGATATGCCCTCCTTTACTCCAAGTATCAGTCCTTCTGATGTTCCATCATCAAACCCTAGCATGGCTCCATCTGGGGTACCTTCCTCCAGTCCCAGCAAATTTCCCAGCACTACTCCATCCGTTGTTCCTTCCTCAATGCCGAGCAGTGCTCCATCTAAGCCCCCTACAGCACCTCCTTCTTATCCGTGCTTCACCACAACCAACGATTTGAGAATGGCAGTAGACTCAGGGATATTCAGCCCGCACCCAACGTATGGTCCCATAAGTAGTTGGTGCTTTACTTCGTTGCTAACTGATATGTCGCAAGTTTTTGAAAGCGAGACAACTTTCGATACAGACATTTCCAGTTGGGTAAGTAGTCTAACATTGTTCGCTAAGCTGATTATGATTATGACTCGTTGCGTTGTCACCGTCTGCTGACCTGAACGTGCTTTCTTGTTTGTCGCCTTTGAAGGATGTATCTGTGAGTTTCAATTTGCTATGGGTGCTTTCATCGTTTGGGTTTCCGTATCTAACGTTTGTTCATCTACAGAATGTTAAGAACATGAACTCGATGTTTTTGGGAGCAAGTGTAAGTCATCCGGCCTTGCTTGCTACATGTACATCCACTGCCCATTTTTGTTTCTAAAAACAAGACACATCTGGCCGCTATGATCTCCTGAAAACATAGACGTTCAACCAAAATATCAGGCAATGGGATGTTGGTGCGGTGACCGACTGTAAGTAGATTGCGATGCTGTTCAAGACAAACGTCTTTCTAAAGACTCGACTCATCCATCTGGTTTTCCCTTCTCTTCCCCAGTCGGCTTTATGTTTAGTGACGCGACATCCTTCAATCAGAATTTGTGTGAATGGGGCGATCATATCACGGCCCCGGCCCCTACCGTTGATGTTTCCGGCATGTTCTTGCCGTCTGGGCCAGCTGGTAGTTGCCTGACTACGGATCCTGATCTTTCCACCTCACCCAAGGGGCCATTTTGCCAGAGTTGCTAAGAAGGAATGAAAGAAACATTTGATGTTCATAACGATTCAACTGGCTCAGTTTGAACAGGAATCCTCTAGCTACCTACCGCAGGCTGGGGAGGTTTTCGAATCGACTTTGGCCGGGACGCAAGTACCAGGTACTAGTACTGGTACCAAAGAGGGTCTCTGGCTGGTGTTGACAAAGCATTGCCACAAAAGAGTTGTCGGGTGCATCACACCGATAGTTTTCTTCAACCCAAAGCGGTACCGGTACCGGTGGGTCAATTTTCCTCGCAAGATTCTCCGAAACTGGGAGGCTTACCTGTGTGTGAAGAAGGTCTTTCGGTTTTAGGAGATTTATTGAACTTTTGATAGCGAGCCTTGAGAAGTGGAGAGGAACCATCCTGGCGAAGGGGTGGCAAATTGGTGCAGACGAGTGCTTCAAACCGCCCCGTCGAAGCAACAACTTCAGTGCCATGGTCGACACCACAACATTTGGACACGAGCAACCATCACAGCAGCCGCCAAAGTCGTGGCACTATCATTCCATGATGATGTTAGGGCACACTCAACTCAGCGGCGTTTCCTTTTGCGCTTATGATCACGTGGACGGACAAGATTTTCCGACTAGTTCTCTGGCGCATGACTCGGTTTTGGTGGAGGGGGCAGGAGGAGATGACAAAGACGATCACATGACAGAACGCAGTGGCGAAGATGAAGAACGCTTCTCACGCTTGGATTCCGAAGTGGCCAGCTTTGAAGACGAGGATTGCTCTTCCCAGGAAGCGCAGAAGTTTTGGAAGCTGATGTTCCTGTTCGAGCTAGATTTCGGGCAGTGCTTGCTGGCTGGATTCAAAACGATTTGCTACAATTGATGTTTCAATGTTGCCAAGCCATTCTAGTTTGCCTCAGGTGGCATTACGAAGAGAGGAGGGCGGAGATTCTCCCGAGGAGAAAGTACTGGATCTGGTGGTGGATGCAGTCATGTCAATGATCTCAAGGTGGCTGATCCGTCCGCGTTGGCTGCGGCATCCGGTCACTGTGCTTCTGGAACCGCTGCCACCACAACAACTACGACAACCACGGCAACAAATAATACAGCTGTCAGTGCTACCGTCACATTCACGACCACACCAACAGGCGCAGCAACTGCCACAGCCATAGCAACCACAACCACAGCCGCCACGATAATTTTATGGGAACCGTGAGTGGAGCTCTCGTATCTGCCGGGGCGGTCAGTCAGGTTGGTATGCACACAAATCATGCATCCGCATCAAACGGCTCCGGGCAACGACCACAACGGACTTGTTGGATTGACTGCTCGACGACTACCGTGTGGTTCATCATTGGGACTCCTGTTGACACGACATCCACAGCTGTGAAAGAGAGAATGTGAGTAGAACAGGGAACTCTCGGAATATCGTTGGATTGGTTTGCCAGCAATCAAGGGCGAATAGGAGTTTCTTTTGACGGTTTCCGACTGTGGCATCCCTGATGCGGACGACAATCAGGTGGACAAATGAATAGCAACACCAGTTATCGTAGACCACCCACAATCCAGGCTTGTTTGAACAAGGAAAAGGTGCTTGTGGCTCAATCCACGTTGAAGAAATAACGAACTGTTTGGACGCTGGCATTGCCTTGTCTCCCCAATCATTGCCCTCAAAGATCAGTCACAGGAGCCAACTGGGGTGCCTACGGGGTCTCACATGTTGCCTGCTGAGACACCAGAACTGGAATCTATGCAGGAGGTACCCGCGAAACCTACTATTCAGAGCCCAACACTAACCTTTGACCCAACACCATGGCCAACAACTTCTTGCTCAATCACGACACCTGCTCAAACTTTGGAGGCAACGATTCAGCGCACTGGAGCACCAACCTTCCATCAGCTGAACTCTAGTCAATTGCACCAACAGCTACAACCTCAGCCACTAGTTTGACACTTCAGAAGACCCAGAGCAATCAGGCCCCTTCCTAACTGCCTTCTGTCATCCCAGGCGACCCCACTTCATGTTCCCGTCAAACAACGCTGATTCCGTCGGGGGGGGGGACGACGTACCCTACGTTCGTGCGATCCCAGGAGCCCTTGTCAAATCTGCATTTAACTGCGATACATCTAGCTGGGATGTTTAAAAGTGGCTGCCTTTATCAGCATATTCGCAGGAGCGACGGTGCAACAGGTTGCCCTTCCCAGTAGCCCTGATGAACCCCTAGGCGCCCATTTTGGAATGCCTGCTAAGATGAAACAGAAAAGAAATATATAGTTTCCCTTATTTGTCTTCCCTTTCGGTATTCATGCATACCCCTTTTTGACGTCATTTAAAGCAAGACAACAAAGCATTCATCCTGTACTGAAAGGGAGGAAACCGCCAGTCGATACCGGTTGGAGCCAGTCACTAGAGTAGCTCGCCACTAGTGGAACAATCTTAGGGGAACAGGACACAGGTAGAAGACCGTGGGAACAGCCGGTGAAAGGCAAGCAAGATGGCGCTTATTTATGAAAAGTGAGGGGGGTGTACGAGGAGAGGACCGACGGTACGCGCCGACAGGGGCGAATGCTTTGTATTTGCCGACGACGTCATGTTGCGTGTCCCTGGAGCTTATGCCAAAACACGTGAATGGTCTCATCATGCGTCTGTGGCCCAGTGAAGTAACGAAAGGGGGGACGAAGAGAATGCGTTCGACTGAAGCAGGAAAACGTTTCCGGCGCATCGTGCAGTTTGCTTTGGAGCTGGACGAAAATCGTGGATGGGTCACCTCGGTTCCGTTTCGCAATAAGTGTGGTCTCTATCGGGTCACATTCGAAGAGGAAAAGAACGATAGAGATCAATAGGCATAAATTATTCCAACATTTCCTTTCCACCTCCCGTTCTTCGACTGTTCTTCCTGCACTCCATCTCCCGCCTCAATCCCGAAACACTGGCTTTGTGGTTTGGGCCAGCAAGGACTGGGTCACCGCTCAGCAATCCAGAGCAGCAGCTTCCCGAGAGAGTTCTGCCACCATCCCTTCCACAATCTCCTGCCCTCGCTCCTCCCATTCCGCCCTATTCTGTTCGGCATAGTCAAGGTACTCATCTGAACTGACTCCGAATACCCCACAGTCCTTGAGCTTCTTGGCGAGCTATGTTGGTGGGATAAGGCCCAGAGTAAGCGAACGTGTGAAGCAACGACAGCACGAGACGGACACGTTGAAACGTACTGGGATGATGTAGTTGTCGAAGAAGCCAATTTCTCCCTTATACCAAAAGGTAGCGGGGTCCTTTCCCATTCGTCCTTCCAGGTATGCAGCATGCATCTCCTTGAACAAGCAGCGATTCCACTTCTGGTAAACGTGCCAGTGCTGCATTGTGTGGGACACTGGGAAACCAATCACAGGCAGGCGATGAGGTCAGAACATGACAAGGTTGGCATTCTATGTCAGATGTCTATCTTCTTGGCACTTCCTCGGAACTTACCATCCGAAGCTTGCATAATGTGCTCAATCTGTGGGAGAGAGAAGGTACGGCTCGTGTGAGGTGCGACCTTGTTGTGCTTCCCCGTGCAACTTGTCTACAGTACGTTCTTTCAAACAATGCTTACCACAATTGTTGCCCGCAAGTCATTTTTCTGTTCACGATTAAACGGGAGGTTTCAGTAATCCATAGGTTGCCAGGCAGAGAAGCTCCAACTGAAGAACTTACCGTTCGTACGTCTTCTTCCATCTTTTCTTCAGAGAAAGCATGCTTCCAACGAGACAGCCTAAGCGCATTGAGCTCCTTATCGAAGATGTCTGTGGAGGGAAGCCACAATTTGTTAGCTGATCAAGTCCAGGAAACTTTTTCAAGGCAAACCAGCAGAGCACAAACCTGTGGCAAGCACAATATTCACAATGAGCTGGCGAAACCGCAGTAGCTCTTCTTGCGAGCCAAAAACAAAGCTGCGAAGCTTCGAAAAGCGTTCTTGCATCAAGATATCCCAGCTAATATCCAAGGAATTCTAGACAATCCAGGCCAGAGTGTCAGTACAGAACGAACAAGCAATCAGATTCACAATTGGATGGATAAAACTTTTCTCTTCTTACCTGTTCGGCTAAGCTCTTATTGTCGTACTTCTCTTTCATCGCAGGATCTTCCACGCCAAGCTGCATGTTGGATACGCCCCTGGGACAGCAAAGGAAAGCGATAGTGAGCGCCATGCTGCCATCACGATGACGTTGTGATAGGCCTGCCAAGAACTTCCTAAACTTACCTGTGATCCACATCGTGAATCAGAGCTGTGGACAAACTCTTGATGAGCCAGGATCAACGGAAGGGCCTGTAGGAGATTTCGCTGTTTCTGGACTTACCTGAGAAGGTCATGGCAAACATAGCAAGTGGATCACTGTTGATCCCGAAAGTGTAGTCATGTAAGGTCAAGGCCAGCTTATCTTGAGTGGCAGACCCACTGATCTCGTTTGCAGCGATCTCTGGTGTGACGATGCGCTTGAGAAGCTTACTAACACTCATTGTGACGTGACAGGCATGTTCAACTATGGGTGCATCGTGCATGTGTCATTAGTTGGCGCGTCTCCGATGATGAAAGAAATCAGACCCCCGAGCACTGGTTGCACTTACAATTATGGAAAGGGTTGTCACGATAAATCGCAGCTATTGCGGCTACGTAGGCAGTGAGCTCCTTCACAACGTCGTCTTCCACCGATATTCCCTTGTATTTTCCCATCTGATGCGCCTGCTTTGTAGAGTCAAACTTTGGCATATGTATGACAGTCTTCACCTCTTCCATACAGGTAGTTCCCTTGGCCGGGACGAAAGTCGGAGCCGCTTGTCCCTTCATCAAATTCGAGATACCACCCACCTTTTTCCGGTCATACACCTACACGGGCGGGTTAGAACACCACAAGCTGAGAGAAGAGGGAACCTATCGCACAACAAAGCAAGGGTGCGGAACACTGACAACTTACGATCTTTCGAATGTCGTCCAACATTAGCGAAACAATCCAATCTACGAGGCGATTTTGCGACTGTTGTTCCGCAGGATCTCCGACACTCGAACCACCCGCGGAAGAGTCGTTCTTCTTTGGGGTCATCCAGTATGTTCGCATAATGCCTTTGCCTTTGGCCTGAACTCCCAAGGTTGGCAATGGTTGTGAGGCGCAGTGATCGCAAGGCGGAACAGTAACGGTCAATTCTAAGGATTTCGTACCTTCACAGCATCCTCGCGCTGCGTCAGCCACTGGTCTTTTCCAACTGCCTTGAGAATCTTTGCTGTTGAATTCGAAACTTGAATGCGTCCCTTTGAACCAGTACTTTCCATTCGACTTGCTGTATTTACTACAAAGCCCGGAGGAGCAGATAATCAGCATTAGACTCAGACGGAGTCTTCCTTTTGATGACATTGTCTCCACCCAGAGCACTCACCGGTGTCTCCAAAGAGCTGGGAGATTCGGGAAGAGCGATATGTTAGCACCATGCCGCATTTATGATGGTGTGCACACAATCCACATGACATACCTGGAAACGAGCACGTTCACCACGCAACACTCCGGCCTAGTCGTGGAGGAGAGCGGAGGATGTATTAGAGATCAGCTTCTTTTAGTCCAATCTCGAGCTGTGCAACTCTGACTTACAGTCACCGGCCCCGAGTGCAACCCGATTCGCATTCCTGATGCAGTCAAAAGAAACCAAGTCATTGGTATGAGATGAGAAACGAACAAGCGGCTATTGACCAGCGCGGCGACTCTAGCTAGCTTACCGAGGTCTGTTGTATCGGGGCCCAGAGTACTTTCCAGCCTCTTCGTAATTTCCTTCATGCTGACCAAGCAATCGAATGCAAAGCGCGACATTATCGTCGCATGGTCTGGCTGGAATGTCAATGGATTCGAGGAAGGAGATGAGAAACTGTTCATCTCGACACGTCGAGCACTTCATATACGTCATTGACTTACCTGTTTATCTGGAAGCCCCGTAACCGCCCTGTTGCCGCGTGAGTAAACGTTTCAGGTGAGTAAGAATTCCCAGGACAGACATAAGTGAAGTAACTCGACAAGATCACAGTGTCACTTACATGTAGCAATCTCCGATCGTTTCGACTGAGAATTGGGGAAAACGAAAAGAAACAATAAGGAAATATATCAAGGCGATGCTACCAATCCGCGAAAGGACCGCTTACCCTTGAATACTGATCGCCGCTTTGCAAGCTGCAGTCATTATCAGCGTGGAGAGGATGTGTGAGGAACGTCGGAATCGAATGGCTCGCCACAGAATGATCCAGAAACTCCAACTCTACTTGCTCGACGTACCTGATCGAACGTCTGATAGAGATTTTGGAGGAGAATGAACACCTACAACAACGGGAAGACTGTCAGTCAGCAAAACTTGGACCAAGGAATGTGTCGTTGTTGCTTGTTTTGAACTTACTTGACCGGGTTCTCGAGTACTGCTCCATGCTGTAAAGCCACTGGAAAAGGGGAAAGCAGCGCACCAGTGGTGAGGTATATTAAGGAGTCAGTCCCAAGGCTGCGCCCGGCATTTGCAGACCAGACGTACGCAATGTCACCAAAGAAGACAGTGCCTAGTAGATAAAGTACAGTATGTAGGAGACAAAAAGCTGTTGAGCATGGGTTCGACAAACGAAACGCAGCTTCGATTTGCATTTACATGACTCGACGCGCTTACAATTTGGGAACAGGTCAGCAATGGGAGACGAGGACATGACATCGGAATCGCTATCTGTTTCGCCTGCCACAAAGCCCTTCAACCGCGACTTCGTCCCGAATCCGTACTTGTTTGTGTGGCTGTGGCTCTCTTCTTGTTCGAGCAGTCTGCAAAACACGGAACAACGTGAGCGCCACATTCATTCATTCATTCATCAGAAAGTACAACCAAGACACGGATTTCCTTTTTACGTACCTGTCTCGCACGTTCTTGGGAAACAGTGTGGACACGAGCGCGGTCGTCTGCGTCGCTTTTTTGAGAATTTTATTTTGTCGATGCTCCACCATGAGATTGTATACCCAAAACATGAAAATGGCAAACAAAAAGACACAGGCAATGACCACGGTAATGATCCATGCCTGATTGGTATTGTACTGATCGTAAAACTGCTGCGATGGATAGACTCGGAGCTGGTACGTACACGTCTGATCAATGGGGATCCCCGACAATGTTCCATCGTTCATTTTAAAGTCATTCTTGACGTACGAAGCTCGTCGTTCGTATTGATTGAATTTGCGTTCGTGTAAATCTCCGTGGCCGACGGCATAGGCTTCGACCCCTTCAATGACAATGGTAAAGTACTTGGATTCACTGTGAATATCTTGTGGTTCTTCGGTGGTGACGTGGGGAATGTCAAACTGGGATTCTTCGCCGACGAACTGCGTTCCTGGCATGTCCTCCTCGGTAGCCGTCTGAGCCTCGGTAGGACTGGTGGTTGGCACTGCAGTAGCCGCATCGGCAGGCAACGGCTCATCGCGTGTGGCAGCATCGTCCAATGATGGCACATCGGTGGGACTCTCTGTGGGAAAGGTATCATTATTTTGCATGGGGAAAATGACAAACTCGGTTTGCGCCCTACGATCGTTGGCATGATCCACTTTGGTTGCCTGCGTCGTCCTTCGATTGGACGAATCGCGATTGGCATGATCCGCTTCGGTATTCCCATCGCATGTATATTCCAAGACGGCATTAATACCATGGACATTTTGTGGAAGAACATAACGAAAAAAGGACTTCCAATGGACCAACGACGACATGATTCCGACGACGGTGCGATTGGGATTATCAATGGAATTGTCAATGGTATCAAAAATGGGAATGTACAGATCGGTCATGGGGTCACCGTGATAGGGCGTTTCCAATCCAGCCTGTAATCCTCGGAGATTGGCGAGAAAGGCCGTATCCGGATTGGAACTATTGGCATATCCAAACTCGGCCGAGTAAAATTCCGACGCGACAGCCTGTCCAGTGGCAACGACATGACTGAGTACTTTCTTCTTGTAGTTGGATGTGGCGAATTCTCTGGGATTGTTGCGGACATTTTCATTGACAAATGCTTTGTGCAAAAACGGACTGGTCTGCCACCGCGGTAAGTACCAGTCTTGATCGTCCGTTTCCAGTACAGCGGTTCCATCGGGTTGCAGGAAATGCAAGGGATCCACGACGGTCGTATAGCCCGATACGTTGGAGACCCCAATGGTAGTTCCTTCGACGGGTTCAATGTTTCGTTTTTGTTGATACTCCAACGCTTGTGTGACCCATCGATAATTGGCCGGATCCATGGTGAATTCGTCCCACGCTTTATAATATTGGTGTGGTACCAACGGATGCATCCCAATCCACAACGATCCGGAAATATCCAAAGCATTGCGGGCTCGTGGATAAAAGTCTTCCAGCGAGACAAACGGCCAAGGATTGTGATGCATGCCTTGGGACGTATAGACAGCTGCCAATCCGGCAATGGATTCCATACGGACCATGATATTCTCAAAGGCGTCAGTGACTTTACCGGCCGCACCTTCGTATTGCGTTTCAAATTCCGAGACTTCGCCATTGCGGGTAATCAAATAGACCACAGAAGAAACGACGGCGGCTGTAACGACCAATACGAAAATCACCAACAAACGCAAATACAAGACGGATGCCGATTCTTTTTTGGACAATTCTTCTTGAATCTTTTTCGTTTCCTTTTCTTTATCGGATTGTTCCTTGTTGACGCCGCCACTGCCACCGCCATTGGATGTTCCAACCGAATCGACGACACTGAGAACATTCGAGTAACCACCGTCCGAATCGGCGTCATCGTCTTCTTCATCTTGAAAGACATCGCGGGTCGTATTGGTACGACCCAAGATGACCGATCGCATCAATTCCGCCTGTTGATCACTCGAATCCGTAATGGAACTCTTAATGATGGAACTGATCATGACGGATTTGCGACGAGGATTCAGGTCTTCAAACGATACTGCTTTGGCGCATTCTTTCTCGTCGTCACTTAAGCCCGTCATGGTTCGTTCGTTGTAGTCTAGTTGGTGCTTGAGGAGAGAGAGTGGAGTGGAGTGGAATGGGAGCGAACCTGTGTTGCGCTAGCTAGCTAGTAGAGAGCTGACTGAATACGGAACGGTCGAGGAGACGAGGATAGAACGAAGCAAGTCAATATCTTGGTTATCACAAACAACCAGGAAAAGTGAGAGCCAAAGCAACAGTCGACACTTTTCTTTCTCATCAACAAACAGCCCAACCTAGCTAGCTAGTCCACTGCCAGAGCTGCCAGCTCAGCAAGATCCAATCTGCTCCAGTGGACTTGACTTCACCGATTTCAATGGAACGGTACGCACATAAGCAAGTGACAATGACGACGGGCAATCGGATTTAATAACTCAATACCGCTTTCTAACCACTGTTGGAGACAGTTCTTAGTGATACTGTAGCTCCTCAACTTCTATGGAATGGTGCACTCATACCTTGATCATTAGACTGATGGCATGGGCACAGGCTACTAGCTAGACACTCGTATCAGTTTCTTTCTTACCAACACGCGGATCTCAGTTTATATTTTGTTTGCAGCTCAAGCAAATCAGCAAGGATAGTCTATCTTGAAGCAAACACCATGCCTATGGCTGGTCCTTTGGGGGTTCCAATAGACTACTCTCTTCTCAACAATAATGCTCCAAAAGATAGACTAGTCTTGTTTATTAATAGAAGGGGAGGAACAACCTTGCATACCGATACGAGTACGCACAATGAGGAGCAACTTTTGCCTCTGGCTGGAGAATGGAATTTCATATTTGAACAGTGTCTTGAACCAACATTCTCATACGGTAGTGTCAGATCGATCATCAGTATTTCTTGCTTTCCAGAGTCCAGAGGAAGACAACTCTCCTTAACCCCAGGTTGCCAGTGCTCTGCAGTCTGAATGGAACCCGCTAGGTCTATTATGTTCTTATTTTAAAATAGGGCGAAAGCTTTACTAGTTTGGTTCACAAAAACGATTCTCTCCCATTTGCTGGTGCTTGTAGTTGAGTTCATAGCAGATGTTTTATAAGTCTCTACCATAGTAGGACGTGGAGAATTTAAGAGCCCACAAGAAAAGCAAAAGAAATAATAACATCTGGGGGCAGTTCTTCCATTCTTCTCCAGGGTGCTTTAAGTTCTCCGGTTAGGCCTTAATTAAAATGCACCAGTCCCTTCTAATGTACAGTACAGTACAAATTACAAGGGCAGTAGTATCCAATTGATTTTATAATAATGAACGTACCTGTAGATGTACCGGTACCCGCAAGAGGAGCACGAGTGCTTTAGTGGTACCGTTCCCAGCACCTGCTGTTACTTAAGCACTGAGCGCTGAGCTTCCCCTGAACCCTGAACCCCAAAGACCAGCACCCGTTGTTCTTACGGTACATGGCCGAGCTGATGCGGCTGCTCAGAGTCCGTCCAGACGGGGTATGGGTGGAACTTCGAATCCTAGTTGACCAGTGCACCTCAAAACTCGAGTTAATGGGTTAACTTCGCTACCCTCTCCACACGGGGTGCACCCTCCAATCCAAGTTTTGAGGCAATATTTCCAAGTGGGAGTAGATAATGAAACTGTGGGAGTAGATAAATGGAGTCGCACCTCTCCTCTGTTGATGGTCAATGCCTTGGCTCTTGTTCAGGATAGACCATAAAAGATAGTCAAAGGCTGCAATGTATTTCCTGTTGCTTCTTGTTATCTCGCTTCTTCTCAAGCCAACAGCAGGTGGCCATGGTGGCTCCTCGCGCATCACCAAACGAATGAGGACTTTGATCAGTTTCACGGCAACTCTTCTAGAAGCAGATCCTCACACCTTTGGCTTCGAAACAGATGGTCCTGGTAGACACGATACACCTCCTATACCACGTAAAAGAAGATTGGTTCACAGCATCTTCCGTGAGATGGGACCAGGGTATGTAAAGAGAGCCTTTCGAATGACAGAAGAAGACTTTTGGGCACTGCATCATTTATTGAAACCTTACCTCAATGCCTCGACAACTCGAAAGACAAACACAGCTCCTGGCACAAAGGAACGTCAAGCAATAGGAGCAGTCAATGGGAAGATTTCCAGTTCGATCCGGTTGAGTGTTGCCCTTCGATACTTCGCTGGTGGTTCATCGTATGATATATCGGTCATGCATGGAATCTCCCACTCATCTGTTTTTGTCAGTGTATGGATGGTAGTAGATGCTTGTAATAAGTGCAAGGCACCAGAGCTCTCCGTTCGCTTCCCCAGAGAACACAACAGACAAAAAGCAATCGCGAGAGGCTTCAAAGAAAAGAGTCAGCCAGGATTCTCTTGTTGTACAGGTGCAATTGACTGCATGCTGCTCTGGACAGAAAGGCCACACTTGGCTGATTGCGAGATAGCTGACACTGAGCAGAAGCGATTCTTTTGTGGAAGAAAGAAGCGATTTGGGTTGAACTTACAAGCCGTCTGTGACCATGAAGCCAGATTTATAGATGTGTGCGTGCAGAATCCAGCTTCCTGCTCTGACTATCTTGCCTTTGTCACCAGTCCTCTGTACTATCTGTTAGAAGACAAGCTGTTAGCTCCAGGGTTGTGCCTCTTTGGCGACTGTGCATATGTCAACAACACTTACATGGCAACACCATATAAGTCACCAAGAGGAACACATGATGACTTCAACTTTTACCACTCGCAACTTCGCATCAAGATAGAGTGTGCGTTTGGAATGCTGGTCAATCGATGGGGTATCTTGCGCAGAGCCTTGTCAACCACCCTGGGATTAGCGAAGATAACAGCATTGGCCATTTGCCTTTGCCGCTTGCACAACTTCTGCATTGATAGGAGACTTGGAAGGGAGGTGTTGGCTGGAGATAATGAGGAAGAAGAAGACGACCAACTTGATACGTTGGCAGCAGATGAGTTTGAGATTGAGGTTCGAGGCGGTGTCGCTGTTGACAGTCGATCACCGAAAGAACTCTTGGGTGGTGGGGAACACTTCGATGATGTGGATAGAAGTCATTTGCGAAGGGAGGAAAGAAGACGTCAGAAGGAAGCTGAAGAAGGAATGATATTGCCACAGGAGAAACTCCATAAGATAGTGGCCGATGGAATGTACAAGAGACCGCCAATCAAATAAGCTAGACTGATTTTTTCTTCTTCTCCATTGCCTCGAGTCTTGCCTGTAACCGTTTGACAATGTCTGTTTGAAGGCGAACTTGTTCTGCTAGAAGAAACTCACTCTCATTATCATCAGGGTTGTGTCGCTTGTGACGCATGAGATCCAATCTGTCATGAGTCAATCGAGTGGTTGCAGTTTGAAGATTCTCCATTGCCGTTGATAGGCTTGTTCTTGCTGGGAATCTGCAAGGGAAGCTCGAAACTTAGAGGCTGGGTCTTCATCGCTGTCACTACTGCTGTCATCAGATGACTTCTTCTTCTTCTTTGCTTTCTTCTTCTTCTTGTTGGTCTTGTTCCTTGGCTTCTTTGTCTTGGCAGTAGTGGTATCGACATCTTCACCTGTGGCCGAGGTAGCCTTGGACATTCGAGTAATGACATGATTCAAGATACCGAATTGATCAGAAAGATGCCACAGCAGCAGATGCCGAGGCTTCTCAGAGAACTGTTCCCATAGATAGTCCTTCCTATCATCAGCTTGAAGTGCCTCCTCAGTCATATGCCCAAAGATCAAGCGACCATCAATCTGTCCGAAGCCATGACCAGATCCTTCATAGCGACTGACCAACCTTGCAAGCAGCATCTTGTCATTCTTCCATTTCTTCGTGATGTACTCTGTTGTGACTGGTTGCTGCACATCCTCAGGACCAATCGAGATCTCATTTTCGAAGCCTTCGTGTAGGGTGGGTAGGACAGGTGTCTTGGCTACCCAGTCACTGTTCCACTTGTCAGCCAAAGCGGCAAAGAACGTAACTGGTACATCCTCACTGTGGCGACCATCCAGCTTCGCCTTTGTCAAACACTTGCCATCCTCCACCATCGCAGATTTCACTTGATCATCCTCAGCAGCCAAGTACATTCGGTAAAACGTTCGCGGATCTGAATCATTCCAGCGATAGGAGCTCTGCTTTGCCTCTGCAGCCTGTTGCTCAGCGCATTCCACTATCATGTTTTCGCAAGCATGGAAGAATGCATTCTCCTGTGATCGAAGGAATGTGACATCAGATTCTGTGACAATGGGATTGGTTTTCAGATGCTTCTCCAGCGTTTCATTCCTCCAATTCTTGGGGCGAGGGAAAGCCTTTGTCACCTTACGCTCAATGGCCCGCCTGGTAACTTCTGCAGACATCATGGGCTTGGTTCTCGACAACTTGGCAAGCTTCGAAGTGGACAGTTTGCTATAAGGCTCCACGGTCAAGTCACCCAGCCACCGAGTTCCATCTTCACTCATGATTCCAAGACACATGCACAACATGAGGGCCTTTTTCTGATCTTGCTTGCACGCACTAAGTAACTCCTTGGCTGTCTGGAACGTGGCTGGTAACTTCATGGTGGTGTCCGGTGGTTCAGCAGGTTGAAAATCCTGTCGGCGAGGAACTTCTTTGGGAGTGCCGCTTGCAGCAACAGTGGTCGATTTCTTCCATGGCTGACCAACAGAGGACGTTGGCATCACTTCATCTTCTTCTTCTTCTTCACTACCACTAGAAGACTGTCTTGTCAGTTGGCTTGGAAGGGGAGGGTACGCAGGAGGAGGAGATGGAGCAGGTCGCTTGCTCATGGTGGCGATTTACAACAACAACTAGCTACAGAAATGGCGATTTCAGCCACCAACACAACAACAACAACAGCTAAGAGCGAGCGAACTATGCACATCTCTATACAGCAATACAACAATGTTTATATCTACTTTAAGCTACTGTGTTATTCTATTGTTGCCTGTCATCTAGCACATGGTTGATCTAGTCGTTGTGCCATGGAGGTACATCGCGATTTCTTGGATTGGCGATAATTTCTTCTTTCAATTTCTCGAAATTGGGCAAGATTGACCCAAAGACGATAGTGACTGCGATAATAAGACTAAAACTTCACCTCCGATGGCTTGGGCAACTTCGATATTGAAGTTGCCCAGGGGGTTGGTGGTCAAGTCGCGATTCAGATTTTGACTTGTAAAAGAACCTTCAAACTTCCCCTTCGAACGTTGAGTTTGGCATGCTCGCGTACCCCGTCTGGACACACTCTCATGCTGACGGTATCAGCATGGTGGGTGTGGTACCGGCACCACCCAGGGAACAAGTCCAGCAGGGCACCTTGCGTAAGTTGCTCCTTTGCAGATGTTACTTAGGCCGATCCAACCAGTCCCCGTATCACGTATCACGCATCGTAAACTCGTGGTACGGGATCGCCAACCAGTACACGCAGAGTACGAAACACGAAACCCCAAATAAATCCCAATAAGACTGAATTAAATCCCAGTAAGAATGAATCAACCAATGAAACCCAATCAAATTACATGACGTGGTGGCAATGACAATCGAAAAGCAACGGCAAAGAGCACCGAACACAACACAATAGCTACTAGAGTACGGGTACCTTTATCATTATAGCAAGCATCTATCTATACTGGAGGCTACCATGGCGTCTCTTCCCGCTCTTGTGAAGCAGGAAGTCATCAATTGCTTGGCTACCCATGCTCGTGAAATAGTTATGAAGAGCAAGGCTGAAGGAGCCAAGACAGAAGACCAAGAAAAACTGATGGGAAAGTGCTACCACGGCACAGACAACCACACACCACTTCTGGCTACATTCATGGCCGGAAGGGCCCCATACGATGTGTGCTACAACGAACTACCCATCCAGAACAACAGAGAAGGCAACGAGAATCGCACGAAGCTCAGGCAGAGCTTCATGTTAGAATTGAAAGACATTTTACACTGCCAAGTCGGAAGCAGTTTCATTACTCATGAGAGAGGATTCACCATTGAGGCTTTGCAGGTCTCCAATGGAACCAAAGAGATCAAAGGTCGCAACCTATCTGAGAGAGCCCTTGCAGTTTGCGCGAACTACAAACATGCATACAGGTTCTACCTAGAGTACACCAATTCCACCAATGAAAATCCCTCTGGCAAGAAAATCGAGGATATGGTGGTCTTTGTTCGGCAGAAGATGTACGTCTTCTTGCGAGGATGCAAAAACACCCAAGGAATGCGCACGAAGTTGAAGAATGAGACAACCAAGGGCAAGGTTTCCATATTTACAGAAGAAGAAATGCCGGAGAACTACATTTTTGCAGGGTATATGGCTTTCGTTCTGTTTGGTCCAATGCCTCTTACTCATAAGACATTCTCCTGCCTCAGCCCAGATGGCGATGGAGTCCCCCCACAGAGTCGCAAAGAAGCCAGAAAGGAAACTGTGGAAGCAAAGAAAATTGACAGGGACACAGGCACCGGCGGTTTTGTTCCACAAGAATATGTTCGCGGAGTCCCATTGCAGGCCAAAGCAAATGCCGCATTTATGGAACAGAGGAAATGGCATGAGGATCGCGCCCATGTGCGAGAGTCCTGGTTTATCGCAAGCAGCGACTACAGTTCTATGATGAAGGAGCTTGCCGATATCAGGGTTCAAATCTTCGAAGCAAGTGACCCTGACGAAATCGCTGAGCTTAAGAAATGGAGGTCGGACGTCTTGGAGAGCATGGCAAAATTGCGTGCTCATAAGAAGGAATTACAGAAGCGGAGCAGTGAAATGCTACTGGAAGAGAAGAATCCAAAGAAAGCAGCAACAGCTGTTACGGCGTTCATGCAGCAGGTTGGAGCATTTGGACTTATCAGTGGCAGCAGCGAGACATCACCCAAGAGTGTCCCCGTTGTTGTTAATCCCACTGCTCTGAGTAGATCGGGCACTCCCAGCAGCATTGGTTTGTCCCAGTAGTCCCGCAGCAGCAGCAGCATCCAGCAAGGCTCCATCGCCAATTAAACTGCTTGATTCTGATGATGACAATGATGACGGAGAACAACAGCTGTTACGGCGTTCATGCAGCAGGTTGGAGCATTTGGACTTATCAGTGGCAGCAGCGAGACATCACCCAAGAGTGTCCCCGTTGTTGTTAATCCCACTGCTCTGAGTAGATCGGACACTCCCAGCAGCATTGGTTTGTCCTCAGTAGCAGCAGCAGCAGCATCCAGCAAGGCTCCATCGCCAATTAAACTGCTTGATTCTGATGATGCAAGCGAATTCCAGTTTGCAGAATGCGCCATCTTCCTTTGAGTATCCCGAACGTACACTCCACGTCCTTCCTCAGGGATTCAATGAATTCTGACAATCTCTGTTGGTTTCGAAATACGTCCGATTTACCTGGAGACTGAGTACAAGACCATCGGTGGTAGCCATTGTCAACAATCCCCCAGACTCCCCGGTACTTTCTGCCACTGACTATCGTTGTTCCAGTGGCAGTTGTTGTTCCATGTTCCAGCAACTCGAACTTGACATCTTGCAAGATGTCACCAGTGTGGATACCATTGAGGAAATTGTCGTAGTACGCAAGTGTCTTGTCATTCCATCGTGAAGGATGACCTTCTGTAGTGTACAGAATCATTCGCCGGTGGTTGCAAGATAGATTGTAGGACCGAGCTGGGTGACTTTGCTTAAATCCAATGTGCGATTGCTTCAAGTTATGCCCACACTTCCATAGGATGACATTAGTGGCATCGGAGGAGAATCCACATCCAGGCAAACCAGCAGTCTCATATTCTTTTCGGTGGTCTTGGTAGGCTGCTGCTGTTGTTGGCATAGCGACAAACTCCGGATACAACTGTTCTTTGCCATATTGGATGAATTTGTGAAAGAATCGTCTGTGGGTTTCTTCACTTATTGCTGTTGCTTCTTCCAAGTCATCGAATGTATGGCCCCTGCCAAGATATCTTAATGCACCAAGAACAAGCAGACCGATTGGCGAAGGAGGGGTACCGGCTCTATTGGATCGTTGGTAGCTCTGGAAGTAGTTCGCTGCCTTCACCTTCGCCAATAAATCCAGGAATTTTGGGTATGGCATTCTAAACCTACGGCGAAACTTCTTGGCGAATCGCTTTGTCTGAATGACACAGTCTGGGTGTGCTATATACAGTACATACCAAGCAGTTTGTTTGGGAACAAGAAAGACAATTGCTCCATTCACATCGAGGAAATATGGTCGCAGGTTCTTGGTACCCTTTTTCCGGCCGCTGTTCTTGCTTGTGGAAGCAGTGGCGTTATCTGTACCATCGTCTTCCTCCACTTGGTCTTTTACACAGATATCTATGAGGTGGTTCTCCAGCTGTGTAAGGCGCTTCCTTTTCTTGCACACTTCCATAAAGCTAGCCAAGCTTATGGATTGCTCTTCATCATTGCCGCCGCTTCTTTGTGCAGCTAGTGCACATTGCACCAAGGTAGAGGGGCTACCATCCGACTGAACCGAAAGGTATTGGTTGACAATGTCAAGAGTTTTCGCAGCGGTGTCCATTCTAGTTCCAAATTCTGGTCTGCACAATTCTATCCCTTGCTACAATGTTGGTGTTGTTGTTGGTGCTGGGATATTGCTTCTTGCTGTGAGAAACGGCCTAGGCTAGAGTACGTATGCCACCTCCTGGAGCAATCCGTGGTCTCCCAATGCCCCACGAAACTTGGCCAAAATGTGGGGGAGATTTGCAGAGACACGAAGTTGGCGAAGAACAATGACGTGGTATGCATTGCTGTGATTGGCTGAGGCACTTGCGTGATACGTGATACGGGGACTGATTGGATCGGCCTTAGCGGTTCGTTATACACTAGTCTGCCTGCCTTCCTTGCCTATGTTGCGAATCTACATGTGGCGGGGTATCGTCACGGAGATAGATACAGTAGTTTTTTCGCCATCAAAACAGTACCAGTACAAGCTTCTTTGCACTTCAGTGCAGTCTGCAACGAAGCTTCTCCAATACAGACCCCCTTTGATGAAATCTGTTCGCAAGAAGAAGACCGAGCCCCCATATCCCTCGGCTTTACGCACCTCCACAACCAATCTTTTAAAATTAGTCAAGTTCCGAGTCCGTCGACGAATCCTACAAGTACGGTACCAACAGTTCTTCCGACCTGCTCGAATTTAAGGTAGTCTTTGATTGTCAATCAGAGCGCCCGTCATCCGTCATTACGTTACCTGCTGACAAAGGAGTTGCCACATAGCCACGATGAAGCTAGCCAGAGGTAGTAGTGCGAAGACGACTTGTCCCTGGTTTCTCTGGGTAGCTGCTTCCGTGCCTATCAAGCTTGTGGTGGAGAAGGATTGCAGATTGCAGGTACGCTACTACCCCAAAAACCACCGGAAATCCAAAAACCACCGGAAAACCAAGATTAACCCCTCGAGAATGGGGTAATTCCGGTTCCGCTCAGAGGAGGTTCACGCCGCAGCCATCAGATCTCGTGCCGTGATGTTGGCGTCAACATCCAAACTCCCATTTTTTATCCAACACCATTTTTGTGCTTCCTCCTGTTGTGGCAGAGATACCCTCTTAGTTTCAGCTAATAGAGCCACATTAGTAATACTTTGACATAGGGGATACATAATTTGGACGTGCCCGTCGCAGTGCTGGTAGCTGCTTGTTCATTTGGCGGCTGTGGGAGCAACAGATAGTTAGCAAAGTAAGGTTGCCATTTTCTTATTATTTTCACCCCATCTGCAGCCATGCCCCCACCGATGGTACCCAGAAAGCCTGGCCAAGTTAATACTATTACTCCCGCTAAAAGAAGAACAACCAGAGTTGACAGCAGCATTGAAGCTTGCCGCAATCTTGACAAAACTGCCGGTGAGGTTGCTGATTGGCGAGCTGTGTTGAACGATGTCAAAGCGACCATTGAGCCAGACAAACCGATCACTAAAGCCCAAAAGAGAAAGGTTCTCTCTACATTAAACAACCTTGATACAGATGCACAACGGGTAACCAAACAGCTAAAGAGCTACACCAAAACGTTGGCTCCAGTTCCCGGATTAACTCAAGGATTGGCTCGGGCTGCTTCAATAAGACGAAATGCACTCGGCAACTTGCCGCCTACCAGCGCTCAAGACAGGCTTGCTGCAAGGGCCAGAGCCAGTGCCTTTACTACTCCACCTCGAAAACGTACTATCATTCCCTCAAGCAAGAAACCAGCAGCCAAAGCTACAGTCAACTCAGCTATGCCCGATGCAAGCTTGGCTCCTCCTCCCACTAACGGTATCCAGTATGACAGACGTGAATGTCTTCAAGTTTTGATTGATGCCCAGCAGAGCGGCAAGAAAGGCAAGGTTATCAAAGAAATCCTTGAAAAGGGCTATATACCGATCAAGCAGTCAGCCGTTTACGAGTTGTTCCAAAAGTTTCAGAAACACAGGGAAAATGGTGGCTCTCTTGATACATTTCCCAATGATCGCTGGTTCATTCCAAAAGGAAAAGAACCATTCCTTACAAATGATGAAGTTCAGGAAATCGCTGAATGGTTGAAACAACAACCAGGTAGAACAATTGACCACGGCGAGCTGAAAGTCATGATGATGCGGAAGAGAAAAGACCGACTTGCCACTGAGGACAAAATCGTGTTGTGTGATTCCATGACAACTCCATGCAAGGAAACAATCGACAACTACTCTTTGACAATCACAGACTTGGCTGGTGGTAGTGTTATCAAGAAAGCCATTCCCAAAACTCCTACCCGCTTTACCGCGGAGCGTTCTGTTCGGTCAGCTGCCGCATTCATGGCAACTGTTGTTGCTACCCGATAACTTTTAGGAGCGAGAGCTCTGGATCCCGTCAGAGATAGCTCCAACAGCTATGCTGGCCTACAGCTCCAGCACCCGCAGCTGGCTTATCTCCCAGCAAAGCAGCAAGAAAGGATCGGTACCGGTTGTGCACTCCTAGTCTTTGAGGCGGCTGCTTTCTGCTTGAGGGCAGCTGCTGTTCCTTGATCTTCTCGAGGTTTAGAATAAGGGACTGTCAAACAGCTGACAATGCACCATGTCGCTCTCAATGAGACTAATCAAGGGTAGTGCAAGGGCTTTGATAGAGGCGTGCTGCTCACCAGAACTCTTCATGATGGCCTGAACACGTATCCTCCCGGGTTGTAGGGGAAGGATGGCTAGAATTGTTCTTGGGCTAGCCGTTTCCTTGGTTCTCTAGCCTTCGAGGCTTCCGTATGGTGGTAGGAGTCACTGTGGTATGTAGAGTGACAGGTTGCTTTCTTTCTGCCAAGGAAGAGGTTGTAGGCTGTAATTTGGTGGAAAACACTCGATCTCAGCTCTTGTTGCAGTGCAATAAAGCTTGACTCAACATGTAATCTGGAAACCACAAAGTTGCTTCTTGGGACCTTGCTAGGGGCCTGGGGAATTCAATCTAAGTTGTACTTGAATAAGAGCGTGAAAGTTGAATTGTCCATTCTGGTGGTTGGCTGGTCTGGGAGCCATTGCTTACCTGTGCCGGTCTGGAAGCTTGGGTCAATGACTGCGCACACAAGCTTGCCATTCACGGAGGCGGTAATATCCCACCAGATCCTAATGAGATGCGTCAAGGGTGATTACCTAGCAGAGCGTTCGAGGATCCTTGGCACCCCGTGTCTCGAGACCCAGTTGGCTGGCGAATCTGAACTCTGTGTACTGATCAGGACTCCAGAATTTAGGAGCGCTACTTTCAACGAGCTGCTTCGGGTCGAAGTTCAGTGAAGAAGGTGGATACGTCTTGTCGATCAAGTGCGTTCGGCAGATATCAAGGATCGACATAAAACTCATTTATCGCGTGATGTCTCAGTTTTACGCGATAGGTGCTACGCTTCCAGCACGCAAACCGTGACGGGGCCGTTTTGATGGCTATAAGCGAACTTCTCAACGTTACTGTTGACATCTTCGAAAACAGCTATAGTCAAACGGACCTCGACTGACGTTGTGTTGAAGTCACTGATCAGTGCCACCAAAGACTTATCTGAAACTGCACGGGACGTTCTGATTGGTGAGCGGCTTCGTGAGATCGTGTTCTGGACCG